GAAGTGGTTTGTTGAAACTCAGTAACCAAGGACGAGTAGACTTTCACGAAGAGGTCGACGAGTCCGAGAAAGCTGTGCAGAGTTTTTCGATTTTGTTATGCTCGGGCGTGGTGACTTCTTCAAATGGAATAGGCACGAAGCATGAGAGTAGGGAAGACTATGGGCCAAATTTATCGTAACCCCTATGGCCAAGGTATTGCTGAAGTCCGACAAAGGTCTTGTCTACTGGCGAGTCCTTGAAGGTTGTTTGCACGGAGAGAAGACGAGGACAAAAGCAAAGTTATTAGCTTGGTTGCAAGTTATCGAAAAACTGCAGATACAGGACAAAGTACGTAGGGTTATATACTCCTAAGTACGAGTACCATACCAGTCGCGACACGTATCCGCAGTAATCAACAAAGTCATCAATGAAATACAAACAAGTCATAACGAGTCAAAGGACAAAAAGGGAAACTGATCAGCACTGCCAAGCCAGCCTGTGCGAGGTGGTGTCTAACTGGAACTATAGTACAACAAGTAAGCGACATAAATGAGTCAGAGAGAGTCACCGGAGCAAGAAGTAAACAAGTTGTCCATCAGAGAGGGCAGTGGAATACTGGATCATGGGTAAGGAGTCTCGACAGGTATTGGAAATACCTGGACAGCAGGTGATCCGAACATTCTGCAGAGCATATGCACTCCTAGAATAACGACGACTATGAACGATGTGACAAGGCACGTGACACACGTGACCACGAAGAGCCAAAAAAGGAAGGAGCCCTGATGCAGGTGTAACAGGGTCTAACTATTGTCTACTTCGCTTATCCTTGTCCATCATCAATATACTTTGCTCCAAGCCCTCCCTGAGCTCAGTGCAGCTTAGGACATTGAATTAAGTCATCATCCATCCTTCTGAGCACCCCCAACCCTCAGCACTTGTCTTTGAGTGTTGTAGCTCACAAAAACCCTCCCAAAGAACAGGTTCTACCATCTAGGTACCACATAGGCACACCACCACTCACTCTTTTTGTCTTTTGTGTTGGTTTTGGTTGGTTTTCACCACTGAACCACACTTTGACTCACAGCATCTTCAAGTGAACAAGCCCATGAAGGAGGATCCGACAGACCCACCAGGAATTCAGGCTCTGGTCATGGATCGAGTGGTAGATCTACTCATGGCAGAACCAAGGGCAAGAACCTGGCTTCATCCAGCCAGTGGGCTGTCACCACTACTGGTGACACATCTACTACAGAAGGTCTTCAGCTGAAGAACATCAACTGGGATGTTCCTCATACTGATATACTTGTCAACTGGTTGCTCACCCACCCTGCAAACCAGAGAATCCTTTTTAGTGATAAGATCACAACCATCTCACCACCTTCACCTGATGAGGGGCCAGTGGGCCATAACAAGAAAGAAGTTCAAGCAATTATTGCTGAAGTCATATTCAAGAATGATCCCTACTACAAGGACATGTACATGGCAGGCACTGCTAAGTTCCAAGTTAGTGTAGGCAACCACATCACTACATCAGTCTCCTCTTCATATTTTATCTGTGATTTTTTAATGATCATTTAGGCTGAAGGGATCATATCACAAGTGCCATGCATGCTTTAAACAATCAGGGGAAGGCATTATGCCTGGTCATGCAAGCTATGCAAATCTCCATTGTAAGTTATCAATCAATCTAGTGGGATTACAGTCACTGATGTGTATGATTACAGAAGCTGTTCTCAACACTTTACCCTGGTACAACAATCTGCATTCCATCTGGCAGGGCAACCCCTCCTTCAACTCTGACCCAATTAATTCTGAGCCAGACAAAAATCACACTGAAGATTTTTTAGCCATTGTCCAAAATAAATCATCCAGTATGCAGAAGACTTCAGACTTGGGAGTGGGGTCACCTGCCACTCCAGCAGATGAAGGTACCCCTTCAAATACTGGGACCAAGGAAATGCGTGGTGATTGAGATCTGGAGGATGGTGAAGTTGACAAGAGGATGTCTCATGTTGGTGATCTAGTCATGAATGAGGGGGATGAATTTGCTGATAGTATCTTTGATCTGGAAGGCACAGACACTGGCTTTGGAGATGGAGAGGATGTTAACATGGACTTGGTGTCAGTTCACAGTGATCAGGTGCATTTCTACTGGGACATCACTAATGGATCATTGTTAATGAATCAGCAGTCATATCCTCAGCTGTTGACTCCTGAAGTGCAGTCTCATATTTCCCTCCCTCACAAGTCTCACACACCTTTCTCAGATAATCACTCTGCATTCCACCAATCACCATACCTTCGTCCCCCCACTTCCACTGGAAGTGTCATTTCCTCTGTGTCATCATCATCTAGCTCTTCCCACAAGGGGAAGGCTGTCATGAGGACCCTGTCGTCCTCATCATCCAAGACAACATCAATGGAGGCAAGTTCTCTCCAAGTCACTTGCAACAAGTCTCAACTTCAAAGCCAGGTCATTGACTTGAGTCAAGAGGCCAAGTTGATACTAGCATCCTTGTCTTCTGGTAAGACTGCGTGGTACCTGGCAAAAATGCAGTATATGCTGAAGGATTGGGAGCTTGAGTTGAGGAAGGAGCAGCTCAGGATGCAGTGGAAAGATGTGGAGGATAAGCATCAAAGGGAGCAGGAGCTCTGGAAGCTCAATATCGAGCTGAAGAATGCTGAAGAAAACACCTTCATGAGGGAGGCCAAAACCCTTCGACTCAAGATTCAACTTGCAGAACTCATGAAGAGCAGTGGCAGCTCTGGCTCAATGTCTTCTGACCCCACTGCTTAGGCCAGCCACCCTTTGCAATCATGTCCATTTCTTTTTTTAATCCATTGTCACATCTCAGCTTGGCTCATCATCTTCTCTGTTGTACTTGTGTCTCAGTCCCAGTGCATCACATGATTCTTAAGTACATGCTCGCCCCATACTGTATTACTTCTCTGTCTCCCCTGTACTCACCCCAACACTGTATCAAGATGCAATGTAGGGTACATTTCATTTGCAGAATGGGCGTGGTATCATAAGTGACTTCTCCAAGGTCAGTCATAAAGTGCCTGGATCCTGTGAAGACCCTTTACACACCCTCATCATCAATGGGTGGGACTTAGCTGATTCCTACAGCATCACTAGCTACACTCCTTCAACTTTATATGGCAACCATTTTGGTCCATTTATACTAGGTATGTTCATGCCCCAGATATTGGAACAGCTCGTCTAACAGCCTCATTCGAAATCACTGACCTGGTGTTCCCACGGCCTCTCCTACCATGACCATGTCACCATCCTGTTGGCCCAACCCCTCCTCCATTGCCCACTGACTCGAGGGCTCAATGATGCCAACCATCTCCTCCTCAAAACAGATCACCATGTTATGCAAGATGATGCAACACATTACCCAGTAAACTGCAACCTTAACATTCCTCTCATTCTGGATTTTCAAGTGCAGCTCATGGAGACTCTGAAATCAACCCTTCAAGGCAGCAAATGCATGCTCAACATGGATGTGGACCTTTCAATGCAATTAGCATGCATACCAGTATGAGGTAAGTATCACCTTAGAAAGATATTTGTTATATAAATTCTGATTGCAAGATAGCTGCCCACCCTTGGGTTTTTTAAAAGGAACAGCACACCATTCCTCCATGGGATATGTGCTATCCACCCAGGTCCAGTGATCTTCAGGGATAAGGTCTCCTGGTCATGATGCAATGTGAGTACCTTGAAATGCCCATGCATCATGGACATTTCCAGGGTGACCAAGCCCATAGTCAACCATGAGAAGGTTGTGTGGCATGATAACAAGCTATGAGTGGTAAGTATTCCATTTTGCATGCATTAGAATACACACCTGACAATTGAGTGAATACCTTGATTTTCTGTCATAGAAGCTCTCCCCAAATATTTTGGGCTTTTCAAAGAGCAGAATCAATGAGCTGTCTGCAGCAAAGACTCCATTTCTCCATGCCAGACATGTCTGTGATTCAGTGAAGGTATGCACTCTTTCCATATCCTCTGAGTCATGAGGGGGAATATTGACAAATGTCTTGTGCTCATCCAGTATTGCAACCATGACCCAATTGGTGAAATTGATCACCAATCCCACACTAACCCCAGCCCACTGGGCCATGTCCTCTGGCGATGCCACATTCCAATAATGCCCCACACTGAAAAGGAAAGTTGTGAGTTGAATGGCAACTGGCAACTGACAATTTTCAGAGCTACTATGAAATATCAGGTGCCTACTTATTTGATCAAGGATGCAATTGAAAACTTCTGGCCATACACAAAGGTGTCTAAGGAACAGATGAGGGTGATGGTCAGCAAAATGGTCAAGCAGGCTGAGCTGTGATGACTGCATCAATGGTACAGCAGGTTTTTCAAGAACCTGTGCATGCTCTACTTTGTCCTTCAGAGCCTCAATCACATTCAGGAGCCATCCACACCACCTTTCCCTCTCAACTGTTGAGTCTGTATCATCAGAAACACTGGAGTTGGAATCCATTGAAATCAGAGAGATCAGAGAGATCAGAGACAGCAAAGTAATGAAGAGGATGCTCTGAGATGAATCAGAATCCCCATATGTTGTGGTTGAATCACTATTATTGCTACTATCAATTTCACAATGCACATTTTCCAGCCTGGCTGTTGCTACCTGCAAGCTAGCTTCATCAAGTTGTCTGAGGAGATTTTTGCAGAGAGATTTGTGGGGCATTGTTCTTCAAGACTTAGCTATTTAATTATTTGATATACTGCTAAAACTACTGTAATTTATTTTGAGTCTGATGGGATGCCACACTGTTTGACTTGTTGGAGTTGAAAATGTAGTGGCCAGAACATGTTTCCAGAGCCAGTGCCAGAACACAGACAGAGCACTTCCAGAGCGCTTCCAGTGCCACCTTGAGCACCACTTATGTTAAATCACCCCTATATTTGACCCCTTTAATGAAGACTGAGTCAATGCGGTCACGTGACGCGATCGACTACCTTACGAAACTTTTGTAATATGTAGATAATGCTGATCACATATCACTACTGAGAATGCATGGTAGCGGCATCATCTCCCCAACTGTGGATGGTAATGGTTTTGTAAAACGACCATCTAGTCATGTTCTTCACCGACTATGCAACGATCATTTGACACCGGTGCGGCAATTGTACACAGCCATGAAGCTAAGTGATGTGCAGGGACGTTCATTGTCTGTGAGCACCACTGATAATCTTGTACTTGCATTTATTGATTCCCGGAGATGTATTTTACTACAGGCACGTGTGAAGGAGGTCATAGTCAAGAGTAATTTCAATTTGGGAAAGCGGCTTTCACATCATACTCAAAGTGAACTGCAGGCACTTGAAGCACTGGTAAGTGTCAATTGATATGCTGATATGACATGATGTGAAATGGTGTTGTGTAGGTCGAAGACAAGGTCCCTGACTTTGCCAGGTATGAAGACTGCTGGCCCATTGGCGTGCTCGTACGGCGGCATCTCAACAATCGTAGTCACCTTATAGAGCGCCGGGTGAGCCTTGCTTTACCCTACTGAATCTAACAGATCCAAACATCAGAATGTTCTCAGGAACGCCGATGTGCTGTGAATTCCTTTTCCTTTGTTGTCGCGGGGGTTGCTCCTTACCAAGATCCTACTAGCGGCATCCAACAGCGATGACTAGAGAACCTTCCCAGCGGGGGACGGACAATGGATTGGTACCTTTTGTTATGTCAAGAGTGAATCCTTACTAACATTATACCAGATGGATTCGGGAAGAAAGGGCGGCGTCTGTTCGCAAAGGAGGGGTAATGCATTGATGCTACAACAGCCCCGTCAAGATCACTACAAGCTCCGTGACTTTCTTGATGAACATCAAAAAACTCACCTTTTGTTTGCATTGATGAAGGCCGGATTAGCAGATGATGCCGACTTTGAGGCTTTCATTTCTATGCCTCAGATGTTAAGAAGTGCATTTTTGACTGCTGCTTTGGAAGCCACACCACACGAGGTTGCCGCAGTTCAAATAGCAGCTATGCAATATCAAGCATTACGGGGTAGGAATTAGGGAACTGATCCAAGCTAACCCAAATGTATAGTAATTCTTTTCGGATAGTCCTCTAAACACGCATCTTCGTAATTCGTGTTGAAGGGGGATTGATCTATTTCCTATGTAATAGGCTCCTAATCAGCGCTATCCTACCCTGGGGAGCTGTCGGATGCGGAGACAACTTTGTGAATAGTTCCTGCGAGTCGGACAGCCCAGATTTACCGTCCATCCGACGACCAACCACATCTACCAAGCATCTCTCGATCCACCGCATCACCATACTCTCCTTCTGCCAGACACCGTTCGTCCATACGGCCAGTGGTCCATTCCTCCGATCGTACGTGGACGCTGCCTTGTCTGGTTCTCCAGTGGCACGGGCGACGCGACGTTTCATGCGATTCGCCATCACGACGTCTGTGAAGACCCTATCGCCGACGACGACAAGTTCATGGTCCTGGATTGGGTTAGGTAGCGATGAGAAGTAAGCGCGGATAGCGGATATACAGCGATATGCTGGCTTGGGTGAACCATGGTGCAATACAGGAACTGAGAGGTGATGAGAGACTGACTCGGCCTAATCGGAACAATGTTAGCGCGGGAGATTCATATCAGTAGCATGGAATGTACCTGGATTCCTCCGGGGTCGTCTCCGGTACCTGCAGAATTACTAACTATGAGAACGTTACGTTCTCCGAACACCTCTCGGCATTCTCTCCAAGCATCCTGTGATGTACGATTAGCGGGGGGGAGGACCTCCGTTGGTTGCGAACACGCACTTTCAGCTCTGGTGCAAGGGTATCCTTGTACGGGATGGTCTAATGTTGTCGCATACGACAACAGTCAAAGAGGATTCAGAGAGTGACGCTGTGAACACACCAAACAATTATCTTTGTCAAATACTGCTCCTCGATATCCAGCTTTTCGCAGCGCCAGAAAGTCCAGCTGGCGAATATCTTGCTGCGGGATAAATTGCGTTAGTCTGACGAGCGGGGCAAGTACGTGACAATACAACCCGACCTGTTATTATGACATGAGGCAGGATGATGCGGGGGTTCCAGAGCAGTTGGAAAGGCGCCAGAATTCCGGGAATGTTGAGGGGCATCAGTGGAAAAAGGTGAGCAGGTGAATTGAATTGTGGGTGGTCACGTGACACTGGTGACCTGTGGTGAGGTTGTGGGCGACGCGCAACAAATAATATTGGCAACGACGACGACGAAGACGCTAATGGACGAGTTCGATTTTGACCGCGCTGCCTCTGCCTTCCCAGATATCTCACTAGATGGCGAGGGCGATGTGCCCGCGTTCTCCTCTGCGGCTGCTCCAGTCAACTCAGGTTTCTCGTTCGACGATTTCGGGAGTCCACCGAGAGCTTCATTCACAGAGGTGAAGGTCACCGGAGACGAAGAGATCGAGAAGTTTGAGGGCCAGTTCCCTGACATTGACGTTGGTAATGTGAGTACGCTATGTTCTATCTGCCTTTCTATTGACGGGATATTGACGGAGGGTGATTCATATAGCCAGTGTCTCCTCCACCTGTCGTCACTTCTCGCCCGACGTTCGGTGCTGCTCCTCCTTTTGCACCTCGTCCCCAGCCCTCTGCATACTCCGCTACGCCGATTCTCAACCAACAACTTGACGCTGACGAACCTGAACCCATCAGGTAACGATTGTGCATTAACAGCCACTGCTTTATACATCTCGGCTTACCGTCTTTCTAGACTATGGCGTGAAACACAAGCAGAGGAAATTAGGGCTCGTGACGATGCGAGCAAGGCCAAGCGTCAGGAGACGATCGGTAAAGCTGAGCGGGCGATCGACCAATTCTATGAGGAATACGCCGCAAAGAAAGCCGACTCTATCAGAGCGAACAAGTGCGTTCACGTTCTTTACTTTCCTACGAAGGTTGACCTCTTGCTGATGATATGAACAGGGATGAGGAAGTGGAATACTTCGAGTCCCTACGATCCGTCACTTACCAAGGGCACCACCTGGGAACGTATCTGTGACATTATTGAGCTGCAGAATTCGCAGAGCAAAACCATTGCCCGAACTGGACCCGGTACTACGGACCTTTCGAGGTTCAAAGAAGTTTTGCTCAGGCTCAAGAGGGAAGGAGATGCAGCACCTGGTGCCGCAGGTTATTAGACCATCCATACACTATATATAGTCGATTCAGAGGCTATATTTTTTCCAAGATATCCACTCCGAAAACCAGAAGAAGACAAAAACATGGAACGCCACTAACGCAGAGCATTTAAAGTTTGGAAGGAATGGTGGACGGGATATGTGCCTCAACCCAAGTGATGCACTCGTTGATCAGCTGTTCCTTCACACCGTTAGGCTCATTGTGTAGCTCGTGGAACCCACCCTACAGGGATTTGTGAGAGAATACTTGCAAGGAGCGGGTTGACTCACGGGGTATGTGGAGAAATGTTTCACTTCAGCTGGAACGGCGTTGTAGAACTGCTCCGAAGCCTTGTAGGACGTAACCTGCCAACCGATCTCCAGAACAGGAAAGGTGGGAAGAGATGAACCCTGACCTTGTCCTCTGAGCCATGCACAATTAAGAGCTAATCGCCGCAACGCATCAGTGAACTGGATACACATTATTATCAACTAACTGACGGGGAGGTTTTTCGGCCAGCGGGCATAGTCATTACGAAGAAGGCTCTCTCCCTGGACGACCTCAGCAAAGGAGGTACTTGCAATCAAGATAGACGACTCACTCCATCCAGCATATCGCTGATGCCTTTAAGTGACCCCATCTGTTTCACCAAAGGGTCCTTAAGGTAAGCTTCATTCACGGCATCGTCATGAGAGATATCCTGCTCGCCGTTCAATACGCTGAGATACCATGTCGTGTCTGGCAAATACCTTGTGATTTACCGCGGCGGGTATGGTGAAAGAGGGGCTAATTCGACTAGCTTTACCACCGATCCAGCGGGCTGCCTTTGCAGCTGGCTTCGTCTGTAGGATAAGTGGACTGCTCGCTATGACGCCAGCAAGACTAGACACCGTTTCTGGCGATGGAGGGGGTGTCTCTCTCGTCGGGAACGCAAGCGCCAGTGCGCCTCCCTAGCACTTGGATCAATCCCATTACATAGAATGAGGCTCATCATTCGACATACCATCGAGTGACCGTACAAAAACACCGGCACGGCGCCAAATTCGTTCTGCGCGTGTTTAACCGCCCACTCGATATCCTCCAGCTGTTCCTTCCAGCTAGTTTTGGCATAAGCGCTGCTCTTGCTCTTATTATCCGAATCTAGCGCCGTTCTCCCGAATCCACGCTGGTCGAATGCGAAGACACCAATTCCCCGCGCGGACCATGCGGGGAAGACGTGCTCGTACCGTGCGACATGTTCCATGAAACCATGGGCGAATACTACGGCACATTTCGTCTGTGTGCCTTCTGGCTTGTAAGTGCGCGTGTAGAAGCGCGTTTGCTGTGGTCCTGAGAGCCACGCTTCGGTGTACGCTGTACTGCTGGACATCGTTTGGGAGACAGGGAGAGGTGCTGACTAAGCAGCTTCAGTGTAATGATCTCGGCTACCTGGGTTACTACTACCATTAGGATGTAGGCGGCCGTCTTACAGCGAAGACGACCACTGCTCGGGGCACGCAACGCGTCTTCCTATGCAAGCGCGTTCCTCGACTCCATCAAAGATGTGGGGCATCCAGCCAGACACCTCACGTACCCAAGAGCAACGCCATTCTACGAACAACTCAAACCCATCCCGTCCGTCCGGTATACGAAGTCTTTCCTCTTCCTCACCGCCCTGGCTGTGTTCGTACTTGTTTCTTATATCTAACAAATTGATTCCGAAGCCACCTCGACGTACTTATGTACTTTTCAGCTCCCTCGCGATGGACGTCACTTGGAAGTACTGGCCGCAGAAACAGATCACCATTACCAAAGAAGACGGGACAACTGAAGAAGCTTACGCGCCTCGACCTATTAGCCACCGTCTTCTCATGCTCACTATGCATCTCGGCATCGGCGCGTCCGTGGCTGCTTACCTTGTGAACAAACGACAAATGCACGTACATAAGGTCTGGTTGCTACCCAGGACCGTTCGGAAAAAGCAGGGAAAGACGCTCTCGAACGTCCCACAAGAAATCAAGCCAACGATGGACGTGGTGGTGAAAACGTATTCGTGGCATTCTCCTAGATCCACCTTTGCATATAGTCCCTCCGTCGCGGGGTTCACGTCCTCTGGCGAAGACGTTACCCTTCGTGTTGCTTTGGAGCCCGGCAAACCAGCAAACACCTTTATCCTGAAGACGAAGGGGGTTCTTGTAGATGGGAAGGCTGTACCCAGGATATTAGCGAAGGATTCGATTTTGAGTTCGTTCCATTCAAAGATCGTTTAGCTCTCACGACTTGGTACAGTACAGTGAGTTCTGGTATGTCCACTTCCTATAAACCCACGTTTCTGCGGCTCAGAAAGGGCGTCATCATGGATCAGAAGACCATCGCAGGCGGGTGGGAGGGTTCCAGCTATACTCTTGAGTTTCCTGACGTGCGATACCAGCATGAACCTACAAGTACAGCATATACAACGTCACATGTCGCAGGACCATAACTTCTATTGCTTGCTGAGTAGCTGCACACAAGGTCGATAAGCGAGCCTTCTGTATTTCTCGACAGTCACATCAAAGATTTGGAAGGCTGTAGATACGAAATTCGGAGTGAATATCCCAGCCCCTTGGGAGGTCTTCAAAGAGTGTTCTCAAGGATGCTACCCAGTAGGACCCTGGTCAGACCCCAGCATGTGAGGTGCCTTCACTGTAAAAAGTAAAATCACTAAAAATCAGTGTCTGTGACACTGAGAGCTAGTTTAGTAACAAAGTCCCACAAAGAATCCAAGTGAAAAAACCCAAAAAAAAAGTCCCAGGCCTTAGTGACATAAGCATACAAAGTTCAAGTGGAGCTCTAATTTAGGAGGAGACATAGATGATATTGATAACTGCAACCACAACTAGCATGGCTGATGAGTCAGGTGTAACTGGGAACCTGATCAGTGGGGACCCTCCTGATGCTGCAGATGACAAGACCAGGGAAATGTGCATCAACATCAACAATGACCACTATTGACACTGTAAACTCCTCATTCTTATCCTCATCCACCATCACCTCCAACTCTTATCTCTGTTACTCATGTTGGCAGATGCTCTACAGGCTGTCATGCATCAGTAAATCACTTTTGCTGGCCAGAGCTGTCCAGAGCTGTCCAGCACTGGACAGATTCCCTAGGACTGCCAGCACACAAAGTGGTTTACTGATGTGGAAGCAACATGGCATGCTGACCCAGTCCCATACCACACATCAATCCTGACTGGGAGTGGGTGGGTAGCTGAGTTGTTGAATGGCCATCCTGAGTGAATTTGTACAGAACTCACAGTTCACAAGCATGTATTTGAAATCTTATTGTGGGAGCTCCAACAGCATGGTCTCAGTGTCACACACCAAAGGTGTTTGGTGAGGTGGACATGGATACAGCTGATGAATGGAGACAAAGACCATAGCCCTCATGTGAAGAAGGACAGCCAGAAATGTTGGCAGTCATCCCTCACACAAGAACAAGTTGTCAATGCCAAAGAAAAAGAAAGGGAGCAAGTTAGGCACCAGTTAAAATTCTTAAGTGCCTGTGTATGGCATTCCAGTTTTCAACATATCTCTGCCATTTCTGCAGATACTGAAACCATTCCCACACTTGCTTGTAGTGCTCAGCCATGTGATCCTACCTTCCAAAATTGGAAAAGATTTGCACACTCCACATGTTTCTACAGCACTCCCTCCAAAAGACACTCATGTTGCTAATTCCTCTGATATGGCCACCTCCACATCAATCATTTCACTTGTCCCCTTTGCTAGGGACCATGGCTACATATATCTACCAGGAGTTCTTACCAGCTTCCATCCTGAAGCATCCTGGTACATCCCACCCTTGTCCACCCCCTCTCAGCCCATCCAGCTTGGACAGTGTGTTCTTTTTGTCAGTATGACCTCTAGGAGGACATTCTTTGGTTGCCTCAGGTCTGTCACTTGCTTAGAAAGGTCTTATGTGGTCATTTCAGTCTCTCCAGTCCAAGAAGCATATGGATCCTTCCTCCCTGCTCCCTGCAATGTCTTCACACCAGTCTCATCCATCATTCTTCCAAAATTGCAACAGCTACAGTATAATCTACTGTTCTCCACTCTCCCTGATCACATCCATGACAAGTATGATGCCCATCTTGCCTCCTTATTGCAAGATACAGCAGAAGATGCTCCCCCTTCATCCTCTCTTCCAACAGAGCCTCATTCATGAAGTTTTTATTTGCTTCACTGAGAGGATGGTTTGGGGGGGAAAGTTGCAATCCCTTATGCTCCTGTCACCCCACAGACCCCCAAAGCTTGACCCCTGTTGACATCTGACTCACACTGTCTGCTTTTGGACATACTATATTGGCATCAGATCAGCACTGCCTCTCTGTCATCCCACCTTGGCCTAGAAGTGATCTCTTCAAGATGTGACATGCACAGCCTCCCCTAATGTGATTCCAGTGTGCTTTCCCAGTTCCTGACATTACTTGACTCATACTTTGACCTTCTGACTGTCCTTGACTCACCTATTGCCAATACTTGCCAATCTTTTGACTTTGCTTACTGATTCTTCACTTTTTGGCTTACTTATCCTTACCAATGCTCACCAATGCTTTCTAAGACAATTATCCATCACTTACATTCCTTACTCATCAGTTACCAATCACTTACCAAGTGTTTGCACCTTGTTTTCCATAGGCAATGCCCCTGTACTGTATATAAATCACTGTACTTAGATAGCTGAAAAAGGAAGAAGATGTCAGAGTGCCCCTCTTGCTCACATTTTTCATCATCACTCAGTAATTCATTCATCAGCCTTGATAGTTGAGACTTTATTAAGGGTCTAACTATTGTCTGCTTTGCTCATAATCATCTATCATCAATCAACTTTGCTCCAAGTCCTCCCTGAGCTCAGTGCAGCTTAGGACATCAAATTAAGTCATCATCCATCCTTCTGTAGGCTGACAGCAGTCTACCCCATTGCATTCTCTTGCATTCTTGCTCCCTCTTTGTCAGGACCACCCCCAACCCTCAGCACTCATCTTTGAGTGTTGCAGCTTGCAAAAAACCACCCAAATCAAAGGTTCTACCATCTAGGTACTGCATAAGCACACCACCACTCACTCTTTTTGTCTTTTGTGTTGGTTTTGGTTGGTTTTCACCACTAAACCACACTTTGACTCACATCAGTCCTTCCAAACATGTTATGCTTGAAGAGCAACTCACAGTCTTTCTGTATACCTCTGTTACCAGTTTGTCCATCAGACATGTAGGTGAACATTTTCAAAGGTCAAACAGCACAATCTTGAAGTAAGTCTTCAACTGCACCATTTTCAGTGGACTAATCATCATTCTAGGTACTTCAAAAAAATTCTGTTCATGTTCACATCTTGTGATATATACAGTGGCTCAAAAAACTGTCTGCATGTTTGTATGTTTTACATTAGTTATGACTAAATGCAATAACCCCTAACCCTAGCCCTAAACCATGAGTGTATGAAGTAAGGTACTTACTCTTGGCATTCTATTGGTCCATGAATCAAGTGATTTGGATAGGAATTGATAGAATAGCAGCCATTTGAAAATGACATGTCATGCAGACAGTTTTTTGACTTAAAATTTTGATTACATAGTTTTGAGTTTAACAAAGTTTAAAATGCTGTGAGGTGCTTACTAATGCTTGCATGGTATATCACATGGTCTATTTGATGATTTGTCATCATACAAACAATGCCAAACAATGAATTAGGACCATCAAGGCTCCTTCTTCTACCCCAACTCATGAAACCATCCTCCTGGTCCATCTGGGCCATTTTCTCAGAGTAATCCCCATAAATATTGGTGCCCACTACAGTAATGTCATCAGGGTATATGTCCAACACAATCAAACCCTTAAAAAATCTGCTTTCAGTCATCCCTGTGCTGTTTCCCCCACCCATACCTGACATGTTCTGCAACTAATCAGTACTGAGAATGCTGGAAATGCCATGGAGGTCAATCCAACACATCAGGAAATGATGAACAAACAAAACACCTTTTAACCAGTGCATTCTCACCACAGTGCAACTAGTTTCAATGCTGGGGTGAGACAAAACATTCCTGTGCACTTCAGGTGGCATGGGAAGCATGGCTAGACTGTGCTCTCAGCTGACTGTGGATGACTGAGAATGGGTGATTTAGTTATGTAAGACCATAGGTAATACTCAGGGCTAGATGGAGTGATGGAATCTCCCTCCTAATAGTTCAGTGGACTATCTGCCCCAGGGCACCTGGACTGTAATGAAGAGTTTTAGTCCACCCTAGCTCTCAACCCAGCACCCCTGAGGTGGAAACCCACCAGATAAGAGGTGATTGGATTGTTGGTCATGTTTTACAGTGCCAGATTAACCATCATGGCTTTTTCAGCATTTTCAGTACTGATTAATTGTGTCATGACCATGGTCCTCACTCACTCTGCACCCCTTTCTGCCAGTCATTCACTCACTCCACACCAACTCTGCCTGTCCCCTGACATTTATGAGTTGTCTCTGCTCCAACTGCTGTCATACTTGTATTGCTCTCCTACTGGACTGTGTGGGCCATTCTCTGAGGAGTCATGTGACTACCCTTTGGACTTCTCCCTGACAGTGCATGATCAGGTACTCTGCAGCATGCACACTGCATAATCCAGCACCTGGACTGTTTCCTCTTTGGGATGTTCTATGTTACCCATTCATGTGTCCATTGACCCTTCATTTGTCATCTAGGAGGTTTTACTTGAAATTTTATGAGTCTCCATATGTCAGTTCCAATTCTGATTACTGTACCTCTGTAGTAGTGTAAAAGCATGTATCATACTCTGCTGTTCTTCAGTACAAATATTGACTTAGTTCCTACTCCCTCTGTCTTTGTCTTCTGCCTGTTGGAGTTACCTCTGACTGTCTGTCTGTACCCTCCCTCTGGGATATGGGGGCTGCCCAACACGCTCACTTCATTCTGCCTTTATCTCAGCAGACTTCATTCCTGCCAACACTCTGCTAGTCAGAGTTCCATTCTTTCTGTCAGACTTGCTTCCAAACCTCTCCCCAGACCTTGTCTAGCATTGGAGTTGGTTGGAGTAGGCCTGGGCTTGACAAATTGCAGAACATGTCAGGTATGGGTGGGGGAAACAGCACAGGGATGACTGAAAGCAGATTTTTTAAGGGTTTGATTGTGTTGGACATATACCCTGATGACATTACTGTAGTGAGCACCAATATTTATGGGGATTACTCTGAGAAAATGGCCCAGATGGACCAGGAGGATGGTTTCATGAGTTGGGGTAGAAGAGGGAGCCTTGATAGTCCTAATTCATTGTTTGGCATTGTATTGTTTGTATGATGACAAATCATCAAATAGACCATGTGATATACCATGCAAGCATTAGTAAGCACCTCACAGTATTTTAAACTTTGTTAAACTCAAAACTATGTAATCAAAACTTTAAGTCAAAAAACTGTCTGCATGACATGTCATTTTCAAATGGCTGCTATTCTATCAATTCCTATCCAAATCACTTGATTCATGGACCAATAGAATGCCAAGAGTAAGTACCTTATTTCATGCACTCATGGTTTAGGGCTAGGGTTAGGGGTTATTGCATTTAGTCATAACTAATGTAAAACATACAAACATGCAGACAGTTTTTTGAGCCACTGTAGCTGATATCACACAGCCACAAAGTACATACACAGTCATTGATCATCTCAGCCATTCATCTGGATTTGCATGTTCCCTGAAGTCAGGGGCTGATATTGGTGTTGCAAATGAGAATTCATGGGACAGTTACATGAAGGTATGATTCAATCCAATCAGATTGAATGCCCTGTACTAATGGTGATGTTGGCAGGTCCACAAGGATGCAGTCCCTTATAAAAACAAGGGATGGTTATTCTATGCCAACAACTTCTATGCTCCACCATCATGGCCATCTGTTAATCGACCCTTGTTCCACTCATAGGCAGCTGGAAATCCCTTCCCCCCTACACTAACAACTTCCCATCACCCAGCACCATCTACTGTCACTTCAGTTCATAGCAGATCTACTTTTAACTGGCACTCAGACCAGTCTGCTGCCCCCCCCAGCACACCATCAAACTTCACCCCTCCAACTGCCCTGTCATTGTTCAATGGCTTGTCTGTCAGCTCCATCAAGCCATCCTCCAGTATTTTGGCTTGTATGGAGTGCTCCAGAAAGCAGAAGGCAGATGACAATGACAATCAATCCACCATATCAGGTGCTCTTTCAAGCACTGTGGCTTCAACCACCTCATTGGGATGAAAGTGATGCACAGGGAACATGATACTTGAATGAGTGGAAGAGGAAGTTGGAGGTATCCATGGTATAGTCCACATGCATATGAATGCCTTCACTCATGCAATCACATCCCTTGTGGAGTCACCTGCAACCATTCAACCTGCAGCCAATCCCAAGCCCAATTTCTGCCAAGACCCAGTCCATCTGTTGGTGACTGAGGCAACACAGAAGCTGTTTCTGTTGGACATGGATAAGTTCCTGCCAACTGACATTGTTAGGATTGCAAATCACTTCAAGGAAAATGTTTCCCATGCCAGTCTGTACTTATCATTCACTAGTGATCCTGACCATATGGCTGCAGTTCAGCATGCATGGCTTGAGGCAAAGCTCAATGAGATTGGGAGATGTATGCAATAATTGTTGTACTTGCAGCTTGTATTGTTGATTTTCTACCTTTACATTTGTTACAATATCATCGGCATTTCCATTCTTCTCAAAGTCTGCTTCTGGAGATTGGAACTCAACAACTGCAATTGGATGGCACATTGAAGAATTTTTATTTTTGAGAGATGGGGGAGGCTGTAGAATTCTGAGGGGCAAGTATGGCCAGAGGGGCTCCCATAGCTTGAGCGAATGATTGGGGGTGACATCTGGGTCTTCTAGGGCAGTCTTAAGCTCAACTTTGAACCTCTTCTCATCTTGAGGTGACTCATCTATTGTTTTTTAAAAAGAAACTAAGTACATCAAGTACTAGGTAGGGCTGACTAAGCAACCCAAAAGTGAAAATCTAAGTACCACTAACAGAAAAATACCAAAAATGAAAACTAAATAAAATGAACAAAATAGAACAATTGCTCTAGTAGGGAAATTACATTCCCTACAATGTGTAGCATAGGGTAGAGGGAATGCAGCATAGCATAGAGGGAAACAATAGTAGATAAATGCTAACCCACAGTGAGCTCTCCCATGGTCAATGGAGAGTCAGCTGTGAGAAGGGAACTTTGTCACTCTGTAGTAGGTATTGTCTGGTAGTTCTGCAATCTACATGAGTACATTGCAAGCATGAACATAAATCATTTTACCTACAACCTGCCAAGCAGATGTGCCAAATACACTGACCCCAGTTGGAGCATGCACCCTTGATGCTCACCCCACTCAGAATCAGAGTCACTGCTGCCAAAAGATCCATCTTCCAGCAAGTCTGTGGATGAGGACTTCCTGAACTGCCTCCAAGCAAGGTAGGTGGACTTGTAATGGATAGCTTCTTGCTGCTGAAGCCACAATGCCATCTGCTCCAAATAGTCATGCTTGTTACTTGCCTGATAAGCATCTTTAGTGTAGTCTATGTTCAAATGTTCCAGGTACTCAGTATTGTAGCCATCTGCACTGCCAAGTTGTTGAAATCCTCTTGCACTTTGAGTTTGATGAGAACATGCTTGTGGTTGTGGAATGAGTCAAGGCTGTCTTGCATAGTCTTTAGTGTCTTCCCTGTGTGCTGCTGTAACTGTGCATAATAAAAGAAGTCCAGCAATGAGACAACAAGGACATGCTCATCAACAGCACCAGAAAGTAGACCAATGAATACCCCCTGCATCTCTTTGTGCTCTCTGCTGGTCCACTGTGAGACTGTTGATATTCCTTTTGCAAAGTGACAAAGAGCAGGGTATCAAGTAACAGCTCAGAAGCATGCATCAGTCTCTTTCTCCCCAATAATTTTGATACACCACTGGAGTAGATGGTCATGGAAGACACCCTTGAGAAGTTGGTGGAGGATGTTGGGAGTGATGCAGGTGAAGATGTTGGTGAAGGGTAGGTCTTTCCAAAAAGGTTCAAACACAGCATGAAAACCTTCATCATCAAACCTCCTAGAATGCCCATTCTTCCACTTTCACTGCAACATTTTCAGTGTGTCAGCCATGCTGCAGCATGCCCATTCCCTGTGGTCTCCTCATTTATTTGATTGAACCAGACAGAGCAGACATTGACTCTCTTTGCTACAAGCCACCAAACATTGTTCAGGGAAGTCTGCAACATAGGCAGTAAGTATTGGATGGACTTGATGCAGACAACCATCAGTGCAGATCATGACCTCACCATTACAACTGGCATCACCTAGAGGTCAAAGGAGCAGTGACATGGCATGATGGAAGAGGCAATATCCTACCAGTGATTGGGTCTTTTTCTCAAAGCACTTGAGTTTGGAGATGGGTAAGTAGCCTATCAATGTCATCACATGTGTGGAAACTTGTCATCTGATATCCTTTGATATGCTTCCTATTATCAGGTACATGGGCCATGCTTTCTTATCCCCACTGAACATCAACAGGGAGGTCTTGTCTGACAACAAGATGACAGGTGTGACTGTAGCACTGGCAAGCAATTTTCCCTGTATAATGGAAGTCTTGTTAGGCTCACTCAGCCCAAGCTTCAGAGGTAAGCACTCACCTGCACATCCCACCACCAATCAGCTGTCCACATTTCATCATAGATACAATTTGTGCCATTGGAATCCATGTATGCATGCTCAGGGATGTATGCCATAGCATCCTGGAAGGCCAGGTTACTGATGAGTTCCATAACACACTTGACTGGATCTCTATGCCACAGCTCAACCTGTTCCCATCTCCAGCTTCCATCTTCAGTCACAGTGTCTCCCACCACATTGCCAGTTCAAAGTAAGTCCACATATTTGAGGAAGGCACATGCACTGCTGAAATTGACTCCACTTTCATGAACCTGGTGTCAAGCAGTGGTAATGTCATTATCTTCCAGAGCAGTGAGTGTGCCAATACATACAAGTGAGAGTTTTAAAAACTCATTGATCCTTGTCTGACCCATGTTTTTCATCAGAAAGCAGGCCAAGTCCCACTTGTTCTTGTTCTGAAAAGGAGCCCACTGATTGTTGTTGTTTTTTTGTTCAGTTCTCTCCATTTCCTTGAATGCTGTTGCATGTGAGCCCAAGATTTGAGCAGCAGATCCTGTGTACTGCTCAATGAAGCATCTGTCACTGGCCAGTGAAGATCCATCCTTGACATCTTCAACTGAGGTGTGTCTAGGCAGAGGATTGAGACATTCAGGACTAGATGGGTCTGAAAGGTCTGACTTTGTCTGGACTGATGGTCCAGCCCTTTGCCTCAGGGCTACCTTGTGTCTACCTTCTAGTACATTCTGCTCCACTGTGATGTCACTACTGATGTCATAAATACCTACTCCTTATGCATGCCCCACCTGCATCTCATGTACAGTAGTATAATTATTGCCACTCAATCCCCAGACTAGCCCCCAAGCTAGTTCATTTCAGTCTTTGAACTCTAAAGCTCCTGCTTCTAAGTCATCATCCCTCCCCTCTTCTCTGTTCTCTCTTTTTTTTTGGTTTTTGGGTGCAGACCTACAACAACCAGTTGTTAGAGTTCACCATATCTTCTTCCAACTTGCACTTTGCCTCCTGCTTGACCTTCCACTCCTCCTCATGTTACTTCCTCTCCACCTCCCACTACTCCTTTTCACTCTTCTTCACATCCTGTCACACCACAAAGAAGCACAACAAAAGTGGGGCTAGTCAACAGACATCCAACCAAGCCTGCCATCAAATAACTCACAAGCTGTCATGGCACAAGCAAGCACAGTGCAGGTGGTGGAAGTCAGCAAATATCCAACCAAACCTTGCATCAAATCACTCACAATCTGCCATTGCACATACACACACAGTGCAAGTGGGGCCAGCCAGCAAACATGCAACCAAATCTGCTGTCAAATCACTCACACCCTGCCATGGCACAAACAAGCACAGTGCAAGTGGAGCAAGTCAGCAGACATCCAACCAAACCTGTTATGAAATCACTCACATGCTGTTATGGCATAAACAAGCACAGTGCAAGTGAGGCAAGTCAGCAGACATCCAATTGAAACTGCCATCAAACCACTCACCCCCTGTCATGGCACAAACAAGCACAGTGCAAGTGGGTCTAGTCAGCAGAAATCCAACCAAACTTGCCATCAAACCACTCACAGCCTGTCAGCATACATCCCACCAATCCTGCCATCAAATCACTCACAGGCTGTCATGGCACAAACAAGCACAGTGCAAGTGGCACCAGTTAGCAGACATCCAACTAAATTTGCTGTCAAATTACTCACAAACTGTCATGTCCTCAACCAGCCCAGTGCATGTAGGGGAAGTCAGCAGATATCCAACCAACCCTGCCATCAAATCACTCACAGCCTGTCATGACACCAACCAACACAGTGCAAGTGAGGCCAGTCAGCAGACATCCAACCAAAACATGCCATCAAATCACTCACATTCTGTCATAATTTATGCACATGCAATGAAAATGTGGCCAATGAGTGGATATCCAGTCAAACCTGCCATGAAAAACCTCACAGCCTGCCATGCCACAATGATGCATACCATAAATGCAATCTATCAGTGAGCATCCTGCTAAACCTGCCATGCTATCACTTACAAACTGTCATACCATGCCCCAATATAATTCAAGTGACACCAGTCAGTAGACATCCACCTTCATCTGCCATGAAGTCACTGACACTCTATATCACATGATATGCACAGTGCATGTTAGTTCACACTGCAGATAACCATACTATGGAATCCCATACTTCCTGTTATGCCACCAACAAGTGGAGTCCAAATGATGTCAGCCAACCTCCAGCCAACCCTTCTATGAAATCACTCACAACCTGTTAGGTCAGAAAAATGCAAAGCATGTGCATCACCAGTCAGTAGACAATATAGCTACCCCAGTCATGCTGTTACTCACAGACTTGTGTGCCAAAGATATGTGCAGAAAATGTCAGGACATGTATTGAATTCAGCTACTACTGTGGCACCACAATCAGATACTCACATCATGCTTGGGAAACCAACTGAGCAAAGAACTTTCCAAAAATTCTTGGTCATATCTTTCCCCTCCCTCAGTTATATCACTGATCATTCTCCCTACCACCCTCCCAAATATCAGAATCTGTGATGAATTCACACTGCTGGCTCACTAGTATATAGCATATTCAATACTCAATCCAATGCTTGACTGCTGTGTTAAGTAACCTCTGCAGGCCTTCCTCATTCAAAGCACTTGCTGTGCACTGGATCAAAGTAGTGCAATCTGCACTCTCATCATGCATCTCTGTCAAGAACTCTTACATCAAGCATAACCATCTATCACAAATGCAGTACTTACTTGCCAGTGGGAGATACATCTCAGGTGGGTATTTGCACTGGTCCAGTATCTGTTTGATGTGTGTCTGCCACTTTTCTAATAACAGAATTTCCCTTTCTGTGGCCCTTTCCTCTGCTTCCTCCATTTCCAACCCTTCATCCAGGAGTTCCTCAATGGCAGCAAAATTCAATGCATCCACCTTTGTTAGCAATACTATCACTGGGACTATGCAGATACTTGTCAATGACAGCCACATTTCCAGAAGTGAACATACCATGTCCTGTGTCACACTCATTAAAAAACTACTGTTCAGCTGCAGTGACTGTCCTATGGTAGTCAGTCATGGGGATACAATACCTATGTATACCTGATGGTCAGCTGAGTCAGCAACCATCCCCAAGGAAATTCTCACCAAATTGCATGAATACACTTCTTCAGTGTCCTTGCAGCTGCATGGTCAATAATAAACTTCTTCATCTCCTCAAACTGTTGGGCAGATCCTGCCTCAAACCTAAAGAGTCATGGAATACAAAGCCTGGGTTGCTCTTGAACACTAGCTCATCCTCAATGTTATGGTAGCCATGCTAGAGGTAATCAGCTGCAACTTCATTTACTGTAATCCAAGATAGTGTCTTACCCCTAGAGTGCCTTGCACAACAACATTGTCAATCTGCAAGTTGTTAGATGAGTGTCAACAACTCCACATCAGCATACCCTGTTTCCCTTTCCATCAAAGACATGAGGTTTGTCTACAGTGTTGCAGACCCTCTGAAGGATGGTTGTTTTGCCAGCATTTCCTCTTCCAATGACCAAAACTCAAAATTTTGCAATATTTTTCATGTACTCCTTGGCCTTTTGAGGATCCAAATGAAACATAGGTGAAGGAGTGGTTTCTATTCCACAGTATCAAGCACATCCACATCCACCAAATAACAGCAGTCATACTTATGATAGCATCCAGGTCAGCCATTTCACCCATGAGATTGCTGGCTCCCACATTTGAATCTTAGGACCAATTGTAGCACATGGTGATAAGCAACAAAAAAAGCAGTACCTGCACTCACTGTGGCTTCAGAGGCAGAACCCCTGGTAATGGCAGCCCAGACAAGGCTAGCCATATCACCAGTTGGATTACTGGCTTCTGTACCTATGTTTTAGCAATTAGTTGACTGATGATGACAAGTGAAGATGATGATACCCCCAGCTGTGGTTTCAGTGGTAATTGGATCACCATGAGTCTTGTGAGAATGATGAGAGTAAGTGGCACTGGCAAATGGCAAGGAAGCCAGAAGCTTCTTGATGCACCCAGGAGCCATGTGGATTTGAGGAGTACAAGTCTTTGATATGTTATGAGTGAATAAGGCCTGAAATGGTCCAGTGTCAAGCATTGTGCCCATGAGGTTCAAGTTGTTCAACAATACTATCAGGGGCACTTGTCTGTTTCAAAATTCCCACCTACATGAGAAGGCATATCCTCTCACATGACACTGCACTTCAATAGCCTGAGAGAATCTGTAGCAGATGTAAGGGTATCAATACCATGGCCAACTAAGAATAGGGCTACCAGTATTTAGTCCAACTTAAGCAGCATCAGTAGACCACTTTGTGAGGTGGTAGTCCTAGGGAATCTGTCCAGTGCTGGACAGCTCTGGACAGCTCTGGCCAGCAAAAGTGATATACTGCCACTACCCTTGTCAATATCGAAGCTATCGCTGGCTAATGCATTGCTCCGCACTTATCTCACGCCCCTACTCATGGAAAAGGACAATGCGTTTGTTTTGGTGTGCACAGGAAAGACGGTCCGTATTCGCTATTCCACTATGTCCGGCCTCGGCCACCTTCATGGTTGGATAGCGAGGAGCTCGTCAAAAAGGAGCAGTAGTTTCAGTGAGATGACGCATGATATTTGACATGCGATACGAAAATAAGAGGGATCGACGTGAAAGGGTGCCTTTCTTACAGTCGGGAAGGAAGAGTTGTCCTTCACGTAGTGGTCGAGGGCTTCTGTTAGATGCTTTTGAGGCTGTTGGTGTATTGGTGAGCGCTGTCATTGAACTTGGTCTACTAAAGTCTAGCCTTCTATATTGCTTGATTGCCACACCAAACATTCGGATTGCTTTCAAAGCTTTTGCAAGGTTGTAGATACGAAATTCGGATTGAATACTCCAGCCTCTTGGGAGGTCTTCTTCTGAAAGCGTTGTCGAGGATGCTACCCGGCAGGACCCTGGTCAGTCCGCAGCGCGCGAGGCACCTTGGACGCCACTGATTTCAGTTCGCTCTACCTCAAAAGCAGCAGATAAAGTGGGTTTTCTCTACAAAATACACTGTAAACGCACCACGTCGTAGTAGGTAACTTACGGCGATAGGTGAGAGATGAGTCTCGTGGACGCAGTGTGACGATGTTCAATACCTATCCGAGCTGTCGCTGGTCAGAACTGCCGAGCAGAGAAGGTTCGGATAGGGTCATGAGCACGCACGGCCCGGCAACTGGCCAGTGATGCCTCGGCGTCAATGAACCGTCGCGCCAAAGGTATACGTGCGTATATACATTCGAAGATGAATGGTGTGGAAAGGTGCTGAAGCACGCTGAAAACCTCAATGCTATCATGGATAGCTGAAGAAGAGCATACACACGTACGAATACCTTGGTAGACCCCTTTCTGTACGATGTCGGCGACGTCGTTGACAATGCGGAATGCAGCCCTGAGTCGACGAAACGAAAGAGGACGCGACGTTTGCAGTCTGCACGCCACCACGACGACGACAAACGCGTACGTGGATGGCATTCCCCACTTACCTACCCCACATCCTCTATTCAACCGCCCTCACGTCTGTCTCCATCCACCTCCTCTGGAGACGAAAGGCTTTTGAGGACGATCGAGCCAGACACAATGCACAAATAACGATCCTAGAAGATCTCGCACGTCAACTACGTTCTGGCTCGTCCGACATCACGGATGAAGAGGTGGATAGACTGAGGAACTTGGTTCGGGTACATCAAGGTACGAGCGAAGCTGTAGGAGGCGTGCAAGAGAACAGAATGAGCTGGAGGGACGTGTTTTGGGGTAAAAAGGCACTGGCGGATGATCATAGCAAGGCGGACGAGTGGGAGCGGAAAGATTTGGAACAACGCAAGTCTTTTTGATTTCACTGTGTGCTGACGACAGATCTCACGACGAAAACAGTTCGTGAAGAGTTCACCAAGAGAACGTGAAACCTATGCATTCACCGCGACCAAAACGTTATCGTTAATATACATCTACAAGACGTCTCAATACAATTGGCCTTTTCATGCCGTTACAACTATGTGAACGGCCGACAACGATGCAGGAGCATGAATCAAAAGCGAAACATGAGGATGATGATATCAAAAAAAGTTCTCGAATGGGTTCAGCATACCCAGACACAAGACAGACGACGAAATTTTCGGCAGGGGGAGGATCACTTGAAGCTCTTCCCCTACCGTAGGTTTAGTTCGTTGCTCCGGTTTCACTTACATTAAGACCGCGTATGCTTGCCCCAGGGGACCTGATCAATGTGGTCAAATGCGAGCGTGCACAAAAGCAATGATCACACTCACCTTGTTGACGGCGGGTTGACGATCTACGAACACCCAATCCCCCGTTGATTTTTCCCTCGGACTATCCTTGGCCTGCCTGAATACTTGTTGTCCCTCACCACCGATATGGCCGATCTCAAACACGTCGCTGATAATCGTGGCGAGTTCGTCATCCTCCAGGACTGAACTCGTAGGCGAACGACAGCCATTCTCGGAAGCGCGAAGGAGTACGCGTTCGCGCGCGGCAGCGAGCCTAATGACGGTTTCCATCTGAAGCCGCTCAGCTTCAGCAGGGGATGGGAGTGTAGGACTTTTGCAAAGCTCGATGTAGGAGGGGATAAGGAACCTTCGGTCGATCCTGTGCTCCCCGTAAAGTGCAATCTTTTCTACGGCGCCCATCGTAAGGTGTTCTAGTTGGTGAATAGCTAGCTCTGTCATCGATTCGAATGTCCAACGTGATGCCAGGAGTAAGAATGACGAGCCAAGTTTCTCTCAGTTGGCCTCCGTATCGGTCGTGTCTGCAGATTTGTGTCAGACGTCAGTTACATCTTACTTATAAGTTGTCGCCTTATCGCTCTGGCACGCACGGGTTGTACCACACCCACAGGAACTTGGCAAAATTCTCGCCCTTGGCATCGTCAAGAATGTAGCGTTTCTTCATCCGCTCCATCGCACTCCTCGGATGTCAAAAATAAATGCCGAAAGAAGTCTGACTGTCCTTCGAACAATTAGTCCTCTATGAAAACAAAACAGGCGCCTTTGGGCTTGGTGTGCGAATGAACATCAGGACACTGCGCAGCGTGAAGTAGCCGTTGGGGATTCTTGCTACGAGTACGACGTTGCCGTCACGGACATAGTATCGGGAGTGTTCAGTTACGGGTTTCATGTCTTCTTGAGTCCAAGAAAACGCGAAGCTGATGTTTTCGTTGCGATCGCAGCATTATCATTACAAATATACATACAACTCTCAATATACATCGGACCTTTGCATGCCGTTACAACTGGGAGAAAAATGGTCACACCAATGTGGCCAGATACAGCAGTATGAGACAACAAGAAAACATGAAGATGATATCAAAATTGTCCTCGAACAAGATCAGCAGACGTTGACGTAGGACAGACGACGAAACCTTCGGCAGGGGGAGGATCACTTGAAGCTCTTCCCCTACCGCAGGTTTAGTTCGTTGCTTTCAGTTTCACTTACATTAAGATGACGCACCTTGCCCTTGTCCTGTGGGACCTGGCCAAAGTGTGGTCAGATATGGACGTATACTAAACAATATTGACACTCACTCCCTTGTTTGTGGCGGGTGTGGGCGTCTTGATCGTTGGACAATTGGATCCGGAGTGGGAGCTCGTACCATTGGTCCCGTTGGTCCCGGGGTGATCTACGAAAAGCCAATCCCCCGTTGAGTTTTCCCTCGGACTATCCTCGGCAGGCCGAAATTCCTGTTGTTCCTCACCGGTGGTACCACCCATCTCAAAGACGTCATCGATAATTGTGACAAGTTCTTCGTCCCTGAGAAGCGCGCTGGTGGGAGAAAGACAGCCGTCTTCGGCAGCACGAAGGAGGGCGCGTTCGCGCGCGGCAGCAATCCTGAGAACGGTTTCCATCTGAAGCTGCTCGGCTTCAGCAGGGGAGGGGAGCGTCGGACTCTTGCAGAGTTCGACATAGGAAGGAATAAGTAGCCGTTTGTTGATTTTATGCTGCTTGTAGAGAGCTATCCTCTCTACGGGACTCATTGAAAAGCGTTCTAACTGGTGAATGGCAAGTTCCCTCATTGATTCGAAACTCCAACGCGCGGCAAGAGTAAGAATGACAAGCCAAGTGTCCTTCGGCTGTCCTCCATAGCGATAACGTCTATGGGTTCGTGTCAGATGAAGTCATATAACAAAGTTGTTGCCTCGTCACTCACGAGTTATACCAAACCCACAAGAACTTGGCAAAATCCTCGCTCTTGACATCAAGAGCAAACGGCTTGTCGTCGGTTCCATCGGACTCCTCGGATGCAGTAAAGTAGTTGCAGAAGAATTCTGACTCCCGTTCAAAGAAATATCGATGCACCCGGAAAAGCTGCTTCTCCACCTGACATGTGCAAGAACATCAAGACATCCATGAGGTGGAACACATCAATGGAGGACCCTTACCACGAAGGCAACATTGCCATCACGGAGATAGTATTGCGGGTGTTTAGTTATAGGTTTCATATCGTTTTCTATAGTCATGAAGTCGGTCTACTGGCAGAAGTGAAGAATGGATGGCGGGAGTCGTTATCTGCGGGGGCTGACTGGAGGGTGTTTATCTACATAATGGACGAGCGTCAAATGGGTGATAGGGGGTCCAGACTCACCTCGTGCCAGTCAGCGCAGCAGTGATCATCGCCCGTCGTATTATAGAAATCACGCTCAGCCGAAATCAGACACGCACACCAGTGCACCCGATCCGTGATCTCCGTTGCCTTCATCAGGCAACAAGCACTCAGTGCTCAGCGGTGGCGAGTCAATGAATGCCACATTGTTCCGTGGAAAAGGTTCCTTTGAAACCTTCTATCAGAAGGGGAAAACAAAAGAACTTCCGCAACAAATCAGCTTATCGATGTGGCAATTTGGCCTTGCCTCGCGTTGATTCATGACTACGGACGAAGTTTCGAAGCATAAGCGTCCGGACGTAAACTTCTGTGCTCCTCGTCATGGCAGTACATATCAGTGCAGAGCTTTGCATCAGGAGAGTGGGGCCGGTTCAGCTTCTGTGAGTTCATGGGCGGACACGCGTTCGAAGGTTTATGAGTATATTTGTACTTCTATTATGCTTCTTTTCGAAATGGGCGGGTGTTCCTGCATCCTGGTCCATGCGCCTGTACACACTTACGCCATTCCCGAGTTCTTTCCTAGGTGTCCTGACTCATGCACGCGGCAACGTGACGAATCGTCTTCCGCCCTTTCCCGTTATTTGATAGTCGCTCGATCGGGACATTTCGTGGCAAATTGTAACGCTTCCCGTCGCTCTTCCGCCGCTGAAGCAGTACTGACCCATCGAGATGTAGTGAGGAAGTTTCGAAGTAAGCTATATGTATCCCTCGGAGCCGATTGTAATGTCTTCTGAACACCTCAAAACTACAAGATATTTCCCTGACCAGGCAACCGAGCGTAAAGCCCATCTGCATCAGTTTCCCTGGACCGCTCCACCTTGCCCACCCTTGTCACGGCACTGCCCCCTTCTATATCCTTTGTAACACCTGCATGGGTGTTCTCTTGTCCTGCATCTCCAGACTCGTGCTGATTGTTACTAAATTATCAGCGTCGGCTGATCGTAGAAATCACCCACAGCGACGCCTTCCATGACCAGCCGGCTTGCGCTCTGTAAATCGCCCAATGGAATCTAACTGCATCAGTTTCCCTGGGCCGCTCCACCTTGCCCACCCCCTCTTCTATACCCTTTGTAACACCCGCACACGTGTTCTTCTGTCCCGGTATACACATTGCATTTCCATACTCATGCTGATTGTTGCTAAAATACCATAGTCGGCTGATCGTAGAACTCATCCACAGCGACGCCTTCCATGACTAGCTGGCTTGCGCTCTGTAAATTGCCCCACGGAATGCCACGAGACGGAACTTCTTTCGACGTCGATGACTCGTTTGTGATATTTATTTTCGGGTTCGGTTCTACGAGTACAGCTTCATGCATAACACCGTGTCCCGGGTCTTTGTTAATCGAACTAGCAGATTAAAACACGGACTCGGTGCTCACCCTTGTTCCGCAGCCAAAGTTCAATGCATGCCAGCGATGGATCTGAGTTGATATCAGAACGTCCGCCAGTGCCCTCGAGCTCCGTGGCTATTATTCAACTACCTCCATTACGAATGCCTGCGAGTTGTGCAAATCATTGACTAGTACACGCCTCCCATGTGTTCTGCCGATCCTTGCGACACGTGGATCAGAGTGTGGCGCGGGGTAAGAAGGTTACGGGGAACAGGATCGGGAGACGCGGAGTACCGCTACTATACATACTATGCACAGCTCACACAAATCACTGAACGAAGAACAACGCATGCAGATCTCCATTGCATCAGTTTGTGAGAATACATAGCCTTCTGAACCCGTTGCCCATCCAAAGCGCTTCTAAAACTCATCAGACACACCCTTCGGTTGATCCAGTCAATTCTGATTTTTTTTGCCCTTGCCGCCGCGGTTGTTTTGGTTGTTCTTCCTGCTCCGATTACCACCTGTACAAGAGCGTCACAAAAACCATCAATCACTTGCCTGCGGACCAACGTTAACTTGCTCCACGACTCACCGGTACCCTTTCCACCTTTACTCTCGCTATCGGAGAATACACCAAGCAAGTCAGCATCCTTAGATTGATCGTCGCCATCTTTAGTAGATTCTTCCTTATCCGCATTTTTAGTCTGGTCTTCGCCGTCATTAGTTTGCTTCTCTTGTTCCGCGTCCTTGCCGTGATCGTCATCGCCTTTTGATGGCTTGGTTTTCTCATCCTCGTTGCCCTTGGATGATTGGTTATCTTCAGGCTTCTCGGATGTCTTAGTAGGAGTAGGCGTCTCATTTTTGGCTTCCTTTGCAGCGTCAGCCTTTGTCTCTGTGTCACGACTGTCCCCCTCAGTTACAGTTACATCCACATTCTGTTCGCATGCTGTTACAACGGTAGCTTTGTCGGTACTGGAAGTCATATCAAAACCAGCCTCGCCCTGCACCCCAACCTGTGATATCGAGGATGAGCGACCGTCAGAATAAATGAGCTGCAGGAACTCGCCAGAGATGAAGGCTCACCCGTTCCAGCAGATTTGGCCTGGGGGTTGTTGGCAGATTTCGGAGTCTCCGGCACGTGCGACTTATTGCCGGCCGACAGCACCTCTTTGTCCTTGGTGTCCGCCGCGACCTGTGGCGGTAGAGGCGGGACTAATTTCTCTGTCGAAGTTGTGGATGCCCCCGGTTTGGTTGCGGATGTTGTTGGCATTGCTGTTGCTGTTTGAGGCGGGGGCGCCGGAGTCGTGCTTGGAGGAATCGTTGCCGTTGACTGCGCCGTTGGCACCTGAGACCCCATGGCAGTAGTGAATGTGCGCATATTGTCAACTGATGTCTTAGCCGCGGTATCTGCCGACACACCATTGCGGGACCCTGTTGCACCATTTGCCCTGGGTGGCGCAGGATTCAGTTTGATGGTCGATGCAGGGGGGACCGTTGGGAATAGGAGAAGCGACGGCGGGGGTAGGGGAAGTGGGACGAGAGCCCAAACCAAAGACTTCACGAACTATGATTTCAACCTCCGAATCCTCAAAGTCATCGAACGAGGGGGTGCGGACACCGCTCTCCGATGCTCGCTGTCTTGCCCGTTCACGGGCGTCAGCGGTACGGAGGACGGTCTCCATACCAAGCTTCATACCTTCGTTGAAGGGTGAGAGGTTTGTCCCGTTTAACGATGGCGACATAGGAAGGAATGAGGTAGAGTTTGCTTATATTGTGCTCGTGATAGATGGAGATTTTGTCGACACACTCAATTTCGAGCTTCTCGAGCTCGCGAACGGTGAGTTCCTTGACGTTGTTAAAACCCCACCTCGTTGCAAGACGGAGGATGCTGAGCCAAACGTCCAAAGGAAGCCTCATAGAGAGAGTATTTCCTATGGGTGGGATAAATAAGTATCAGTGAAAACGACGGGGACAAGAGACCCACGGATTGTAAAAGACCCATAAGAATCGTGCAAAATCTTCACTTTTGACGTCGTCGAGGGTGTAGGCGTTATTGTCGCTAGAGCCACGGTCGTCGCCGTCCTCTGATGGCCCCGCCAATAGCTTCTGACGGAAGAAGAGCGACTCGCGGTCGAAGAAATAACTGTGGATACGATACAAATGATTCTCGACCTGGGAGGGGGAAGGAGGTGAGCAAGCGTGTGTGAGGTGGTTGGACGAAATCAACCGACCAAGACGGTCATGTCACCACCACGAAGGTAGTAGTCCTTGTGGTGCACGACGCGAGAAACACCATGATGATCATTAACCATTGCAGACTCTACTTGGGAGAGGAGAGAGAGGGAAGGAGGAGGGGAAGATGGCTTGGGTTCTAAGGGAAATTTTCCAAGGAAGTCGTCGAGATATACGTTTCGTGATGGGGCCAGCGTTTGCGATCCGATGATATTGTTTGGATTTTACGGCTACACGTGTTGGCTATGCACACGTTGCCCGCTGTATTGTCCTTCGTTTTTATCATCAATCCAACTTCCAGGCCGTCGCTGCATTGCGTAACGATGTCCTCGTGTCCATCGCATCTCATCTCATCCCCATTGTTCGTGTGACGTCCAGACGTAGTGAAATGCCTTTGCTGAGCCCGCTCCAGTGACAGGTTTGTAGCGTAAAATCTAGCGCGGCGAGCTCGCGAAACACACTTACCGAGAGAGTGATTGGGTTGGAGGGTTCTCAAAAGTCAATAATAGACGCTCTGCCTCAAGGATCTGCAGTCGACAGGATAGGCTATGTAGTATGTTGATGGCATCACACTTGGTAAGTCCAGGCAAGTGCATGTACTGATCACTACCACGCATCTGCCTGCCTGGAGGCAATGTACCCTTTGCTCTAGAAGTACTCCTAATAGGTCAGTCAGTCGATCCTGTTCCATAATATCATGTATGCACAGCAGTGGCCTCACAGCCGCTCCACAGTGAGCAGTGGATGAATCGACGATCACTCCAGGGCATGTGTTGAAAGCGTGTACTGTGTTCTGTTCGAGGGAACCGCAGGCGTTGCTGTGTAAAATGGGCAAGGGTTTTGAATGTGCCTAGAATCAACGATCATATCTTGGAGACAGTCTAGGCACGTTCGCAAGTGTTCTACGATCATTTCGCCAGCCACGATGTCTGCCGGTTGAACGAATCAGCTCTATTTCCCTCAGGTTCCTTTGGTGTGTTCAACCCCATTAATCCCAGCACACAGCCCGCTCCACCACATTTTCGTATTGACGAAAGTGGTTTATTCAATTCCCAAGTGGTGTGACGATGCTCTGCTTCTCCTTGATGGATTTACATTCACGTATGCAGGTTATGGCCCTCGGACTCCGTTGCTTTCGCGATATGCTACTCACGCGGGGATTTACGTGAAGTCGAGACCGTGCTCACTTTCTGAGGCAAACTACACAGCTGGTTCCTGCTGAATCTACCGTGTTCTGTGGTTCCATGGTGTTGACGATCGTAACTGGTCCTTGAGGTCCCTGTCTCTTGCTCGTTAGATTCCAAATACGACACGCACCAAATCTTGGTATGTCCGTGGATATACGATGACTCAAGGGTCTGAGAGGTGAACCACGAGGACAGGAGCGAGGGTAATGAAGACCATGTGCGTAGCATGATGAAATGGCGATGTTAATTCACCCATTCTGAAGCAGCGGGCATTCCGTGTAGGAGGAGCGCTGAAGCTCAATGTCCGAATGGACAACCAATAAACACATAACTTTTCCGGAAGATGCCGGTCAGGGGCTGAGCACAGAGAATAGTCATCAAAGCATGGTTGAGAGATACCCTGTTTCACCGTCGCTGGTCGCGGAACTGCTGGCTGGCACTACGTAGCAATGACTTTTCCTTTGGCAGATCACAAACGTCGACAGCCAACGGCAAAAATGTACGTGGTGAAACCTTCCAGCCCAATTGGAATGGATATAGTGAAGTCCTTTGATACGTAACGGGTACAGCAGTCAAGCATATCCTATCCACCTGTGCTATCCATAATAAGTGCTGTAATTCCCGTAAAAAGTCAATCAGTACCCATACCAGTACCGTTCTCAAACACCTGCTTAAAAGTCCTGTAAGTGCTATTCCCTAAAATTGCAAAAACAATGCGATCAAAGGAGCCCGCAAAACGCGCCTGCGACCCAGTCAATAACTTCGCCCAAGCCTTGGCAACGAACTCTACGTCGTTCCGAAATACACCAGTACCAAAACTTCCCAAGACGAGATTTTTCGCGCCCTGCTGTTCGAAAAGACACAAGATCCTTGCCATTCGCTCTCTCATAGCGGCTTCGATCTGATTCTCCCGTCTCTGAGGGTCAACCGGATTTGTGCTCCTTGCGTTCTTGTTTCGCACGTCGCCTGCATTGACAGCGGCACTTGTAAGTACGTCGACTTCGAAAGGCGATACCCAGTCTCCTGTATCGTTTCGAAGGATGACGATACTGGGGGAATATATCATAGCATTGTAATAGAAGCCACCCTTCCGATCGTTGTGGTGCAGTTTATAGAACTGCTGAGCACCATCGGTCATTAGGGAAGGGTACAGAGTGGACGACCTCGCTATCGACTCTTCCTGAGCCTGTGCACCATTAAGAAACCCTCCTCCAGGCTTTGTCGCCGATGCGAAATTGAGTAGAGCAATCCTCCCATGTGCCGTAGAATGCGAGGACAAGGAATCATGCAGAAGGCGTGCGCCCTCCAGCGTCGATGCCTCTATGATGGAGATCTCAACAGGTACCGCATGGTTAGCAGACTTGGATGACGACGTCCCAGACGCCCAGGATGACAACGAAGGAGCGTCAGGGGGATAATAGCAAGTGTTGTGATTAGAAAACCTGATCTTGGCAGCTAGATCGAGAGGTGTCCCTCCTTCAAAGGATACACAACCTGTGTCGATGGCCCGTAGTGTGGAATCTGCGATACCTTTGAGGCGCGCGCGCTGCTGACTTTTGGCCTGACTATGCCCAACCTCTCTCGACTCGGAAGTCTCCTTAGACCCAGCGCGTGCATTATTACTGGCCGACATAGACGCGAAAGTAAGGTCGACGGCGAGGTCCAAGTGTACAGCTGATGATGCCTTTCACGTTCTTGGGTAGGAGCTGCATGAACGGGTCCAACAGGAAAGCTGAGTCAGGTTTCGTCACTTCGAGTCATCCATCCGAGCACTTGTGAGACTCTAATCCTACGTTATTGGCACAGGCAGGCCCTGGCTTCTTTCACTAATCCCACAAGTACATAGGTACCGTATCTAACATACGTCTTTGTGCACACGCTCAAATTGTTGCAAGGCCGGATCACCACTACTTCCGAGTCTCCAAGTCGGAGGTAGAGGTTTCCGTGTGACACAGCATGTCAGCGTAATGCGACGTCCGCAGGCAATGACACCTGCAATCACTGCCAACGTTCTTCGCAAGCCAAAGGCGACGGGACGCTTTCCGAAGCCGAACGTCCGGAACATTGCAGCGCCTTCTATCTACTAACCCATCAAGGACGCAAGAAGATGAGAACACCGGTCTGGACCTCACTCCACTGAGGCACCTCATCCGCAGCTCCAGACGAAATATTCATTTCCACAAGCCAACGTATCCGGAGCCGTGGTGGGCCGGCGCTGTCCGCGAGGATCGGGCTACTGGTCTTTCCGCGTCGCGGGTCTGGATTGCGATGTCTCGCATTTTTCGTCATGACTTCGTCCGCGCCTTTGCTCTTTCAATGCTGTTTACGCAAGCCGTCGGGTGCGAACCACGGACCTCCCTTGGCCATCTTCTGCGAAGCCGGCGATGTGTCTTAACATCACCTCCGATTCTCGAGACGCATAGATGCACGGCGTAGCCCACGACCATTTGCTTACCTTGCTGCCTCCACTTATTACCCGAATTCGAGGAACTGTAGCAATGCGTTGGTTGTATACATGAGATCCTCATGGTCCTCCACGTTGGCATATGCCTTGAACTCGAATTCGCATCATGTGCCTTCTCGTCACTGCTTGGGAAATCATGATCTTTACGTCTCATCAAGTCTTCTACGACGTAACACGGGACTACCACCCGACACGATAATGATACAGTTATGATACTGTGTTTCCTCGTCGCTTCAACGTTGAGCCCTCAGTACCACTGGTGTCTTCGTGCTACCCACCCTTGTGCCCGAGACTTGGGGCCGTGACCTCACGGTTCTGGAATTTTCCAACCGGGTGCGTCAGGACCTAGACATTCCAGAATAACTCTGGCCTTGGTATTTCGCAGCGATTTTTCTTGTTTCTATGGTGGCCGCGGTAAACGCTTGTGTAGGAGCAAGCTTTGTCGTCATTTCGACGCCTCTTCCAGATCAGACGATTTCTACATATCCCCTCCACGCTACTTCTTGACGTCATCGCGTTCCCTTGACGACCGGTGGTGTACCGAGGAAGATAAGGTGGTCAGCTGTGGTCAGTGTCAGAAGTACATACGTCCTGCTGCGCCTGCTCTGTGGTGCACGAGTACCATATAGGGTGTAACAACCTTCCGCCGACGAGTCTGTAGCTGTCAGACAGTTCATGGAAACCATCCCGCGAACCACACGACTGATTTGTAAAACTTCAGAAAAACAGTGGTACTGATCGCTCTTGTTTTACCCCCGTGAAGAATATTCAATGGCTACGGTTCTTTCAACTTGGTCTAGCCAGTTGGGTCACTATTACAGTGATCAGGATTCAGCCTTAATTGTAAGCGGTTAGCATGCTCATGTCAAGCAAAGAGCGAGTACGGACTCCGGGTTATATTGGCTTTCCTAATACACGGCAGTTTGCCGGCATTCGGGTTAGTACACGCAGCCCCTCCGTATGACAAGAAATGTTGATGGACCCCTCTCAGTCACCATGGAATCCGAATAATAGACGAGTCTGGGCAAGTCCACTTATTCCCGCCTCGAAGTGGGCTTCGCTGTCAGACGACTGATCCGACGGGTGAACGGTCCGACTGGTATACGGGTGCAATAAGGTGTTGCGCAGATACTTCTGCCAACGGGCTCCAGTGAGTACTTGATAATTAGTCGGTAAGATATGCATTCCACTGAGGGCCGAAACAATAACCTCTTCGAGGACTTGGTCAGGGTGAGTTCTTCGTCGGATAACCTGAGAATAAGTGCCTGAGGGCCTGATGGGCCTCCAAACCTCGTGTCACCATTACACACATATTTCGGCCCGCCCTTGAGGTCAGCCGGATTCAAGGCGGTGCAATCTCAAGTTCATGTAAGTAGGCCCGTCGGTCGCCCGAGGAACACAAACATCACGCCCGTAGTGCCCATTTGGTTGTATATTGCTCTTCGACAGGCTTCGCGTCACCGGCCTAGCTTTCGTATACTAGCTGAATATCAAGTAGCCTGAAGAATTTTTGACTGTTACAATGGCACAGGATACGAGATATAGGGGGAAACCATGATACAGGAGGGACATAGACGATGTGTAAGCAAACCAATAAGAGAAGGTAAGTTAGATGGAGGGTATGGTAGGTTGACATGGACTGAAACAAGGACAAGAAAATAGTTTTTCATCGTAGGTCGTAGAGTGGTAAATGGTTTAAACCGAGTCAACCCGCGCAAACGGGGAGCATCACCGGTAGGCTGCACGTCACTTTTTTTTTGTTCATTCCTCGGACATGGGATTATCAAACGTTGGACTTCGCTCGTGATCGGGCAGAGAGCGCATGGCTCAGGCGTTTCAGTGTACCCGTCGAGCTGCTGGAGCCCGCGGAAGAGATGGACGGTGCAGGGGCATCCAAAGAAGACTTGCGTGTATCCTCGCTTCTCCTCTGCGAAGGCACAGGGAAGAAGTGGACAGAGTCCCCAGGGTTGTGGAGGAGTAATCGGGATTCGAGGGCCGCGAGCATCGAATCTTGGGTGCTCATGCGGGGTGTCGTGTTCTTGGACTGCGCTTGGGTAGGTGGAGAGGGTGGAAGCTGTTGCATGAATTAGGTCAAACAGAAAACCTCGGCGAACGATGGAAACACTGACAGGTTTCCGCGATGACAGTTTTTTCCACCTAATTGACATATTCTCGTCCCAGTCATGGTACGGGTCCTCCTCGCTCATAGCAGTGCGGTCGTATAATGTAGTACGCTTGCGTATCCGCGGCTGCAGAGGCTGCAGGACGGGCACAGGCAACTTGTTCATGCACAGCTTCAGTATAGCACACTTCCGAGAACGAGTCGGCAGGGGAAAGGAGTAACTGCTGGTCTAGACAGTCCAGACAGGATGGATCAAATTCTACATTCCGCAACGACCGTTGGAGGACCTTTAGTGATACAGGTGTGCGAGTCTGACTGGTCATCGTCCTCCTGGACATGGAGGCAACTCGTAATCGCGCGGCCGAAACGTGGGCCTGATTGGTGTTGGCAGATGTCTCCATCCCGGAGAACCTGAAGAAGAGTGTGCCCGCCGGCGTGCGTTGAACTCGCTAGTCCATGGGCTACTTGGCTGTGAAGACGATCGAAGGTTGTTAAATTACAGTCTCCAAGACGGGCACTTGGCGGGACTTACGGGGCTCACTACAGAGTCGTCTGAGCTTGGACAGAGGGAGGTCCTCAACGGAATGTGTGTCCTCGCGAACTTGTCGCGTGGGGTGCATCTATCCACTAGAAGCCTCGCAGGGGAGTGGTTCATTGCTACGACCAAGTGCCTCGAAGGAATGGGAAATAACAGCGTTGGATATACCGTTCATGACCTTTTTGTACCATCCGCGGCTAGATAGTCGTGGATATTACTCGCCCGTCTATCGACGCCCGCACAATCACGGCCAATCATGGTGCCGGCGGAAATCCAAGACCCTTTACTCAGCACCATATTTAGTAAATCTAAATTGATTCAGGTGAACCTAAGCAAGATTTTCCATCAACGGAAGTGCATTTTTCGGTTCATTTTGGGGCGAGGCACCCTATCAGGTGGGCATAATCGATAACATCTACGCATATGAAACAAAAAATCTGATACATATACATAAGTACATGACAAGCGAAGTGGGAAATCGAGGTCGGCAGACGTCTTCATGAAAAGGAAAGGGGGGGATGGGACCTAGCAACAACTCGGACCATCGTCCATTTGGCGACCGTCGAACAGCCAAGAATGCAATGCGTAATGGCTACCGAAGCGCCACATTACGAACCACAAGTCGGATCATATCGATTGTTGTTTACGTCGTATCCTACGTGCAAAGTCCACGGCTTTTTGTCCCAAGTTCCCTGCTGAAGGACTGATCGAGGACGGGAGATCCACTGTGAACCCTCGCGTCCGCCTGCGTTTGGGAGCGTGGACAATAAAACACGGTTCACTGGGAGAGTCCAAGTAGTCTGCACTGGTCGTTTGCTCGATGGAGACCCCGACGACGACATTGACGTCACTGGTCACGAACATACTATGAGACTGTCGTAGTTGCGTACGCGATGTGCGTCGAGGAAGCAATGATCCCATCGCCTCCTGGAGGGCATGGCGACCGGCTATTCGTCGAACTTCGATTCCCCCTTGGGGATTCTCGTCGTCAACTTTGGAGATGAAGGTCTCGAAACAGTATTTCAACTGGGAAAATTTAACATTAAACCTATTTTTCGATAGTGTTCCATTCGCTCTTCCACCGACGTACCTTGGCAGGTATGGGAATAAATGTTGTCTGCGACGCTGCGGTTGGTATTGGTGATGGGGTTGACCGAGATGAGGAACCACCTGTTTGACTAACATACTGACTGTTGAAGTGAGTAGCGTAGGTAACTTGGTCCTGAGTTGGGGACGGGAAGCGGGCATACCTGACCGAAGAAGGAAACCGAAGCGGGCCTTTTCATTCTGAGGCAGTGACTAGTGCTGGCGGAACGAGTAGAGTTTGATGGTTGACGATTCATACTTGCACCAGTATCCACCACCCCAGGTTCATCCGAATAGAGCGCTCGGCGTTCGCTCGCCTCCTCAACTGCTCTGAACTTCTGTTGTCGCGTCAGCGTTACCGACGCGGTAGTCTATGATGAAGAAAAAAACGAACCTCCTCCAATGACTCCAGAGAGATGATGGGCATGCTCAGCTGACAAGAGACGTGGGTTCATCCACTAGGCAAGACGCAGGAACGGTCAGGGTCGAATGAGGCGGGCAGCTTTTGGGCTGGTATTTATGGAGCGGGTTTTCCGGGGTAAGCACATTAATCGTGGGCGCGTTTTATGGCAAGCAGCACTGCCCGTCGAATCGAGCGCAACAACAACAATGGTCTCAAGTACGGGGTGTCAGACAGCGAGAAGAGCAGCACAAGGCATCCGTTTAGAATCTCAGGTTTTTTTAGTATGATGTCTGAATTCTCATGACAATTTCAAGGCCAGGGTTTTGGATCGACTCGCACGTGGAGTCCAAAACACTGGGTAGAAAAAATGTTTTCTGCATAATGATAGCAATGTGGTATGTATGTGTCCCTCGGTCTGACGTGCAGTTACTGGACACATACTGACAACAATTTGATTTGTGCTATGCTATTTATAGCATGGCGTTTTGTGCCTCTGGTATGTGCGACACAATGACATGGCTCCGAACCGACTCGAATTCGAGTTTCAGGCTTTCAACAAGCTCAAGGCTCTAACTTATTAGATCTCTTCAATGCGCGGCAACCGCCCTTTTGAAAATTATTACCTGTCGAGGTTTCCCGGCGGTGTTAACGCTGAAATGAGAAACTTAGGCGTTTGGGACTGTCGTACCCAAGTTGAGCAATGCGCTCGACAATCGACGCGCAGCACCTTGGATATACACGTGGTGAGTCTCATTCTACGACCTGATGGGCTACGTTAACGATCAGCGAAGCTTTAATGCCGTTGCGCGGCCGTATCCCAAAGTGCGTCGCGGACTATGCTCTGGTCACTCGAGCAGTTCCGTCCACCACTCTTTCTGCTCGACGGACATTGTGTAGTGCACCACCTAGTCTCACAGCAGCAATGGCGACCACCACGTTGTTGTCATCCTAGATGAGGATGAAGAATTTATTTGGTTGTCTACGCTACAAACGTAGCTGAGGTATTGCTGCCTCAGTGACTCGCACTGACAAGCAGGAAAACTATACAAGGCTTTGAAGAAAACCTGACAGAGTAAACTATGACAAGGAAAGATGGGAGGACCCAGCACGCGCAATTACCTCCGTCGTCGGTGATTCGCCCTTGCGCGGCGCAAATGCAGTTCGCCAACGAGGGAAGTAAGCTCTCTAAATACGCCCGGCTAGGGACATGCATGATTCAGGAAGGGTGCCAGATATCATCGAGCGAGAGCGGGTAAACGAGCCGGGGGGAGCACTCGAGGGAACGGCGAGGAAACTCGTAAGAGGAGTAAAAGACATCACGTGTCATTTGAGGGGCTGACCAGCACTTCATGAAAGCCGCAGATTGCGAAGCCATTCTCTTTAGCATCACCATGACAGCGAATTACCACAACATTTTCGACGATTAACTCCATCGCGAAAGTCCGCAGGCAAGTTCATCTTGACCCCACCCTTCGCGTTCTCAACACTATCGCAGTCGCGCTGACGACCGGCGAGCCCGGAGAAGTCTTCGCCACTGCATTTGAGGGTCGTCAGGGGCTCACGCCCATCTTAGCAAACAACGGCGCTGTCACTATTGAAGACGATCTGTTCATGACTTGTTCAAGCCGATCACTGCTTCTACGACTACAGATCCATGTGATGTTTCTTTCCTTTCCTGTTTTCTCGTCGCTGGGCGAACGTCAAGAAGCGAATTACAAGTATGCGTGGGGCCATGACTACATTTTTGCGTATCCTCAAAGGCATCCTAACAGACCATGTTCGCTCACGCTCTGATGAGGATGAGTTTCCCGGCTCTGCGCTGTATCGCAGGGAGAGCTATCTTCTTAATGAACCTCCATTCCCGAAAATGATGCTGAATCTTTTGGCGCATATTGCATCAGCGGCCCAGGCTTTCAGCTCCCGGGATGCCAATCTCTCACCAGACTTCTACGCGATGCTGGCGAGGTTCGCCCTTATTCTCTAGGAATCTCGTTTCCCTACGTTCGCTCTGTAGACCTCCCAATCACGTGCTTCGCCTCTGGAATGAACACGAGGGGGACAAGCTGAAACGACATCGACATCTCATCAAGGCTTGTCAGTACTATGTATCATGGAATTATTAACAGATTAAGCGTTCTTTTCCAAATGGCATTAACCATTGTTGAGTCGACGCCGTTACTGTCACGGGGGAGAGCATAATATACTCGACGGCGACTACTTGGAGAAAATATCAAGTGCATTTGGCAGGCCCCTCTCGGGGGAAAATCTAGCAGAACTTCGCTGTGTGTGTGCCCCCAACTGCAGACCCAGCTCCATCCTGAAATTCGCGTCTATGCATGCGAAAGATGGGAGAAGTATTGTTGATGAAGCCGTCCTGCGTGGAGCTCAGGCGTGCCTCACCGACGACACTCTTTATTGGCTATTTCCGGAGCCAGAGCGCTGGAAAGAACTTGGCCTCAGAAGACTTGTACAATGGTAACTATCCCATCCCAAATGCAGAAGACGTATGTCCTGTAATGATTGGCATTGCTTACTGATCACTTGACTGCAGGTAAGGATCAACTATCTGGGTTTTTTCTTCCTGCTTCTCCAGCGCCCATGTCTGGTTCGAGTTCCGACTCTCCTCCTTTATGGATAGGACACAATTAGGAGACTCACATCGCATCGGAGGAGTGTAGGGTAGGAGACATCCTCGACGTGTTCTTCTAAAAACTTTCTTCATAGGTTCATAACACGGATCTTGTCCTGTTTTGCCTATAGACTGACATGGTAAGGGAGATAGGAGGCAGCCGAGAACTCGCCTGTGCATCTATTTCAGCCGCGCACGAGGAGGCTTGTCCTTGTCACATTCTGTTAGTCTGAGATGTCCCTTGCGCGGATCCGATGAATGTGTGGGCCGATTATGGGGATAGATATGTGTGTTCGTCTGTGCTTTCCCTTGCTAGGACAGGCACCATGTCAATGGCAATATGGACGGAGCGAGTTGACGAACACACTTGCATGACGAGGTCGTTGTCAGTTTCACTCGTGTCCTCGTTGATAGCAGAGCTCGTCGATCTAGTGTCCAGATATTTTCGGGTTTTTTCTCGACGATCTCGTTCAGAGTGAAGGGTAAATTGTGTGAATGTATTACGTAATTTTAACCTTGACAAGCTTGACTGAAGGTTCGCTTGGTGGCATCCTCCTGTCCTGTGGTCGTCAGAAATGGTCGACTATCGGTTAAGTCACGATCGGTTTCTCATGAGGGGTCCATGTTGCTGCAGTATAGTTTTTTTGGTTCGCTTTTCCGCCGATACACATGGCTCTCATCAACTGCGACGTTTAATATGAAACGATGGAAATTATTTTCATCAGACTCCGGCCACAGGAACATCTTGAGAACGTGTTCGTTGCGCGGCGAGAGGTTGCTCACTATGTATGATGGATCTGGATTGCCATGGTCACGTTCATTTTGAGTTTGAGGAGATCGCGTTCTTGAAACATGGGCCCGGGTTCGATGTAACGCTTCGTGGAAAAAACTCAAGCACCATCAAGTCTCTGCAGGAGCGTGGATCTGGAGGGTGGAAAATACCGCGCCACGTAGCTGAGTTACTTTCGTACATCCGCAGTGGACCGGTGTCAGTCTGAAGAAGCATTAAACGAAGTGTTCGTGTCGGTATCTTTTTATTTCTGTGGTCTTCCGAGTCTTGAATACACTATAGGTAGTTATCTCGGGTCCTTACGTAGATACGTGTCAGTTGTCAGACGTCGACCGTGTGTACACACTCTGATACATATCATGACGATCTGTTCGAGGGTCTCATGAGTCCAGTGCTGTCGTGTCAAAGCCACATATTTTTGGTTGCGACTATAGCTTGTGATATTACCCTCCTTCCACTCTCCCAATGCCACCGCGACGGGGTGCTAGCTCGCTGAGCCCGCACGACGCACCCCCGTCCTCGACGCCAGCCTCACCCGCGAACCCACACTTCCCTCCATTGCGCTCCAATTCTCCCTCGGGACTGACCCAATTCTTATCCAAACCTTCCAAGTGGTTTGGAAGGAAACCTCTCGATACGCGTGCCGTATCTGCCGCCAATGAAGCCCCGCTCCAGCATCAGTTCTGTCAGAAAGCCAAAGATCTCTAGGCCGACGGACCCCAGACCTATATTGGCCCATTTCCACGCTGAACCACACGCGCTAGATGCCAGCAGGTAGGTTTCTATCTTTTTCGCAATTGATACAGATATGCGGCCTTTGTGGTTGTGGCACGCGACTGCCCACCTCGTGTCTCAGACCTCGTGCCAATTTCTCTAACGCATTTTTTTTTTCTTCTCTCGCAGATCCGTTGCCGACCTCATCTTTGCATCCAAAACAATCGCTGGACGTTCTCCACGTACCCTCTTCCCCGTCCCGTTCAAATCGACCGAGTACAAGTGGCGGTCTCGGTGACCTTCGGGCAATTTCGAGCAAAGCATGGTCAAGGTCAGCCGATGATCTTAGAAGTTTTTCAAATCCTTCGCGGGACGTTGTAGACACTCCGTTCCATGACCGTGTCCGGGAGTATCGCAACAGGAGCAACAGCAGCGCCACACTTCAGCCTGTTTCGCCAAGTGACAGCGCTGCATCTGCCAGCCCTACGCATCGCCCATTTCCTTCTACTGCATCGACTGTTCCTCTTTCGTCTTCACCTCCAAGCGATCAGCCTCCTCTTGCAGAACCTAGTATTTCCATCTCCGTGTCTTCACCAACCACAGAGACATTCGCTGCCGATGAGCCTTCGACCCCTACTACGCGCATACACTCGTTTGCGCCACGGTTGCCCACGAAACTGTCCGCATCCAAGCTAAATCTTCCCGCCACCAGCCCAAAGCGAAAGGAATCTGGCGACTCCATGAAAGATGGTGTTGGCAACATCAGCACTGTGCGCAGTGGATTCCCTTTCAGTATACCTTATCACTCCAGCAAGCACACCTCGCCTGGTTCGCTTCCATCGAGCGGGCCGCCCAATGGCGGCATGGCTGCATCTTCATTGCTCGCACCGCCAAGTGCGGACGAAACTCTGGAGTGCGATGACATGTCGTGAATTCGAAACGTACTTCACAGATAGTCTACAGCTCTGGCTTTCTAAATCGCATGGCGGATGCGCCACTGGTGAACACACAGTCACGGCCCTACAGTACTGCGTTGAACTTCACTCTGGCTAAGGGGTGGAAGCCTTTCAAGTCAGAGCTGAAGGGATCGAAGTTGTATTTCTACAAACCGCCGAGCGACAGGAGTGCGGCCGTCAAGGAGCTGTTTCCTACTGGCATCGTTCCTCCAAGTTCTGAAGAGGAAGTCGTCACCGAAACCGAGCCATCTGAAGAAGGGGGAAGGACCTCGCGAAATAGAGAAGAAGGCACCATTGGAAGGAAGAAGCGGGCTTACTGGGGCAGACGGACTCACCCACAGCTCATCGTTGGTGAGGGCGGTGTTGAAAAAGGAACTTTCGAAGCCCTCATTCACGAAGCCGTGTTTGCGACGACGTTCGTGCTGCCGCTCAGCGATGAAGAAAATTTCGATCAACTTGAACTAGGTGAGGACAGGAGAAAGCCAGGCTGGAAGGACCTGTCCGCTGCCGTCCTTCTTTGCCTTCCTACACAAGTGGACCGGTCCAAATTCGAGAGCGAATTCACTCGTTGTTGTATGAACTTGGTGAACGGTGCAGATGATGACACCAAGGAAGTTGAACGAGCCAGGGTAACCTGGCTCGCCCAGGAGTACCTCAGATACCACAAGATACCAAGTGATTTACCTGGATGGGAGGAATTTAAATCCGCCATTATACCCGATTTTGTCGCAGAACCAACAGACGAACCCTCGGCAACAAAACACGAAGCCACCGAGGGGGTATATGCGCAGTCTCCGGGTTCTCCTCGACCTCAGGGGGGACCAAAGATGGCGTCATTGATCGAAGCACTGGGAACGCCAAGTCGTGTCCTCCCCGCTTCTCCTTCCAGCAAGACATTGAATCCCAAGCAGCAGCGTCCTCAGATTCCATTCTCCGAGCCAGACGAAAAGAGCAAGGGTTGGTCAACGCTGGTTCGTGATGGCTTCACCCGCGAAGTCTTGTCCCTCCTCGATCCCAACACCGTCGCTGTCAGTCTCCAAATCTTCCATCGGCGTACTATAGAAAAACTACATCGTGATATCGATGCAGCTCACATTTTTGGCACTGAGCAAGCCTCTGGGGAATCAGGAGCGTCTACTGGCCAGTCTTCGCCGTGCCATCAGTTGTTTGGGAGCGACGATAATCCTCACTGGCTAACTAGGTTACTGGTCATGCAGATCCTAGGTTCGGATTCTTCGAACAGCGCTAGCGGGGTTGCGGAACGCAATACTCAAACCACCACCCGCAGCCATTCGCGTTCAGGAGGTCATCTCCGTATGGGCGCGAATTGGAGAACTCTGCCGGGCCGCTGGTGACGAATGTTCCTGGCAAGCCATATTGCATGCGCTGTGCTCGCGTCCGGTAGCGCGATTGACCAAAGCCTGGAAACGCGTGGACAGACAGAGTTTGCTTGCTGTGGAGTCATGGGTCTACCCTGAAAACGGTGGCCATCCTGCCGTTGCTCGCGTGCCCCCTTCGACTGCTTGGGGAGGAGACTTGAACGAGCAGATCCGAAAGCTTTTGAACCAGGCCAGCAACGACGGCGAAGAACACTGGCTAGTGCCTTCGATGATGAAAGCGAGGGAATTATTTAACGATCTGAGGGCAAAGGTTTTAATGTGTGCCAATTCCTCTGTGGACGGTGGCTCTCCAACACAAGATGTTGAAAAATTGGCCTCTTTTTGGAATGAATATTCGCAAGGGGCAAGTGGGCAGAGTGCATTTTCGCTCAAGTTTCAGAGGTTCGCGCAGTTCTGTCACAAGCATGTTTCTCCATTATTGACTTTTCATTGTACTTAGAATCGATCAGTTTATGTCACTTTCCTTGGCTGCGGAGCCACGCCGGAAGGGTCTATTCGAGCCTTACTTCTGGTCTCAGGCTTCCTCGGGTTTTCACTTATCATGTCATCCATTGGCGCCACTCCTTTTCATAGAACCACTACCGGCAGTTTCTCTCCTTGAACGGAGTCAGATATGGAGAGGTCGCCTCGAGAGCGGTCCGACCAAGTTCAGCGTGGAAGAATTGCAACAAATACGTAGTCTTGATATGTCTCTCCGTTCTCCCGGTAGTATGACTGCAGAGAATGCCAGGTAAAGACAAGCTATTTAACGTTGGGGATGTGGACCTCCGCGGCACGGCTATACCAGTGTATGACGGGGAACTAATTGTCGTCGCACGTCCGGACAAAGACCCCGGACCCACTTCTCGGCCTGCTTCACGTGCACCATCGCGGCCCCCTAGTTCGGTTGTTGATGGCTCAGGAAATGAGAAGGTCATGACGCGTTCGCCCTCTATCCGAGTTAAACCAGGTTCCTCGCAAGGTCTTGAGCGAAAGAGCAGCGTAGCGCGGAGAAATTCCTTACCTTCAATATCGTCGCGACCGAATCCAGTCATCACCGAGGTTTCGTCCGAACGACCTATTCGAGTGTTGGTCCAAGCAGGAACTTTGGACCGACTGGTGAATGTGCTTATCCACGGACTGCAAGGCGTTTCCGTCGCCGTCGCAGACGACAACGGAGAGACCTCTTTGAGGGACGGTAATACCAGAGATTTGATTGTCGACCATGCTGATTTTTCGAGGGTGTGGTGGACCGTGTTCCGAAGCTTTGTCACGCCGATCGTTTTCTTTGAGGTGAGGTTTCTTGTCGATTGTCATTTCCGAAAATATTGACGAAAATTTTAAGCTCCTGAGTAAACGCTTTGTCTGTAGCAGACCTTCCAGTAACTCGTCTTCTGGTGGACCAGTGCAAGTGCTGCGGTATCAGTCGGAGATTCTGGCAACCGTGAAAGAGTGGGTTACGACGGGTGGTGGTGGACAAGACTGCCTCGATGATACGTCGCTGTATGAGACAGCCCGAACATTCTTGGAAAAACCTCTGGACCGTTCCGAATTGGATTCACTCCCAACTAATGAGGACCCTGAACTTCTGCAAGCATGGAAGGCGCTGGAGACGATGAAGAATGAGACGCTCGCTACTTTTATATCCCACACTTTACGACCTCCAGCCCTTGTCGTGGCCAATCCAAGACCAGTCAATACATTTGGACAGTCTCGCACGTTTGGAAGTCAAGTGCCAGATATCGATCACGTTAGCGCGGAAGACTTAGTCGATAACTTGAATGCGATGGGTCTTGCTGCTTTCAGCAATGTCACGGAGGAGGTGAGCAATTTGAATTGACATATTTGTCTGGTTGGAGCTGACGTTAGCTTGGTTAGGACCTCTTCACTGCAGCGGATTTGCTCGAAGTGCAAAGCGCCGACCGTACTGGCTGGTTCACATCTCGTGACCCTGGCTACACAGATGACGTGGACATTCAAACGATGTACTCGCATCTCCTGGATGTGGAGCCGTCCCCGATGATATCCGAGCTATCTCAAGACTCCGTTTATCGTCTCCTACCACCCGGTATCAGAAGCTGCGTCCGAGCCTACAGTATTCTCCGAAAATGGCTCATATCAAAGCTGGTTGCCCCCAAGCTCGGGGTCAGACAACGTCAAAATAGAATGGATCTTTGTCTGCGTGTTTTGGAAATTGCCCGATTACGCAACCTGGACAGAGGTGCTGCCTCGTTGGGGCCAGCCGACCGAGCATGCGTGCGATCGTTCGTTGAAGCTGTAGTCACGGCTGCCGTCCTCAGCCCCGAGAGCCGTATGCATCATCGTCCATGGCAAAATGTGGCCAACATTCGTGGTGTTCAGTGTGACAGCCTGACTGCGCTCCTTTCGAGGCAGACTGTACCGAAGAAGTCGTACGGCGATGCTCTCGTTGTCGATATTAGTTGGCTGCTGGAACGTATTCTGGAGATCGTCAGCGTTCCTAATACTGTAAGCGTATCGCAGGACAATCCTCAGTGTATCATCAATCTCGACAAAAGGAGGTAAGTGAATTGTCGATGTCGGGTGGACAGCGAATGACTTCACACGTTATCAGGCATCTGTGCGATTTGATACTCAATTCCCAGTCGCTCTCGTCCAGGGGAGGTCGCTTGCGCGATGACGTTGATCGTAAGGACTTCGAGCGCCTTTATAATATCGAGAAAGAAGTCTCAGCGCTCCGCTTTGACCATCGATCTATCAAGGACGAAGCACAAAAGGAAGCGTTGCAAGCCCAAGCCGGCGGTTCGACGCCAGCAAAGAAGACCCGTCCCTTCCAGCGACTTGTTGCCTTCCAGCAGGAGAAGAATAAACGAGACAAGTACCTGCACGACCGACTTAGCAAAGACAAGAAACAGGAGCAACTTCGTAACGAGAGGCGAGACGACTACCTGAACAAGGCGATGCGGCCTCGCAAGCCAATGACCCAAGCACAAAAGCAACACCGCATCAAAAAGAGTTACTCGTCTGCCTTTTTCCAGTTGATGCGACCTATCTCGAGCGCCTTCACGGACAATACGCATTCGTTCGCCACGAAGAAAACTCCAGCTGAGCTAGACTTCACGCCATCGGGGAAGCCATCTTTAGTTCTTTCTGTGGTGGATGCCAAGGTCACCCAAGTTGTCAATAACGAGAGGTCCTATGTATTCCAGTTGGACACGGAGGACGGTGGACACTACCTGCTGCAAGCAAATTCCAAACCTGAAATGGTGAGGTGGATGGACCAGATTAATAAGGTTTCCAAGACAGCTGCGAAACGACGTCTCACGTATCTCGGCAACTCTCCAAAGCCTCAGTTGTCTGATCATATCCATGACCATATTGTCGCACCCTCGGCATCTAGACATCCCACAGCAGGTGAGGATCTAGAGATTGTACTGACCGAGCCACAACTCACCTCCGTTTTAGTGTTTGGAGTTGAACTAGACTTCTTACTCCAGCGAGAGGCGGGTGGTGCGGATGTCGAACCTGGGACTATTCCATCTGTGATTCGCAGGTGCCTGTATGAGGTCGAGAGCCGTGGTTTGAGCGAGGTCGGGATTTGTGAGTACCTGCGTATCGCTTACTGGTTCTTCTGCCTGTACTCATCATGTCATAGATCGTATTGCTGGGGCGGCCTCGGAAGTCAACAGTCTTCGCGAGGCTTTCAACAATGGTGACGTTCTCCCGGACTGACGTTGATTTCAGCTTGACTTATCCTATGCATATAGGTGAAATGCCAATCACGGAAAGCACAGATATTCATGCGGTGTGCGACTTGATAAAGTCGTGGTTCCGTTTAATGCCAGAACCTGTCTTCCCATCTTCTGCATACTTTGGAATTATTGAAGCTATAAGTACGTCTTTCATCCCCTCTCTCTTCACGCCGTGTCGTAGTGTTGAGATCATCTGTAGAAATTGAAAACCTCAACGCACGACTTGCCTGTATTCGCCATATCGTCCGCCATTTACCGCAAGCGAACTTTGATCTACTCAAGCGAGTCGCAGAGCATCTCGATAAGTGGGTTGCTTTTACTGGCATCTCAGACACATCGGCTCACTTTTAGTTCAGAGTCACCGATTATGAAGAGTACAACCAAATGACTGCTGAGGCCCTGGCAATCGTCTTCAGCCCCAACCTGTTACGTGCGCCAAAGAACGACTTCGCGCTTATCTTGGCCAACATGGCTTACACTCACAAGCTTGTCAAAGCTCTTATCACTCATGTAAGTGGCGGCAATTGGATTGCTGTTAGCGTGCTTACTCTTCGCTAGTTCCATGTCATATTTGACGAAGATCACGAGGGCGAAAATGATGCGGAAGAAGATGAAATGGAAGAGCCGATCCTTGAAGAAGATGAAGAAGACGAGGAGGACATGCCATCTCAAACAGTGGAAGAAGAGTGAGATGCGGGTAGTTGTATTGGACATTTCACTGGGCGCCGATGTTTCTCTCCTCAGTCTCGGACTACTGTTGTGTAAAGCTCGCGGTTCTTTTTTTTCCTGTCTTTTGCCTTCCTGGAATTTATCACGGACTTGTACATTACTCTAGCATACCCCACTCTCTTCATCTCGTTCTTTTTCACCCGCTGGGTCAGGGTTCAGTTTGCTCATTATTCATCGGGTTCGCAAGAAAAACCACTATTGTAATACGCTCGTCCTCTCGATATCCTAATCATCCTCATCCCAGTTACCTGATTGTTGTGGAATTTTTGGGCCTCCTGCAGGCTTGCTCATTATGATGCTGTCCACACTCAGAACAGAAGCTGCTGCTTCCGTGGCGAGTTTGAGAGCCCATGCCTTCGCTGCTAGAGAGTCGAGAATCTTGTGCTCGGTAGCTAAGAGTGTGCCGTCCTGCTCCGCCTAATCGAAGTGAAAAGTCGTCTCAAGAACGTAGTGTAGAAAGACTTACCTCAACATCGACGCCCCACGCTTCTCCACCCTTTTGTTCGTGCTTGGCCCACAGTCGACTAAGTACCTTCGTTACCCTCTGCCCCTCCAAGCGCATTCTCTGCAAGAGTCCGAGGAATGACCTCGAGCGCAGTGGAATACCGCTTGACAGCATGCTGTGCCAGTCCCCTCAAACCACTCCCGTATGTATCCACCCTCTTAGCAAGCTCGAGCTCCGTCGCACCAGCTCCAGGCACTAACCGAGGGTCTTTCAATAATGCCTTGATCACGTTCACACCATCGTCTACCGCGCGCTCGAGATCGTCCAGACGGTTGGCGGTTGCACCCCTCAGAACGATCGTTGCTGTTCTCGTCTTTTCAGACTCACTGTCGTACCCGGGTTCGCCTTGCACTAACTGGCGCAGCACCGTCACACGATCGCCACCGATTTCGGTTGTCTCGAATACATCGACGAAGCCTGCCTCCTCTGGCGTTGGCGCTCCGATTCGGGCAAGTGGGGTCGCGTTGACAACGCGGCAGAGTCTGCGCAGATCGAACTTGGAGAGAACTTTGAGGACGGCGATGTTAAGTCTGTTAAGGAAGTGCATTGCGAGCTCGCCGACGCTAGTTCCTGCGATGATGACTTTGACTCCGGAATCGGCGATTTCCTTGAATATCTACACAATGTGCGTGGTTGAGAGACGTCTCCAGGCAGAAGACAAGTGCGCTAGACCTTTTCAAGATGTTTTTCTTCGTCACGAGTGAAGTTGAGCATTTCATCGGCGTTTTTGATGAGAACTGTGCCCTTGGTCTCTGTTTGGGAGATGTCTATAGGACAGGTGAAGACGGCCACTTTGGCCTTGGTAACTTTTTTGATCTCGCCTGATGAAGAAGATCAGCCAATAGCTCGACGAAAACCAAAATCTTGAACCTTCAGGTTCCCTGCCGAACACCATTCCCTGGACGACTCTGCTCGCCGAGAGACTGCTACCCATGATCTTGACCACCCGTACATTGTCTACGTTGAAATTTTTAGGGTTACTTGGCATGACTGCTAGTGCAGCCTCTGCTACAAATTTTGAGAGCATGTCTTCAAAGCCATACTTGCTTTGATGCAATTGCGGGTTTAAGTGCTTCTGCGAGAGTCGATAGCTGTGAAAGGATTTGGTCAGACTTGAGGTCGACAATGCTGAGATCTGTTGGTTCTGGAGACGGAGACGGAGATTGGTAAAGTCATGCACGTACATTCCAGTTCGGAGAGTGCTTTTGTGCGCGCAAGTTCATATCCTTGAATGACCTCACTGGGATGCAGACCCATGACAAGAAGATGTTCGGCCTTCTTCAGTAGTTCACCTGCGAAGATGAGGACCATGTTCGTCGCGTCACCCATCTACGTCATAGTTAGACGATGGTCAGAGATGCAGAGACTGATCCCCACCTCAGATTCCTGAGCTTGAGATGCCATGACAAGTAATTTTGCTGCTGGATGAACGACCTCCACTTCCCTGATGATAGTCGCTGCATCGGACGTGACGAATAATCTGCCCAGGTGGTTGATTACGAGTTTATTGCGACCTGCACGTACTCTGCATGATCAGAACACAGTGTATAGCATCTTATGCGTACCATTTGGACCAAAGCTCGTCCGTACGAGATCAGATAACTCTGCGACGGCCTGTATATTTCGAAGAACGGCATCTTCGAGACCTTGTAGATGCTGGGTGACTGGTTAGCCAAGATGTACGTCGTACAAGAGGTCGCCTTGCCTTGTAGCCATCCTTGAAGAGCTGGATGCTGTTGGGCTTTGGTACTTTGAGCGACATTTGGGTTTGGATGGGACGTCGATATTAACGTTGTCGTCGATCGCGGACGGGCCAGATGCGATCATCTCCTCTCCGCTTTTTGACACTCCGCAACCACCACACCCGCGCTCGTCCTGGACGGCGAGCTAACAGCAAGAACGTCGAGATGGTCCTCAAAATGCTTGGAGCCGCCGTCAACACGCTGCTTCCTCCAAAGTACTACGTGCATGCGTGTTTGTCTGTCCTCTTGATCGTTGTCGTTCACGCCCTTGCCCAAGGGCGTCGCACGAACCGCGAGCGCGACATGCACGCTCGGGTCGTCCTGGTCACCGTAAGTCACTCAACTACCATTTTCCAAATGATGATGTCGCATATAGCGTCCCGTAGGGTGGTTTCACGCCTCTTGGATTGACCCTACTGCAGAATCTCGCCGAACGGGGAGCGCATATCATCGCCCTCGCTCCAAAACCCATCGACGACCCGGAAATAGAGATCCTCATATCACTGCTGCGTTCGACGACCAACAACGAACAAGTGTACGCAGAAGAGTGTGATCTTACCTCTCCGACCTCGATTCGCTCATTTTGCACTCGGTTCCTAACAGGAAAGGAGAATAGAATAGACGCGATCGTATTTGCGCACGAATACCCGCATATTGGATCGTTTTTAGCCTTCGAAGACCCTGTCAAACTTGGGAAGCGTCGACAAGAGGCGTCTTTGGCCACTTTTTTGATTCTGACCCTCTTACTCCCAGTCCTGTTGGTTGCTCCTGCCGAGCGGGACATCCGTATCATTAATGTAGTGAATCCGTTCTATTCTGCTGCTGCAGTAACGTATTCACCCTCCCAAGTACCCCCCGCGGCATCGTCGATATTTCAGCAGGAGGGACGGAGGTCCCTCCAAACGATTATCTTCACGCGTCACTTGCAGCGTGTACTGGATGCTCTGCCTTCGGGAGGACCACCGCCTGGAACGGATGGACACACTGTTCATGTTGTCAGCGGAAAGGTGCAAAAATCTAACATCGTCGCCGTGTCCGTGTGCCCCGGTATCAGCCGTTCAGATATTATTGCTCCCTTGTTCAATGCCGACGGCTTTCGGCGTCGGTCAACTGGCGGATTGATATTGTAAGTCGTACGTATGTCTTTGGAACTACTATCTTGAAGGACAACGTTCCAGGTACCTCGTGCTCCAGCCCCTACTGCGCATATTGACAAAGTCATCCACCTCTGCAGTGCAATCTGTCCTACATGTACTCTTCTTACCAACGCCGTTCAAGGGAATTGCTCAATCATCTAGTGCTGGCACTCGAACCTCCGGTGGTGACACCGTGCAAGAGGTCTTGAAGGCCGGGGCGCTGTATCGAGAGTGCGCAGTTGTCAATATCCGGATACCCGTCCTGGAAAATGCGTCGCCTAGCAGCGATCAAGGGGACCCTAAGGATACTGTGATGGTTGACGATCGGGAACTCGGTGGTGTCCACCTTGGTCAGGCAGTGTGGGAGGTTTTTGAGGCGGACTTAAAGGAATGGGAGAAGCAGTCTGTGCCTTCCTCTGAGAAGCAAGGTACAGACAACGACAAACCCTCAGTAGATACCCCAGACAACTAGTGCGCCATTCTTTGTCGCTCAAGCTAGGGTATCAGTGATCCAATCGCCTTTGCAGGTTTACATACTTCAACCTCGCACAGTACTTGGTAGCTAGGATTTTCGTGCACGGCACTCTGTAGCTAAGTCACGTTCATGCAAATTGCGTGTAAGTTATTAATCAAGGACACAGTATATAAAATGCAAGCATATAGAATGTGCAATTAAAATAAATGCAGAATACCATATCCTATGTAGCCTGCGAAGAGGGCGACGGTTTGGAAGATCAAGAGTTGGCTTCCTCCCGTTCCAAACCATCAGCGACAGACTCTAGCGCAACCTTCGGCTTCTTGAGTGTAGTATATTTGAACTCGGCCGTATCCCCGACGGCGACTCTCTCGGACCTGGCCAATCCCAAAGCCGTCGTGCAGAGTACAGGCTTCCCTGCTTGGTCACCTTGACCCTCGAAGTCCTCCATAGTGTCATCGTCAAACTTTTCACCTGCTGTACCGTGGGTTGGCCACAAGTCAGCCGATGTCACCTCCTCCCCGATGACCTTGTTAAGGCGTACGGCCATTTTAACAATATTGGACACTCGTTCACCAAACTTTTGCGTGAACTCACGGTAGGTGTCTTCGTAGTTCTTCGTGCACCCGGCCGCGACCATGATGACGACAAGGGTATCACTGATGTGCGTTACCATCGTGGAGTGCAAGTCATCTTCTCGCAATGCGACTTTCTGAGCGTGCGTACGGGTCAAGGCGCGCCATCGACCACTGATTGCCTGAGTCTCTGGGGACAGTCGTGGTAAGAGTTCTGATCGTTGTGTTTGTATGCGGGTAATTTACCTGTACCCCTGATGTCGTTGTAGATCTCTGATAGCTGCTGCTCCGCTTGCAAACCGTCGAAATCCCAAGTCATGATAATCCAGCGCGAGAACTCTACGATTGCTCCTTGAAGTGCGATCTGCACTAGGAGGGGATCCGCTGTGTGCTGTACCGTGCTGAGAAGACGTGTCATGCTGGGGCCCATGAGGTCACTAATTCTCGCGCAGCCTTCCTTAATCTCGTCAGCATGTTCTGGCTTCCGAGCGAAGTCGAACGAATCAGAGATAAATGCACTCGTCTGCAGGATTTCGGCGTTGAGAGCGTCGATGAGGGAAATCACCTCCGCCCCAGAGACGGCGTCAGCTGTGGTCAAGAACACTTGGGCGCCTTTCAACTCCCGACTGCGCGTCTCCAGCAAGGTAGTGACCTCAGCAAGTTTCGATTGTGAGCGTTGTAGCTCGTTTCTAGCCTCGGCCACCTCTGCCTTCCTGACGTCCAGCTGCCCCTTGAGGGCGTTGACCTCTTGCTGGTAAGCACCCCGAGCCTTTTCGCCCTCTTTCTTCTCCTTCTCCAGTGACCGATATGCGTTCGTCTTGGATTCTTGTTCCTGCTTCAGCGTTTGCTTGAGCTTCGTATTCTCCTCGTTCGTCTTCTGTATGATGTTTGAAAGTCGGATAGTATCAGCCTTGAACTTTCGGACAGTCGTCGTTTAGCGCGTTCTTTTCATTCTCTGATTTCCGAAGCCTATCCTCGAGTTCTGCTATTCTGCTTTCGAGCTCTTTCTGCTTTCCATTGATGAAGGAGCCGAACAGCCGGTAGAACCATTCTACGAAACCGCGCCACATGTGTAGATGCCGATATGTGAGTCCAAGACCAAGAGCGACAGCGATGGGAGGGCCGAAGGATTTTGCTAACGACCAGTGCGAACTAGTGGAAATGTCCATAGTCGTATTGGGAAACTGCGGCATGCCTTCTACCCTATGAGGCTCGCATTTAGAAGCCACATGTGGTTCAGGCATGGCCTAGGGCATTGCTACCTCGTGTGTGATGACGGATAAACTGTGCTGGGAATTATGGCGCCCCTCCTACCGACACGTTGCGGATGCATTCTTGATGAGCCCCGCACCTCGCCTATTTCATTTTACGTGAGTATCAGTGCAAACACGAGTCCGGGCAACTTTGAGGAGTCACATGCATGCTTTTGATGTTGATCGTTGGGCACTCATTATTCTGTGCAACAGGAAGGTTGCCGTTTCATATGCGGCTGCACTGCCATCATTTAGGCGTGCCTCAGCTATAAGACGGAGGGCATGAGTTAGGTATGGTCGAACGCCTGGGCTTCGTATTTGCGGGAGTCACCACTTGCTAGCATCTAGTTTCGTCCCCAATGCTTACCCGACAACCCTACCGCGGATTAACTCGCAAGCTCGTGCTGGCGTTTGACGTGGGTACGACATACAGTGGTGTTTCTTACTCTATCCTTGATCCCGGGGACGTTCCGAAGACACTCGGAGTGACTAGGTACTTGGATCATCGTGCCTTAGGTCAGACTAACATAGGGTGTCAAAAGATACCCCGCACAAGAACATGTAGGGGGGGATTGCAAGATCCCGTCCATCATCTATTATGACCAAACGGGCAGACCCCGTGCGTTCGGCGCTGAAGCTCTACAGGAGCATGTCATCGAACAGGCGGAAGAAGAACAATGGACCAAGCTTGAATGGTGGGCGCTGGAAGTGAATGATAAACGTATTTACTAATTCGCGTGTGATTAGGTGGAAATTACATCTTCGGCCAAGGTATTTGGATGCTGCGCACATCGCAGATGATGACATTCAGCCGCTCCCTGCGGGAAAGTCGGCAATTGAAGTCCTCGCGGATTTCATGCGTTACCTACACCAGTGCTCTCGCAAATACATCGAAGAATCTCACGGAACTGCCCTATGGAAATCCGTCGAACAGAACGTCGAGTTTGTTCTCACCCATCCAAATGGATGGGAGGGACCTCAACAGAAACAGATACGAGGAGCAGCCGCTCTTGCGGGTCTTGTCCCGAATTCCAAGGAGGGTCAATCTCGTGTTCATCTCCTGACAGAAGGCGAAGCTAGTCTTCATTTCTGTGTAACGAAAATACTGGCATCAGAATCACTGTCGAGAACCCCTATTGTTGCTCCAGACAATCTGGAACAAGAAGAAGAGGATCCCGACAGTCAGGGCGTGGTGATTATCGATGCTGGTGGAGGAACAGTTGATCTGAGTGCATACTCCATGCGGTTATCGCCGACTTCATTTGAGGAGATCGCGCCAGCTGAATGTGAGTCTTCTCTGATGACCGTTGACTTTTCTTACCCTGCCTTGAGGCCGTCTCCAAGGAGCTGTGTTGGTCACACGACGGGCTCATGCGCTTATCAAAAGTGCGTCCCTGCGTCTTGCATATTGATTCCAGCTCCCCTTACCAAAAACCCTGCAGGGAAACTTGCTGGATCGAAATACAGCAGCCCAGAGATACTGCGGCAGATCACGGACATTTTTGATAAGACAACTAAGCTTCGAGTTCGTAACGCAGAAGATCCTCAGTACATCAAGTTTGGTACTGTGCGTGACAAGGACCCTCAATACGACATACGTTCTGGGCAGCTCAAACTTACTGGGTGGGTTGTTACTTTACTACGGTTCTTCGATTCTCTCATGTACTCCCAGTCGTAGCGTAACGGAATTATTCGAACCCTCAGTTGAGGAAATCATCGATGCCTTCCAGAAGCAGCAGCTAGCCGCGTCAATGCCGATCAAAGTAAGCCTCATGTTCGTGATGCGGGGTTGTGCCCTTACGCCTTATTCATAGTCTGTGTTCTTGGTCGGGGGTTTCGCAGCCAGCGAGTGGCTGTTTACAAGTCTGCAGAAATACTTTGCACCGCTAGGTATTGAAATATGTCGGCCAGACAGCCACGTGTGCGTGCCAATTGCAAGCACGATTGGCCCGAGACTCATGGATTTGTGAACAGCAACAAGGCTGTGGCGGACGGCGCAGTTTCGTACCACATCGACAACATTGTCTCTTCACGGATGGCGAAACTCACTTATGGCACTGAGTGCAGCGTACCGTATGATTCGTCTGACCCCGAGCACCGTGCAAGACAGAAGAAAGTCTATCGTGGTCCATCCGGCATCCTAGCCATCCCAAACGCTTTTGGGTCCATTCTATGTCGAGTAAGCAATGTTCTACATCTGGCTATCACACTTTAATGCCAATTATCCAGGGCACTCGGGTCTCTGCAGAGCAAACATTCGAGGAGGACTTTGTCATCCGCCGCTCCGCGGTGCAGTCATGCACTAGCATGGACGTCGACATCACTGCTTATAGGGGCTCCCTTGAGAAACCGGATTGGATGGATACTGAGCCGGGTAAAAGCACATTTAATCTTAACTCCCCCCCCTGAGTCTAATGCTGTCGTAGAAAATTTCACGACACTCTGTACGATCCGCGCGGACACGTCACGGCTTGCTCGCAAATTATCTCCAAAGCGATCCAAGGACGGGGCGACGTACTACGTGATAGATATCAAGGTAATCCTATTATTTGGGCTGACGGAACTCAAAGCCCAAGTGGGCTGGGTGGAAGATGTAAGGGTTTGTTTTGTCCGTGTTGCTGTTGAGCTCATTCTTATGCGACACAATAGGGGAACCAAGTGAGGTAAGTAAACAACTAGTTTCCTTTTGAGCTACGTCTCAAACGGATAGGAAGAACTCCAGCCACGGTCGTGTACGATGACGATCAGTAAGACCTTGACCTGGCACCAATATCAATGCAGGGTAGGGGGTGTTGACAGTCTTCCTAACGTGATCTGTGGAAGAATAGAACAAGACTGGAGGATTCGAACCTTGCCTTGTGGAAGCCAGTTACCCGATTGTCCATGGAATCTCACACGGTACCCCATGCAAAGCGCCATCGATCATTGATTACTGCATGTATAACCGCCTACAAAGATGCTGTATGTGCCTGACTGATAGTAGTATATGCATAGCTACATAGTATCGTACTCTGATTTGTTAGTATGCGGCAAAGTTGGTTAGATACGCCGCCGCCACCGCACAATACTGTTTGGTGTCTGTTTGGTGAAGGGTTTTCAACTAACTCGTTTCAAACGTACTTCTAACCACACAGCAGGCCATAGGGACAGGTATTCGCGTGTAAATCGACCACAGCATCCACCCGGCTAGACTCAGTCTGACCTCACGCTATACACGTTCTATCTATCTCTGGCCACAATGGGTGTTACATGCGTTCCGAAGTATTATCGCAGATGCCCTTTGAGATGCCCTCGAATTGAATTACTTTCAACTGGGACATTCCGATTCCCTAATGCTCGAAACGCACAGGGGTTCTGGATAGGCATTCGGTCGAGGTTGTGTATTGGCTCCTGATAAGAAATGTGAGTCCCTGAATTTGGCAACTATGAGTATTCACTTTGATCGAGCATGATATCCCCGCTGCCCTTGGGATGGCCCGTCCCCCGGTGTACTTGGACACCACATTGCGTTTTCGCTTCACACTGTCACGTCGCCGTCTTCCAAAAGTTGGAATGCCCATTCGGGTTATGTTTGTGGGTAGTGATACACGCGCCAACAACGATGAATTACATTCTGATGCCTACTAGGCTGCATGATGTCTTTCACAGTCCATATCGTGATATAAGTTATCGGTTGTGACCGAAGCTACACTGCTATCGACTTTTGCAGGCACTTCCCCCACAGGCACGATGTACTCACGACAACCGTACCAAGGTACGACACGCAAGTTAATACTTGCGTTTGACGTTGGGACCACGTTCAGTGGCATATCCTACTGTATCCTCGACCCAGGAAACATTCCTGAAATCCATGGTGTATCCAAGTGAGATATTCCCCTTTAGCAAGAAATTTTCTTAGAGCTTTTTAGATTTCCCGCACAAGAACATGGTGCAGGTGACAATAAAATACCTTCAATTATTTATTACGACCGGGAAGACAAAGTCCGAGCTGTGGGTGCCGAAACTCAGCGGCCTGACATTATTGAGCAAGCCAATAGGGAGCAGTGGGTGAAACTGGAATGGTACGCAACAAAGTTAATCGGAGACCTTGGCGATGAGACAGATTTTTTTCCAGGTGGAAACTTCACCTCCGCTCGAGACATCTGGAGGATTCCCATTTCTCGGACGCGGATCTTCCCCCCCTTCCTGCTGGAAAGTCCGCAGTTGAAGTTCTGGGCGACTTTATGCGCTACCTATTTGTGTGCGCCAAGGCGTATATCCCGGAAGCTTCATGCTCCCATTATGTGGGAATCATTAGAACGAGGTATAGAGATCATCTTAACGCACCCCAATGGATGGGAAGGACCCCAGCAACAGCAGATCCGCAGGGCAGCGGAGCTTGGTGGACTCATTGCTGGCGAAGAAGATCAAAAACGCATCCACCTTCTGACGGAGGGAGAGGCTAGTTTACACTTCTGTGTGACTAATGTTTTGGCGTCCGATACCTTTTCCACTACGCCAATTGTCTGCACGGATGAACCTGAAGAAGCACAGGAAGAACCTGGTGACCGGGATCAGGGCGCCATCGTCATCGATGCTGGTGGTGGGACTGTCGACCTTAGCGCCTACTCTATGCAATTATCCCCCACATCATTCTTGGAGATTGCACCTGCGGAGTGTATGTGCGATGTGTGACGAATACCTATAATTTTCTTAACGCCATGCAGGTCGCCTTCAAGGGTCGGTTTTTATCACGTACCGTGCCCATGCATTCTTACGAGGTCAGAACCTTGACCTTCCCAGGGAGTTTGCACGGCTCATAATCTATCGTATAGCCGTGCTTGCCAATTCGAAATATGGAGACGAGGATACCTTGCGGCGCATGGCCGATATCTTTGATAAGACGACGAAGTTGCATTTTCGAAAAGCAGATGAACCTCAGTATATTCAATTCGGGGGAATCCGTGACAGGGATCTAGAATATAACATTCGTTCCGGACAGCTAAAGTTGTCTGGGTAAGCGTTTCTAGTGTTTAATCGTCGCTCGAGTTTCTCATGGTTCACACAGCGAGGACGTAGCCAAACTTTTCGAGCCGTCTGTGGAGGAGATTGTTGCCGCTTTTGAACAACAGTGCAGGGCAGCTTCCACTCCGATTACGGTCACTGACTCTCGTAGCTTGCTGAATCGAAGCTGACTTCCATGCAGAGTGTGTTCCTTGTGGGGGGTTTTGCTGCTAGTGACTGGCTTTACACTCGCCTCGTTGAGCGTGTGAACCCCCTCGGTATTACCATTTGTCGACCCCAACAACATGTGTACGGTCATTCTTTTCTTAATTGTGATGTTACTGAGTATCCTTAAGAAACAAAGCGGTTGCTGACGGAGCAGTCTCTTTCTATATCGACCGCCTGGTGTCGGGCCGTGTCGCGAGATTCACGTATGGCACTGGAATTAACGTTACGTATAACCAAGCCGACCCGGAGCACGTATCCAGAAGGGAGATCGCTTTTGAAGGATTCAGTGGTGACTTGGAGGTGCCGTATGGGTTCGAGCCTATCCTCACAAAGGTTCGTGTTTTTGCATTCTTGACGCTCCAGGATTTCAAATTTCCAAATACCGTGAAGGGCACTCAAGTTTCTGAGCAGCAAGAGTTCAGGAAGTCATTCATCCTGGAGGAAACTGATCGTTCTCGTTGCAATAACTTACATGTAGATATTATGGCGTACAGAGGCCAGCTTGCGAATCCGCGCTGGATGGACACTGAAGAAGGTAAGTTGGAAATATCGCATATGGTCACCTCTCTTGGTTGAAAACAGAGCTTGAACAGAGTCGTACACCCACATGTGTACCATTCGTGCCGATACGTCGAAGTTGGCCCCTAGCATGCAGGCCAATCAACTAGCAGGCGGTGCAGTATATTACTCCATTATGATAGAGGTTGTCATTCTTTTCGGGTTGACCGAGTTAAGAGCGCAAATTAGCTGGAAGGAGAACGTGCGTTTAAGCCTACTCCATTGAACTTTATGCCAACTGACCTTGCTTTGTACATTCTCTACAGGGCGTAGGAAGTCAGGTGAGTATCACACTCGGAACTGCGCAGACGAGTAAACTATGAGTCAGTGTTCAACTAAATCCCAATCAGGAGTCCTGCCGCTGTGGTTTATGGCGACTAGCCCACATTTCAAGTTTCCAGGCATGAGGTCTCTTTCTCAGTCGTTGTGCACTATTCGGACAGTCGTAGTTGCATCTGAGCTACTTACTATGTAACTAGCGAGCTTAGTAGAAATATTGATGCTGTGTGATATTTGGTTTCGTCTTATTGAAGGGCTATTACAGGAGTAGGTTAACACCGGGCTCATCCTGCGCTCACGCCTCAGTAGCCTACCTTCTATATCACTTCATCTGTCGAGGGTAGAGTGGATGCTCATCGATTGGCGTGGCGCCGTGTTGGTTCCGGCGTGATCACCGGATGGTAGCGAGGAAACCCGGAAGGAGAACCACCCTCACTTGAGGGCCGGTCGCTGGCCTGAGGGTGTGCGCAGCCACAGGCTGTATAGCAAGACCGTTCCCTCCCCCACTCGCCTTGATTCTTGCCTTGATGTAAAAGAGACCTGGGACGGATCACCGCGACCACCCTTAGTACTGTGGGCATGGTGTCTCATCGACATCAGTCACCCTTCTGGGCGAGGGCAACTCCTGTCGTTGCTGGTCTTACTGGCAGCTACCTCAACGGCCCAGAGACGGTGGTGGTTGGGGGTAGCGGCACCCCTCTGAAGAGAGCTTTCACAGACTTGAAACTGCCTCCCCCCTCCCATTTACCTACCCATATGCCTACTGTACACGACCCAGCTGACCCTTAGGGAGGGATGACTAACGGAGGTAATAAGTAGATTAGACGGCTCTGGTACCTCTCTAGCAGTAGACGTGCCAATCATCGCCTCCTTGGGGTGACGACTGCACGTCTATTGCTACTGACGTACCGTACCACCTCTGTTACCTCTTGTCTGTCTAATTTTATTTTCATGGGCTGACGAGGTATTTATTTCTGTTTTATGCCTGAACTACTGTGGTGGCGTATTCAGCTTATCCGTTCCGGTTCCAGTTCCAACTCCATGGAAGGTTTGCCGTCCAATCAGTGTCATCGATTGAATCTGGTGCCCTGGAGCATGTTTCGCGGTGCACAATTGGCTTCCGGGTCCTTCACCAGTATTTCGGAGTTAGATCTGATGTATCATTGATTATAACCCTGCAGCCTGTCATCGTGCTGGCCATGAGGAGGGTCCATCACCTTTGGGCGCAGGTTTTATCAAGCATGTTGCTGTACGTACGGAACTGCAGTTGCATGCGTGGAAGATTTAGATGGAGTTTGTTGTCACGCCCAGGCTGGGCGATGGGGTTGTATTTGAACGTTACATTTAGTGGTTACTGAAGAGTGGCACGTTGCTGGGATGAGTTCTCGACAACCCTACCGAGGTCTTTCACGAAAACTAGTTATCGCATTCGATGTGGGCACAACGTATAGTGGGGCCTCCTACTGCATCCTTGATCCTGGTGAAGTTCCCAAGATACTTGGAGTCGCAAGGTGGGTTCGTCAGCTCACCGTCTGGGCGCCTGGACTTAGAAAATTGCTAAGGTACCCGGCACAAGAACATCTTGGGGGCGATAATAAAATACCATCAATACTTTACTATGATCAGCAGCACACAGTGCGGGCAGCTGGCGGGGAGGCACTACAGGAACATATCATTGAACAAGCCGAGGATGAGAATTGGGCCAAGGTTGAATGGTCAGTGTTCAAAAATTCGCTGCGATGGTGACCAACGTTACGTTTCACTCAGGTGGAAGCTCCATCTGCGCTCAAAGAATTTACCTTCGTCCCACATTAAGGATGACGACATTCCACCCCTCCCAGAGGGTCTTGATGCGGTCCGTGTGCTGAGCGACTTCATGAAATATTTGTTCCATTGCACGCGTAGCTATATCATGGAGTCGCATACCAGTGGTTCTGACCTGTGGAAGTCTCTCGGGAATCGGATCGATTTCGTCCTCACCCATCCGAATGGATGGGAAGGTCGTCAGCAGCAGCAAATTCGACAAGCCGCGGAGCTTGCTGGGCTCATTCCCGAAGGACCTGACGGGCAGTCTCGACTTCACCTCTTGACCGAAGGGGAAGCCAGTCTACACTTTTGTGTGACGACAGTGCTTGTTTCAGATGCTTTCTCCAAGATGCCCATCGCTTGCTCAGACGAATCTGACGAGGAAGATGCCACACCAGGATATAAGGGCGTCGCGATCCTTGATGCTGGGGGCGGTACCGTAGATATGAGTGTGTATTCTATGGATTTTTCACCCTCAGTTACCGTTGAAGAGATCGCACCGGCCGAATGTGAGTCTCGGATGTTGATTGGGACGACAAACTAATATGTGGCTAGGTCGACTTCAAGGGTCTGTCTTTGTGACTCTTCGAGCACAACAGCTCCTCAAATGTGAGTGGCGCCCTCGAATCACCAGTTCTTCCAATTCAATGCTCAAGGACAACTAGCAAAGCTCGCCAACTCGCCATTCGGCACCGCCGATATGATTCAGCAAATAACAAAGATATTTGATAAAACGACAAAACTCGGGTTTCGGAGTGCCGAAGATCCACAGTATATCAAGTTCGGTACTAGACGAGACAACTGATCCCGAGCTCGGCATCAGATCAGGCCAGCTTAAACTAGCGGGGTATGTATCTCCTTCCAATTACAACTCGCCCCTTCACAGACTCTGGCAGAGAAGATATCGCGAAGTTGTTTGAGCCCTCAATTGAGGCAATAGCGGAAGCGTTCAAACAACAGCAACGGACTTCGACCCTACCCATCAGTGTAACTCGTTTTCTATGTCAGCGTTCGGTCGCTGAAATCTTAGCCTAGCACGCTTTTCTCGTGGGTGGTTATGCTGCCAGCGACTTTTTATTTTCGAGTCTGCAACGGCATCCGGCCTTTTCAAACACCGTTTTGTGCCGACCGGGAACTCAGCTGTATGTTCCAATACTTGACGAATATGTTCTCTTAAAACCATCTACCTTATGCCAGTAACAAAGCCGGTCGCAGATGGAGCAATATCTTTCTATATTGATCATCTAGTCAAAACAAGAGTGGCAAAAGTCACCTATGGGATCCCTGTCGCAATCCGTTACGATTCTTCTCGACTTGACCACATCGCGAGGAAGAATACCAAGGTCCTTAGCCTCTCTGGCCACTGGGTTTTGCCTAACGCATTTGGGTCGATACTGAACAAGGTGCCTTCTTTTTGTCTTCATTCTTTGTCCGTGGCACGGAATCCAACGTCTCCTGTTCTGCAGGGAACCCGTGTTTCCGAGGAGCAAGAATCACGGCTGCGAGTTTCCAAGGTCGGAGAATCTGCCTCAGACTGTTCCCACATTACCTCTAGAATCTACGCCTACAGCGGCAATCTTTCTGATGCGATTTGGATGGATGCAGAGCCTGGTATACAATCTCTTCTACGAGTCTACCTGCATTTGACACAAGAGGCAGGTTCATTTGCGATCAAATGCACAGTCGATGCAGATACTTCGAAGGCTGCCAAGAAACTTTCTCAACAAACTGCCCTTTCGGGTGATAAGTTCTATCGAATCGATTACGAGGTGGTGTTGTTATTCGGTCTGACTGAACTCAAGGCCCAGATAAGCTGGATGGAGAATGTTCGTTTTCCCTCTTCCTCTAGTTTTCCTTTGTTAATCGGGTCATATATTGTACAGGGAGTCGAAATGAGGTATGGTTCCCAAACTGAGTGAACGCGTGAAGTCACCTCAACTGTCTGAATATGACAGAACTCCTGCCTCCATAGCGTACGTGGAGGATTGACGGCTAGGACGGAAGGATCTACTCGCACTGTGGACCATGGAGCCAGCTTTGGTATCTCTAATTACATAAGTGGTCGCTGGGCGTATTCCTGTTTCCATATTAGTCTTGTATTTTTCCTTAGGTACCCGCTTGTTCAATGTACTTCAATCTCTGAGCCGTTTTGCTGTTGCGTCTTCGGTGATTAATGTGTTGTGGGTTATCGTTGATCCAGCCTCGTGTCCTCGTTGTTTGGGAGCATACGCCTCACTGACACCACGCGCCTATGCATCTCTGCCCAACCCTACTAATGTTGTGACTATGACTAGGGTGCTTAAGTCTCAACCCTCTGGCACATGTGCAGATATGCCTCGTGTCAAGGCAGGGCGTATCCACAAAAGGCGTAGAAACATTGAGTGTTAACCTTGTTGGATACCTCGACACGGCCACCCGTCAGCCTACCATGACTGAGCGAGAGCCATACGCAGGGACTGCACGCAAACTTGTGCTAGCTTTCGACGTAGGGACTACATACAGCGGTATTTCTTATAGCATTCTCGACCCGGGGGAGCCGCCAGTCATCAACGATGTGACACGGTAAGTGGAGACTTCCCTTCCAAGTGACTGTATAAGCTCATGAAGTTACAGTTTTCCGGCCACAGACCGTGTGGGTGGCAATTCGAAGATACCCACTATCGTTTATTATGATAGAGAGGGAAACCCGCGATCTTTTGGTGGGGAAGCTTTGCAGGAAGCAACTCTCGAGCTCGCGGAGGAAGAGGAATGGGTGAAAAGTGAATGGTAAAATTTTCTATCAAAGTACGCTAATGCTACTCTTGCTGAAGTGCAAGTGCAGGTGGAAGCTTCACTTACGTCCCAGGAAACGTACCAGTCCCTTCATGTGGATGACTTAGATATCCCCGCGCTTCCACCATTCAAGAATGCGATAGACATCCTCACCGACTTTCTGGGCTACCTATTTCAGTGCGCCAAGAGGTACATAGAGGAGAGCCATGCAAATGGGCGAGACGTATGGGCATCATTCGGAGATAATATTGATTTCGTTCTTAGCCATCCCAATGGATGGGAAGGTCCACAACAAGCCCAGATCCGCAGGGCAGCAGTGCGGGCTGGACTCGTTCCGGATACACCGGAAGGGCAAGCCAGAATTCGACTCGTTACAGAGGGCGAAGCAAGCTTGCATTACTGCCTAGAGTCCAGGAACGCTGCGGACGGGTTCAGGGTATGTAGTTTCAACGCACGATTCACGAAAATTGAGCAGTCCCCAGGATGATGTAGGTGTCATGATCATTGACGCTGGAGGAGGAACAATCGACGTCACTTCCTACTATATGACCTCATCTGAATCACCTCCTACGCTGCACGAAATTGCACCTGCCGAATGTGAGATTATCTTCCGAGTAAGAATGTATAACTCATAGACATTCTGCAGGTCGTTTGCAAGGGTCTGTTTTTGTCACACAGCGTGCTGGGCAACACCTTCGTGGTAATGGGAACCTCCTGTTGTCTGTTTAAATGCGCCTCACGTAGTCAACAGAGAAGTTGCAAGGTTCTCGGTTCGGAACAGAGGAAGACATCAATCTGATGAAGAACGAATTCGACAAGACCACGAAACTTCGGTTCAGCAGTCCAAATGATCCGTCTTTCATCCGCTTCGGGACTGTGAGAGACAGAGACCTGGATTATAACATCAGATCCGGGCAGCTCAAACTCCCTGGGTAACATAACACTGCCATGGCTATTGGTTTCTAATGCGTTTTTCAATTACGCAGGAATGAAGTTGCTGCTCTGTTTGAACCCTCGGCGGAGGCTATCATAGCTGCTGTGGAGGATCAGCGTGAGGTAGCGACTCAGCCAATCAGCGTAAGTCAGGTATTACTGGGCTGGGCCAGTTGCTGAGGCGTTTAAGCATGTTTTCCTCGTCGGTGGATTCGGCGCAAGCGACTGGCTCTTCGCCAGATTGAGGGATCACCTGGAACCGTTAGGTCTCCAGTTCTGCCGACCAGACGGCCACACGTAAGTTTCTTAAGATAATTTGACAATTTGAGTGTAGATCAATAATCTGCTCCGCTTCATGGGATAGAAACAAAGCGGTAGCCAAGGGAGCTGTTGCTTTTTATCTTGATCATCGCGTCTCAGCTCGTGTGGCGAAGTTCACGTATGGAACGCGCTGCGCAGTAGCGTTCGACAGGAACGATGAAGAGCATCTCCGGCGGGCTTCTTCCGCGATTCCTCGTCCCTCAGGGCGTACAGTGATTCCGAATGCATTCAGTGCTATACTGTGCAAGGTCGTATAGCTTGACTTGCGACGATATTGGTATACTGAGTCGCACGTAGGGCATAGCAGTCTCTGAAACGAAGGAGTTCCGGAAAGATTTCATTGTGGAATGTGCAGAAAGGAACACATGTGATACCATCGCTACGGAGATCGTGTGCTACAGAGGCAACTCGCGGAACCCCCGATGGGCAGATTCGGAGCCAGGTAGGTAAAAGCGACTCAGAGATGTACCTACACCCTTACGCGATTTCGGGATCTAGCCATGTTTTCGAATCTATGCACTGTTCACGCAGACACATCACGAGTCTCCAGGACACTCAGCCCGCGTCGCGGTTTCGCGGGTATGCAATTCTACAGACAGCAATTCAGCATCGTCCTCAAATTTGGGCTCACCGAACTTGAAGCGCAGATTAGTTGGGTCGAAGACGTGAGCGTTCACACTTGTGCGATACTATGAAAAGCTGACTTCGTGTGGCCACAGGGTGAAGAGCAAAGGTACGAAACAGTTTTCTTTCATGAAATTCATTGAATTAAACCTTCGCACAGGGGTCCAGCAACGGTGGTTTTCGATCACGTGGTGGAAGCCATCTGAGTCTGCACATAGTGGATGTTACCACGGACATGCGTGCTTTAGGTATCATGGGTTTGAACCGTTGTGTATTTGCTAGCTGGTAATGGTACATGTACCAAGTAAAAATGATGTGAGAGGTGTGCAGGCCCCTTGTCACGTGCCCAGGTATGCTTTTACAGACCAAATAAGGCCAAGTCCAAGCGCTCCGTTCTCCAGTGCTCACTATTTTTGTTAGTGTCAATGAACGTCTACCTGCAGAACCCAAGTACTCAAACCCCTTCAGAAGCTCCTAATTCAGACATGCTTTTGGACCCGCTTATTTTGGGCATTCCGTCGGACGGTGACCCGTGGCCGACGGAACTACCGTTGAAGGCAACTTATTTGTTTACCGAGGGCGCAGAGGGTACATACGCTGCCTTTTGGTATAGGGAGGTGACCTGCTCTGTATTTAGCTCTTGAAGCTCAGAAAAGCGAGCTTCGTGCTAGATACAAGCTTCGGAGGCCACATCGACGATTTCTTCATTGGGTTTCGACAAACTGATCATCCGCTGTGCAGTAGTGATTGGTCGATCTGCGGCTTGATCGTCCAAAATGGTCCGAGCGTAACCATTTACGCACAACTACTTAAACTTATCCTTTCTCGTTGCTTTCGCCCGCATGAACATGGACCCATCTTCTTTACTAGCAACCGTCCACAATAACTTACTGGCAGTGGCACGCTCGGCCACTCTGTTCGACGTCGCTGCAGTCATCGTTGCCGTTTGCGCGCTTCATGGTACTTTGAGGGCTGCCCGAAGGTCCCTGAAGACGACTAAGCTTCGTGGACCACCTAGAAGCAACATCGTATTTGGCGCAGATAAGCAAATATTCGAATTGCCAGATCCCGGTGCTATATATGAGACATGGGAGAACGAATACGGCGTGGTTTACGAGGTTCCGACGACCTTGGGCGGGAAGAAGATCGTATTATGCGACCCAAGAGCACTTGCACACTACTACGCTAGGGAAACGTGGACCTATGTCCTCACGAGTATGGTCAGATCCTACTTTCAACTCAACGTAAGTACAATACTCAGCTTCTAATGGCCCCCTTTTTACTCTGCACCATTTAGTATGGACGAGGAATACTTTGGTCGCAAGGCGAAGACCACAAAAGGTAGGCACAGACATCCTGCGGATTGGGAGTTGTTTATTGAGATTTCGTCCCCAGGCAACGCAAGTCATTGACACCTGCGTTCAGCCAAGATGCTATAAGGAACCTCACTCCAATCTTTTACTATACCGCTCATAAAGTAAATTCGTCTCTCTCCACAACATCTGAGAATAAGAACGAGATTTCAGGCGAAATCCGCATGGGAAGCCATGATTGATGCCAGTGGTGGCGGCAGCACTATCATCGAAGTGCAGAACTGGTAGGGTGAATTTGTCCTCACTGCGATAACGAAAAGCTGAGGAGTCTTTGACCAAGGATGAACCATATTTCGTGAGTTAGCTTCGTTCGTAGTCACTCAATCCCATCCGATCTGACTGGTTGTTCCAGACTTGACACCATCGGGCTTGCAGGATTTTCTCATGATTTCGGCTCTCTTGATGGCAAGCAGACCTCAATAACCGAGATTTTCGGATCTCCAAAACTATCAGCCGTGAATGTCGGCCTTTTCCTTCTCTCACAAGTGTTTCCTCTGCTGAGCTCTGTACCGACACCGAGGACTAAAGGGCTTCGTGAGATGCAAAGAACTATAGAGGATATCGCGATGAAACTGCTAGCAAGGACAAAGAAGGAGAAGGAAGAAGGAGCCTTTGACGGGAAAGAGGAGAAGTCGATCATCGGAGTGCTGTGTACGTTTCGTTATTGATACGTGAGATTTCCCTTACAAACATTATATGCTAAGTAAAAGCCAGCGATTCGGACGCTGCACTTCATGTGACTCTTGAGGAGGTTCTGGCACAAGTAAGTATAACACTTATCACCGGCCGTACCTACTAGTTTCTTTACCTTTTAGATGAGGGTCCTCCTTGTGGCTGGATACGAAACAACATCTAGTAAGGCCATCTCTCAACTCACACCTTGTTACGGACTGATCGAATTCAACAGCCACGATGACGTGGGCGTTGCTTGAGTTGGCGAGGAACCCCGATATACAGCGCAAACTGCGACAGGAACTCTTAGCGTTCGGTGAAGAACCGACGTACGACCAGCAGCAAAGCAGTTTACCTTACCTCGATGCTGTGGTGCACGAAATCCTGCGAATCCACGCTCCCGTGACAGACCTTGTTCGCGTGGTGCGTTGAATCACAAGCGTATTCCTGTTGCTCCCTTAATCTGAGATAACCTTTCCCAGGCAGTGGAAGATGACGTTATCCCTCTCTCCGAACCTGTCGTTACCAGCTCTGGCGAAGTCGTCAACAGCATCTCCGTAGCACGTGGCACTCAAATCGGCATACCTATTTCCTGCATCAACAGATCTACCAGAATGTGGGGAGCAGATGCAAAAGTCTTCCGTCCAGAACGTTGGCTGGAGGAAGATGGGATTCCGAAGAAAGCACAGGATATTCAGGCATACCGACACTTGTTGACATTTGTGGACGGACCGAGGACTTGCCTTGGAAAGAGTTTTGGGTTGGCTGAATTCAAGGTACCCCTTCTTCGTTTCCCTAAGTTATATCAGCGTTGCTGATTAGACTTTCCTCAAGGCGGTTATGTCGGTGCTGGTGAGGAACTTTGTGTTTGAGATGAAAGATGGACCCGAAACGCAAGTGGAGGTTGACAGAGGATTGTTGCTGTTAACTAGGCCAAGGATAGTTGGAGAGCAGGGCACTAACGTGCCGTTGCGCGTTCGCCGATACGAAGGGTGAATTGATGATAGACATTTTGCTTGCGCTGACCTACGACATGCTACATGAACCGCCTTTGGGGTAACGTAGCTCATTGATATAGCATGCAATAAAAGATGAGAATGAGTGCAACAGCTAGGATCCAACTGACGGGGTCCTTGACTCTGGCCTGTCCATATACCTCGCTAGTAGCAAGACGTGCGGATTCCGGTGATATCTGCTATACAAACTACTACGCAAAAAATCATGTGCACAAAGTTGCCGATTCACTGGGAGGCACTTGTACGCCATCCTCACACTACCCTAATAATCAGATGGAAACTTGCCGTCCCTCCCAAGCCTGACCAGTTCAGTATTACTAAGGAGACAGGAGGCAAATGCCTGTGTTAAGTCAGAGAGAATCACACACAAGTTACGAAGGTCGGCCGCACCTCTAGTTCTGTTTTGCTCAAGGCTATTGGGACCCGAGGAGCTGACCGGGATGTCATAGCAGGACAACGCACAACAACCGGAACAGTTTCCCTTGCTGACTCGCCGTTTTTGCCAATTTTTTCAGGTGAGTTTTTAGGCACAGGCGATCTCACAGGCAATCGCAGGGATGGTTTTGCGTTGTCAATTTTTGGACTGTCGAGGAAGTTAGCTCATCGTCATCCAGCAGACCTACTACATATGCATACGTCAATGCAATTGAACGTTGCTTGCTGTCGTCACCGCCACAAACGATTTTTTCTCTCTCTTGTGCCTTTTTTTTCTGTGACATGTTTTTCAACACGTCTTGTTCGAGCTGTTCCCAGTCTCTCTCCGGAAGGGTTGATTGTAATGAACCTGCATTCGCGAGTCCATCAGCGGCTTCGTTTCCTTCCAATCCGACATGCCCGCGGACATGCTTGAACTCGACGGTCTGGCCTGACACTTTCCTTGCATGGAGCAAAGCCGAAAGGTACTTGATCAACGCACAATTCTTCACTGGTTGTCCGCCAGTAGTGCGGAACCCGTTGGTCATCCATTTAAAGATCCAACTCGTTACGCCTAAAATAAATACGATGAGCATTGTATTGCATGTAACATGAAATGCATCGACATTGTATGGAGTATTGTGAATCGGTCTTGATCAGCAGTTTACGTTTTAATGCTGGCGTCGTCTCTAGGATGCGTACGATGGCCTACAGTAATCAGATTATGCAAGGCAGGATCTCAAAGCATTCTCACAATGAGTTCAGCCCTATTGTTCGTTTGGGCTCCTGGGCACCGTTCTGACAGATTCCTTGGCCAAAATTTAGCAGTTGGCAAATAACAGATTTGATGCTTGCACTGTACCTAGGATCGTTGCGGCCCCACCATACGCCTATACCTGCTATGGAGCCATCCTGGCCATTTCCTTTACACGCACCATCGCAATACACAACGTTGAACTCCTTAGCGTCCGCATCGGATGCAAAGATAGTTTGTACAGTGCTTGTGATGGGTTGATGGCCAGTTGATATCGACTGAGCCTTTCCTGGCAATTCAGATGGAATATCAAGTTTTCCAGCTACGGAAAGCCTCTGCTTCTGCTCGTGTGGAGAACCCCTTGAACGCAGCACCTGGGAAGCCCTTCACTCGGACTTCGCATTCTCCCCTTGATTGAAAAAAAAATCAGTTGGAGGTAACCGAGTTTGCGAAGGAGTCCCACAAACCAAGTTGGATATATACTGGGCTGGCGGCCCTTCGTAACTGCATAATATGCGACTTTGGATGATGCCTTTGCCATCGCCGTGGCTTGTGACAGTTGGGAACTTCCGATGAAATGCTGCGATAAGCAAATGGGGGCCAAATCGCTAAGCCACTTACACCAGGGTGTGGTAAGTAACGTCAACCCACCCACCAGACCAAAAGACATGTCAGTATCAAAAAAAGAAATTTGTCCTCCTGATTCCTTCGAGACAAGCTGGCTCATACATATCAGATCCATTTCGGGAATGATTACTAATCAACGAAGACCTCCCTGGTGACCAGATACTACGACTAATGATGACGAGGCAAGCTGTTGATAGGCGGTTTCATCAAGAAACCAACCCTACTCTGTAGGATTTGGGAACTTTGCAAAACCCACTGCCTTTCTGTACAGTATCTGTACAGAAAATACAGAGTAGGGATGGTTTGCTGATAGTTGACCTCAGATATGTCTACTACCATACTAGCCAAGGCCGGCCGCCGTATCTGCCTCCCAATTACACATGCTACTATATAAACAGGGTGACTTGCGGCGGCGCTTGCAGGTCCCCTTGTTCCAACGGTGACCTACCCTGCTCACTGCCACACAACGATAGACTTGCGGTTGGCTCCTGCTCACATCCGATACCAGTTCTATCCAGACTATGTCGCACCTTTTGTACTGGCCAGGTCGAATTTTCTTCTATGCGCTCGGCAACACGTCTGCTGTTTGCCTCACAGAGGAATTGCCCCCCGAACACAGGGCGGATGTGCTCCTCCTCGGCTGTGGTGACCCCAGGCACATTTTATACACAGTCTATGCTGATGCCTCGACGTCGAGTGGTAGGGTCTCGTATCATGCGGTGATTTTTTTTTGCTTCTGACTGCAAGAATAATAGAACCTCGCAAGCTTGACATCACCTGTTGTGATTGCGAAGCCGCTGTACTTGGTTTGCGCAACCAGCTCGAGCGAGTGCCATCTTACTCATGTCATTTTTTTGATAGCTCGGAATACATTACTCTTCACCCTCTTAGCCGACGATGGCGCCGAAGATAGACTTCTCAGCATCTGGAACGTATTTTACCATATGATGCTGGATGAAGGCTCGCTTTCATTGCTCATCCAGCAATGTCGCAAGCTCGTTCCGCTTGCGGAAAGCCTGGATTCATGGAGACAAGGTCCATATGCGCACATCGTCGTCATGTGCAACTCAGACACACTTTCGGAGATCGGTCGATTCTGGAAAATTTGGCTTGGAACCTTCAACTTCGATGCTAAGCAAGCTAAGCGTTTCAAGGAGAATTTCCAGGATGGCATCATAAACGTGCAGCGAGGACACGAAGCCGACCTCATAACGACTTCTATGCGTTCAGCAGGACCTCTTGCTCCAGTGACACTACTCGCTGTTTCGGAACAATTCAAGCGCTTCTGGATGACGGGTGTCACGGATGACGGGTCCCCAGACGTGAAACCAGCGAACAACCCCAATCCCACCTTCGCTTTCTCCTTGTCCGGAGAGAAGTTCGCTGTGCACTATGGCACAGACCCCATTTCTGGTTTTCATCTTGCAGAAGCTCTAGCGTCTTCCGGACTTGAATGCTCTACCAAGTCACCATCAGTAATCCACAAAGTCGTGCGGACTGCGCGCCAGCAATTTGGTACTTGGTGCAAGGCTGTCATACGCCGTGTCCAGAACACAAGTGTGTCCTCAGCATCCTTGGTAGTGCGGATGTATGCTGGAGAGGCACTTGCGTTCTGTCAGGCACTTCATTCTGTTAACAGGCCTTCCGTGACACACACACCGATATTCGTCGCGCCGTGGAAGCGATCAGTGGTACAGCTCGACGACGCGTTATACTCTCCGAGCGCGCCAGCTCCGGCCCCGACTTCCTTCAACGTGATTGAGACGTCGAATCTTCTTGATCATGTCGGATTGCAAAGCCTACTCACCGTCACTATTCCCCTCCTTTGTGGCTCTTCCTCGTCGACACTTTACACAGACGCTTTACTACTTGCAGGCGATTCACCTGCCCAAAGCACCTTGAACCACATATGCGGTGACCTCTCTACCATTTCACTACTGTTAGGTGTCGTTCCTTGTTCCTATATTTCCCGTTTCACCACACGTTTCAACTTCGATAACATGATGCACGACATCACAAAATCTTCCTCGACGCAGTGTCATCAACGTCTTGCTTGGAAGCATATCAATTTTGGCCATCATTCGGATGGTTTGCATGAGGGCGAGCTTACGTTTACTCCACACCAACTGGCCCGAGAGCTGTTCGACATATACTTGAGGATGTTCTCCGATGAGGATCTCAGAAAACAGATGGCCATCTTGTCTCTAGATAAACCTCTATTGATGGGCAAGATACAGCCGCCAGGAATTATCCATTATACGCGCCGCAGCTTCGCTTTGTTGCTCGCACATATCAGAACAAGAGTCCGGTGCGACTGGAACAAAGTCATCAATATTCTAGAGGCGTTAGTTCTGCAGGATCGTACACTTCTCACTGGGTCGAACTTTTACCAAGAAACGGTCTGTCAACTATACCTCGCAGGTTTCAGTCTTTCCTGGTTTGGCCCTGCACAAATACGAGAACTTCGCTCTCAAGAAGACCCTCCCATTTTCAGGTCGTGGAGCATGGTTCCCGAAGTCGTGACAGTCGTGCTGGTGGTTCCACGTCACGCCATCGCTAAAGTACAATCTGACCTTTCAAATGCTGGTACACCTTATCTGCAATGCGGAATTGAAGTCGATGGCAAGCATGGCGCCTTCGCATGTATCTCGGCATCATTCGGCAATCTTGAGATATCAGGCGAGGGGGAGAATAAGGTGGCAGTCGTCGTCGAGGACAGAGAGGGGATCAATGGCATGTCGCCTTTGATCGTCTCCTTCCCTGTTCTTTCTACCATAGTCATCCGCACCTCTGGTGCAACTGTTGGCTTGGCGGTGCGCCCGAATTCTCAAACTGCGGCGTTGGTGAAAAAGTTAGGGCTAGAAATGTGCCTGTTCAAGGCTCTATTGACCGATGAACGATATGCCCATGTCCTAACAAGGTCACCAACAACTAGCAAAGGCACGACCAACTCGGAGTACCCTCTTGTGCCTCCTAAATTGGACACAGTGTCTCGGGGAAATCCAATCCACGTGGAAATGGACATCTCCAATAGGCGGATTCGGTCGCTCACCGCACGCATTGACATCGTAGACCCTACAGGACAAGCTTCACTTGCCAGCAGTTGCGCGGTTACTGTGGAGCAATTATCTCTGAATGGAGCCAAGCTACACGTCGATCAATACCATCATATCATCCCCTTCCCCCTCCCTGTTGACGTAACAAACGCCAAGCTTCGCGTAGCACGGAAGTCGAAGTACGTCGAGGTGGGTGTCTTGGATACCTTGCACGGCCCGTGATTCACGTTAGAACAGGTGGTTGCGCCAATGACACTGGCACTCGACGTCAAGGGAGAATGCAATGTGACGAGGAATTTCAGAACAACCTTTGATTGTGGCGTACCGACGCTCTGGAATATGCACCGCGTGAATCTGGATCGTTGCCCTTCCTTCAAGCTCTCCAAGAGTCGCACAGCATTCAACTGGCTTGAACCGCATGTTGCACTTATGTTTTCGCAAAGGGAGTACACGTTGCGTGCACAGAGCACGTTCCCCGGGTCTATCCCTGATACATTTATGAACTTGAAGGATTCCCTCTACACTCTGTTCGTTTCTGCCACCAGATTGGATGGACCCACTCATGCAGAGTTTGCGTTGTGGAATCCTGAAGAGAACAGATTCTACGCAATGATTCTCGTTACCGATATCCGACTGGATATTGGCTCCCACACGGTCGTAGCTGATTCGTGGATCATACCAGGGTCAAATGATATTCAAGACAAATTGAAGAGGGAGGTAACACCGGCGCTTTCTATCAAGACGGATGCCCACGAGTCCGAAGCATGGAGACATTTGCTTCCGCTGTTAATCGAGCGGTGCCGTACTTGGAAGCACAAGCCAACTTGCGAGTACCTCGTTCATAACTCTCTTCCACTCTACCCAGGTTCCGGGTCGGACCCAAAGAAGGTGCCGTGGTGCTCTTGTGGGATGGGTGTCGGGACGAAAGTGTTGAGGGAACGGTACGGCAGCGCCTCGGCCAGATACGCGACGAGGGCAGCAATCAGCCCGTTGTTCCTTGTCTCGTACATGGAGAAGGTCGGAATGAAGATAGACGGCCCGGTTGGGCCTCTCGCCATGACAGGGTGTACGGTGTGCGGAAAGGGTGGCGTTCCGTTGTCTGCGTGTTCCAGGTGCAAGAGCGTCAAGTACTGTTCGAGAGATTGTCAAGTAAAGGATTGGAAAAAGCACAAGACGAACTGTGTATCAACGTGAGCTATGTATCATAGCACTTGTATTCCCATCTCAATTGCTATGTTTGTACCTGCCCATTCAATCTTTAACACGTCGGGGTTCCAGCACTTTTGGTTCCATACTATGTGCCGTCTTTTCCACTCGCAGACTTGCCTTTATGTGATGATTGGCAGTCAGATGTTGGATACTGGTACATCGGGCTGGTAGGTAATATTTCAACTGGGGTTACAGTGTAATTAGAGACCATGAACCCTGATGGCATTCAGGAATAGGATATGTAAGTGGTTGAACGAGACATCTTACAACAGGACGAGATATGCAAATGAAGAAAAACAAAAAGCAACATACGGCAGAATTATTCGCGGATCGCGAATCCATGAAACTCTCCCTGATCTACAGTATAGCTGGCAATGAATCACCGGTAAAAGCATCATCTTGCTCAGTACGCGTCATCATCCCGCGGAGCGACGGATATGGCGAGCGGTAATTGAACTCCACGACTAACCTCGCCATCCACGGTAGGCACCATCACCAGAGAGGACTCACGTCGAATATGCATCGCTTTCTCTGTGAGCGATACTTCAAATTGATTGATAATCTCTACCAGGAACGCTTGAATCTCGATGACACTGTGACGCATAGGTGTTGTTCAGCCGTACTCTTGCGCTGAATATATGATAGCACTTACGCGAATCGCCAGCCTAGACATGCGCGGGGTCCACCTCCAAATGTCAACCTAGGAGGAGAATGGATAAAGAATGGGTAGGAAAATACACACGGACTCACAGGCTGGAGTATACACCAACGGCAGCTTCCTTTTTGTCCTTCGCAATGCCATCCAACCAACGGTCCGGATTAAACACGTCGGCATCTTCACCCCACATGTCCTTGTTGCTATAACATCTTCAATACATATCCCAAGTGGAAGCGATAGAAATCACGGACCGATTGTATGCAGCGACAGATGCTAAAATCTGGGTCCCTTTCGGAACCAGGATCTCATGCATTAATTCGCCTGATTCCGTCGTAATTGGTTGAGAAAGTGGCAGAAGGTAGTCCTGACTAGCCATGCGAAACACCTGAGGCAGCACACAATGATACCGCAAAGTTTCCTGTAATCACCAACGTCGGATTAATCACTGCGTCAAGACATCAAACGCATGTTTACCTTAACGACGGCATTCAAGTATGGCATATTATCTAAGTCGGACGCGGTGAACTGCGTGTCGCCACGAGCGCGAACGGCAGACTTGTGCTGCCTTATCTCCGATCTGAGTCTCGACTGTATCTCAGGAGCTCGGGACATTTCCAGCAGGGCCCAACCGATCGAATTTGAAGTCGTTTCGTGTCCCGCAAAGAGGATTACGCTACAATAGCGGTAAGTTGACAAAATCACCACCTTCGGCCTGTGAACGTACCGCATCTGAGAGTATAGCTCCTCATCACTTAGTTTGTTCTTCGCCTCAGCGTCCATGTTTGCTTTGACTGCGAAAACGATGATTACACAGGTCACAGGCGTCACGTACCACTCACCAAGCAGCGAGAAAATATCCCTGCCCCCCTTCCCTTGCAAAAGAGACTCTGCCTTCTCTGTCACCATAGTTGCTGCAGTGGCGGTGGTGACTTTCTTCGCTTCACGGAGACGTGTGGCTCGGGGGACTGGGGCATACTTGACCCAGTATTCGAGGATCGATGTCGGAATGTACTTGATAGCTTCCTGAATGAAGATTTGTAGCGCCGAAGGGGAACCAAAGACGCTCAGCCTGGGCAGCAAGATCAACCCTACCTTCCAGAGAAAGACGGCATAACGACGTACAGCAACCCTTGGTAATTTTTCGCCAGCGGGCTCTCCGAATTCTCGAGGCTACCCAGCCGGACGTCGAAGGCACCTGATTTGGAATTGAAAATATAAGCCCAGATCACGAAGTCGACTGCTACATTTACATACCTTCTCCTATGGCATCCAAAGCTGCTCGAGAGACCCAGCTTGGGATGTCCATTACAATCTTGCCACTATTATCAGCCTCGACGAATTCCATCCACTTTGCAACCATCTTAACAATAGATCAATATCGAGCCTTATCCAATGGCAAACAACTTACAGCCTGGGCAGAAGCCTGTGATACCACTAAGAATGCCCTTGATTCAGCTCCCCCGAAACCAGGATTCAATATCTTCCTCTGTCGCTTATGGACGTCGCCTGCCGATATGACATTGTCAGATGAGTTTCTGCTAGATCTCAGGTTTGAACACACCATCTGCCCAGAGAACACTCTTTCCCAGCATCATGAACGTCAGAATTCGACGTTCTGGTACTTTTGGGAATTGATATGCGGCGGTGACGAATATCCGTGACAAGGCCTTCGGATCAGCAACCACAAGTTGATCCTCCTATGAAGGAAGATAAGAAAACCTCGTATACAAAACGTAGCAGCACACCTACACCAAGGATGCCTTTGACTCGGATGACTATTGCCGTAGAGGTTTTTCCAACGGAACTCTGCTTCACCGGCCATGTCCTGATATAACTCGGCAAGGTTCCCTTTGCAGCACGACTCAGGAGAGGGATGATCAGGCGAATGGCGCACTCACCAAAAAGGAACGACGTGGACTTAGGTCCGCGCACTCGAGAAAGAGAGGTTCTGGTGCAACGCCTGTAGATAGCATATAAGACGAGGGAAAGGCACAGGGGAGTCAAGTAGCGATCCATCTGAGAAGCTGATGAGCATTCCCTCCAGAACGCAGCGCTGTTTATATACCATATGAATTTGTGCGCGTCCGCCGCGGTATTCGTCCTGTTACGAGGAGTTACTCACCGACATTGGTAACCCAAAAGTACCGGGAGTCGGCAGTATGGCAAACCGTACACCGAGTGTGAGTGACACACTCGTCAAAAAGTAATTACTGTAACGATCATTGACTCAGAGTCTTCCTTCGGAATGTGTGTCATAGTACTTGACTAATAGTTAGGGGGCAATCTGACCTAAAAGGTCAAAGCCGACCATGTCCGACGGCCGCGACAAACCTCTTTGTCCAACTGGATATGGTATCCAAGCTGACTCGCCCGAGTCAGATGCAATGACGAGGCAAATGTGACACTATTCAATCTTTTGCCATCACCGACGGTTTCCACTGTCTGCCTCAGCGTGCAGTCCATCCCGTGCTGAAAGAAGTCATGAATCCTGAATGTCATTTCAATTAGTACATACCACAGCATTTCTTATACATGGGATGCGTGCATCACCGAATGTTAAATCTCATAACAGCGTAACCAAACCATGTAATCGGGAAAAAGAAAGGGGGGATAGAGGGCTGTACGACCTCCCTGGCAATCTTTCATTAAGAGAAACGAACGCGAGGAGCGCCTGAGGGTGTAGCCAGTAACGTACCATCGATAAAACAATTACTTCACGCTTCCTGGACCGAGGAGCAACTGGTATAATGACTGGTAAATGAACCCTACGAACGTCGCCGTCTTCCACGTAGGCGCTATCAATACACACGGCTCCCGCCGGATTCTATTGGCTGTTTCAGTGATGAATACCTCGACCTTGCTAACAAGTTCCATCAAAAAGGTCTGAACTTCGATGACGCTGTGTGGATGAGGCGAATCGGGTCATTGTGTAACCGTTGGTCAACGTTGCTTAGTCAGACACTTAAGCAGAATATAATTACGGCAGTGCTCACCACCATGGCCAAAAGACAATCTGGGGAGTGAGAAAGGCTTAAAAACGTGAATAAGTTGGTACACAAGAAAACAAAGGCTCAAGCATACACCAGTGACAGCTTCCTTCTTGTCCTTCGCAATGCCATCCAGCCAACGGTCTCGATTAAACACATCAGCGTGCTCACCTCACATATTCTTGTTGCTAAAACGTCTTCGGTACATATTTCGAGCGAAAGAAATAGAAGCACAAACCGGTTGTATGCAGCAACAAATGTTACAACGCAAGTCCCTTTGGGAACGAGTGTCTCGTGCATTAACCCGCCCCCTTCCATCTTAATCGGTCGAGAAAGTGGCAGAACGTAGTACTGACCAGCCACACGCAACAACTAAGGTGCTGTGCAATGACACCCCAAGGCTTCCTGTTGCGGCTGCGATGCGAGCAACGCTCGTTCTGCGTGCGATATCTGCACATTATATGACCGCCTAACGCCCCATGATAGCAATATCACCATCTCTGCGATGTCGAGGGCGGCACCGACAGGATGCAGAAAGAGAGGTTCTTTCCAAAGACGACAGAGTAGAACAACCAAAGACCAACCGCTTGTCAGACAGACACGGTTGTCCGATGGTGCTTGCTGATTGGCAGCGACATCTGCATCTAAGTTGGAAATTGTATTCTTCTGCCTGGCGTGGTTGAATTTTTACGGCGAATTACTCACCGGTGTTCATAACTCGATGGTGCCAGAACTCCCTCCGCAGTGGTCCATACTATGTAGTCTGCGTTCGTTAGCAGGCCTCGTAGAGGAGTTCAACAATTTCGATAGTTTGGGACTTGGCAGCATTTGACAGGGTCCACGTGGATATACATAAGCACGTGATCGTGCATGTTGATCGCTGCGACATGTCTTGCCGATCACAAGTCTACACCCGCGGAGCCATTTCGATTTGACACGGGGGAGAGACGCCTCTAACGTGAGACTCTCTCGTATCTTTCCAAGTGATACTCATGACTTTCAGCTCGATGCAGTTATAAGCTTATTGGGTGAGAAGGATGTCGTGTCGACTGCAGCCACTAGAATGGGGAAAACAAAACATCAATCCATCTATGTTAGTTTGCTATCTTGCAAATGCTCTCGAAGCGGAAATGGTGTGTATATAAACTGGCAGGTCTCATACTGCGAGCAAGACTTGGGTTTTCAGCAGGAGGAAAAGAAGATAGCCTCTGGGCTTCATGTGAGAGTAGTTGATTGAGATACAGCATGCTGGCACGTCTGAAAGCATGACGAGGATCATTACAGAAAAACAGCGCGAGGGGCCACCATTGTCCTGATAGCCCCAGAGCAGCTTCTCTCACAATGCTTCCGAAAGCCGTCATCTCAGACAAAGTTTGCCTGGCGGTTATGCATGATGGCCATAGATGAAGTGCATCTTCTGAATACATGAGGACAATCCTTTCGGAAGGCATTGGTGGTAGTTCGTATCCGCCAGCATACATTATACTAAATATCCTTGCTGCCTCGACGTGCCGCAATGGACACGTGTTGACCACTAACTAAGCTCACTCTGGGCAGAAAGTGATCGTATACGCGGGACTCTTTGACCCATCGCACGTCCACAAGGCCGTTCCGCTTGACTCGTCGTAAGCATAACAATAGGAGTTCGGGCAATTGCTTTCTGTTTCAAGTTGTCAGGGTCTATATACCTGGTAAAAGTGAACGAGACACAACACGCACTGAAATAGCTATAATACTGAACGCCAGAAGACGGGCAGGTTGCTGGAGTGCTGTAATTTCCCGTGCAACAGTTGGGGGAGTTGGCTGGATGTGGCAGGTAATTGCATAGATAAAAATCTTGAAAAAAAATCAGGCATTACTCACCAGTGTCGCTATCGAGGCCGGCTTCACAAGCGCTTTTGCAACCCACGATGTTACCCGACACGTCAAACGGCCCCCGGAGAGGAGTTGGACCTGTGCAACACTAAGCAGTGCAGTCATGGTCAAAAAAATGAATGCTTAAGAACAATTTGGCCCCAGATCAACGGGACAGTCTGCAACAGAACACCCAACGTTGTTCGTGATGCTTACGGGTATATTGAAGCCATCCACGAGGGATACTGGTCAGAGACGCGTATGATCAACATCGACTGGTGAGCTATGCCAACCAATACAGACCATCGTAATAATCCGTCCCGGTATCACCACCGAGAGTAAACTCGGCAAGTGTTGCTGGCGGCGCACCCTTCAGTGGTATGATCAGAAAAGGCGTGCCAGAATCCTCGGTGGAATATCTCACAATTCCGTTGCATTGCAAACCGCCACTGCAACCGCCGTCTAGGCACGAGTTCGAGTCTGCAGTAAAGGTACAGCCGCGACGGCCCTATCCGTGGCTATGAACAAGGCTAGAGGGGCGGTAGCCTAAAGACATACCCAGATCCTAGCAGAAGACCAGTTGTCTGGCACCTAATATGGCAGGCTAGTCAATATGAAGTCTGGAACTCGCGGAACGTCCCTCACAGTAAAGGTCACTGATGTCCCCGCAGGGGCTTCCCACCTAAAAAAACGATTCTCTCAGCTGTTTTGAAAAATACGCCTTACGACGGACCCTCCAGGGTAGGTTGGAGCCGTTCCGATAGCTGTGAACATCTGACGATCATTAACTTCAGTTTGTAGCAAAGAAAGGGCAAAGTACCGCGGGCCTGAGGTGTTGGTTAGCGCCACTACATATGTCAGTGGTAGAAAAACGCCAGGCTCACCAAATGGTGTAGCCGCAATTGTTCGTTACAGTGATTTGGCGCGCTAGAGCACCGGGTAGCAGAGCAATGAAGGCAATGGCGGTCAGCATTATTATTCCCTGCTGCAGCACGGCACAGTTAGGAAGGCTGCAACGTCGGGATATGCATACTCGATTGGCTGGCTTTTATCTAGGGGGTCGACAACTCCTGTTGATGACCTCATATGCACCTATCCAGCATGCTGCGGTCAGTCACGGCTTGGACCTTGCTCCCTGACGTTCCCTCCAGTGAGAACATTGCTTTAAGCTGACTGTCAAGATGGAGCTGGTCTGACTAACCGCGACGAGTCGTGATGTTAATTCCCAACTCATGTCAACCAGAGAAACGGATTAGTCGTAACGGCAGGAACCACGTAGAACCACTTCCATAACGGCCAGTTGAAACGCTTCATACGTGGGCGGAATGATTCAAAGAGTTTCGCGAGGCTACTCCCCTTCCACTAAGTGATAGGATGAATGGAGCCCTCAATCGAAATGAGCATACCTGTCCTTTGAAAGCCGTGGGTCGGAAGGAGAGCTTGGGTCCCCAGCAAACTTAGACTGCTTCCGGACCCACTGACAGCGAGGCGGACTGCTGTTTATAGAAGTGGGCTGGTGGCACTTGGACCGGGATTCAAAATTGTTGTCGACGAGTATGTAATTTAGCTGCGGGAGCGCGCCACAAACGCCGAGTCTAATGAGTTAGGAAGCCCTAGTGCTGCAATTTAAGTCACTGAAGGACCTGCACATGCATTTTTCGGTCCCTGCCACGTCTCTTTCCTTAGAGAGTAGACGTCAGCAATTTCAATGGCAATCCCATTACCAGATATTTCCGTTTCACTCAATGATAATCCTCAGGGCGCCCCCGTTAGTTATCAGTTTGGACGATGCCTTCAGCTTAGAATTGGAGAATGATCACCGATTTCGGGATGAAGTTTCAAACTCTGACAATACTAAACTAACAGTGCGTAAATAGTCCGTAAGTAGAAAACGACACTTACGGGGTCCCTTCCTGGATTTCCCGAAACTTCGCTTAATGCAATCCGTCGGATCGAGAGACGGTGGGAACAAAGTGTTCGCCTCATTACAATCTCTACCCAGTACATACACTCCTGCACAGTTCTATGGTGGGTGTGACTCGCTCACCAACGTGGTGACAAAACCTTGGAGAAGCAGATAGTCATCTGCAAGTCGATGTCAGTTTTGGGGCTTACACTCGATAATATTGATCCCTCACATTAGTTAATTCGTTTGCTTAGCTGGAAAATCTAGTAAGTGCGTGACAACGAAGCTATGTGGGTCGGCGTCGATGGCAAGCCGAAAACGATCTCGAAACACCTTGCTCACGCAATCCAAGGTGACGGATTGAAGAAGGGGGAGGTAACACGTCATCAACGAGGACTCGTCCAAACCGTCAAATTGCTCGTTTCGAACGGTCAATCGCAGCAGCATGAATGTCTCTTGCAAGACCGCCAGGAACTCGCGGAAATGGATTCTACCTGCTCGTTTGTCTCCTGTGACACAACCAACGGAGGACTGTTCATCACGGGGACGCGGCCAAGACAGGGAGAGCGAGCGCAAGCGAAGTAAGTCATGAAACCCATCGGATTTGGGATAACATGCCGGTTTGAATGAGTAATTGTCCACGCTGAGACACTGAACCACATGAGTGATCAACTTCCACCCTTTTCCAACTTCTTCGCCGCTAGCATCGAAAAGTACCTCTTGTTCCTGGCCACGATCACCGTCACCGTCATCTTCCTCATATCCCATGTGGAAATATACCAGCCGTCGAGCTTTCCCACGCAGTGTTTTGCGGGCCACTGCAAGGTCTGAGCTGCGAGACAAAGAGTATCTGAGGCCTTCGAGGCGTTTGATGTGAGGGACTACGCCTCTCGTTATGTCCTCGACCTCTGCCTGTGCCGAAAAGGGCGAACTGTCCTGTATCACTGCTATTCCAATGATCAAATTTCCGGACCAGCTCAGCATTTCTTGGATTAGCTCTGGCATAGTGATCCCAACGACCACGACTATCCTTGTCCAAAAGGACGGGAAGGAAGAAGAACATATGACGTCTTTCCACCGACTACAGACCGAAGCAGCGTTGTACGGGAATAGACTGGGGGAATGCGGGTCGAATGCAGTGGCATATGTCGGGGCTGACAGCCCAGGGGGCTCACATTCCCGGCTACTCTCGTCGCAGGACTCCCAGAAGACATGGGTAAAAATTTCGATGAGCAGTTCAGTGGGAAGCATAGATATTGGGGAAGTTTTCTTTATGCTCTCCTTGCGAGGACGGCAATGCTTGACTCTGTCGACTAGCAAACGGGAAAGGATTGCCGCTGCAGAATGACACTCATTCATACTCATTCTTGGGGGAGACGTCAATCAATTGTAAACGCGGTATTGTTGTACTGACCAGGTGATGCACGGGTAAACGGGCGAGGCGTCCAAAAGTTTGTCGCAGGGCGAGAGAAAAGAAAAGGAACAGAGAAAAACTCAGGGAGGACACATTACCCGGTGGTGGGAATGGCGGCCGCCCTAAGCGGTGACGTCTCATGCTCCAGCGAATCTCTCCCTGGGTTAACAGCCTGTGAACAACAAGTTTAAGTATCGTACGCTCCACTGCCAGACAGAGGACACGGCTACCGGTGATGGCAAGCACCGATCATTTGGTTTGTTTACACAACGACACTGTTGAGTCTTCCCTCCACCTCTGCTTGACTGACCGTGATACTAGCAGACCTGCATGATAAGCTCGTACGATGGGTTTGTGAGCGTCACCGTGTGCATGGCGGCCATCTCTAACATCACATCCGAATCGGTATGAAGCTTGTCTCCGAGTCGTGTGTGAAAGACCCCAGCTGATGCACCACTCCGGTTGGCGCCGGTGTGGAGCTCACAGTCTAGCACCCCCATGTCCCCCGCACACAGGATATATGTTGGATCGTACACCGACGCAATATATACGCTGGAATTTCATCCATCGCCCCCGGGGTCAGACTCACCAACTCTGGCGCTCCTAGGAAAGACCCATGTAGGCCAAAACCCGTCGTGGATAGCTCAACATCCATCCGATAACTCGCTGGTATTTACTGGGCTCGAACAAGAGAACGGTGAGATTGCAGTCATCAGGTACGGGGAGGAAGCAGAAGGTATAGTCGTCGCGAGGGCGAGGAGTGGCGGCAGCGACCCTTGCTCGCTGCTCGCGACGGAGGACGAACTTCTTATTGGAAACGTGAGTTGCCCGTCGTTCCTGGATCATCCTCAGACGGCAGTTGACTGTCAACCTACCCCTGACATTGTGCCATATCATCCAGTATTCCTCCGGGACGTTGGCAACTCTACCCATCTCTACCGAGCCCCCCTTCGTGCTCACCCCGACGCCATGGACGCTCTCTTTGCCATTTGAAAGGCCTGGACCTAACAAAGCTCGTCAGGCTTCTTCCCACCCCCATCAAACCATCTTCAGTACCATAGATACCACTTCTGCAGAGAAGGAGCTCCTTGTCCCGGATCTAGGAGCAGACAAGATATGGCGCCTCAGGAAAGGCAGCGATAATCGCTGGGCTATCTGCGGCTACGTACAATGCCAATCCGGTGGTGGGCCACGCCACGTCGCCACTTGCGGTGCGTCCTTTCCGTATGGCAGTATGATGCATTCCCACAGGTGTCACAGGAAAGACGCTGTACACCTTACTTGAGCTTACTTCGCAATTATCTGTGCACCCCTTTCCTCCAATCGATATGAGCCCACCCCAGAAATCACTGTCCACGCTTCGGACTCCACCACCAGCGCCGCACGCTATGACTACAGCTGAAATTCTGTTACCTGAAACGAACGCCACATTTTCCGAGCCTTACATATACGTGTCTAACCGTGATGACCCAAGCCCCGAGGGAGACACGATTGCTATTTTCTCCCTTGCGAATGGAGAGGCAGAGCCGGAGCTTGTGACAGAGGTACGTACCGGACTAAAGCACCTCCGTGGTATGTACTTTGGTGGAGAAGACAATAAATGGCTCATAGCCGGTGGGACCGAGGGTGGTGGTGTGAAAGTTTTCGAGCGAGTACAAGGGGGAAAAGACCTGCGGGTAGTAGCGAGCCTTGGAGCGGATGTCGTTCCAAAGCCTGCTAGTTTCTTGTGGGCATAGCTAATTCCCCATTCTTATATCCCAGAAAATTGTAAAGAAAAAATGTTTTGTTTGTACGATAGACGTGCTAGACGACATGGACGATTAACGAACCATGATGATCATACGCTCCACTGGATATTATCTACTCATCCAATAACACCATCTCGCTTGAGCCGCGCGACTTCGTCGGAATCCAAGCCAAGATCCTCCTTCATGACTTCCTCGGTATGTGCACCAAGGTCAGGACCAGCCCATCTAGTCTTGGCATCTGAACCTTGTAAGACGGGGAACACGCGAGACATCTTCACATTCCACCCGCCATCTTCCTTCTGTACCCAAACATCCTCGACAGCATCGCGAGCCTTGACCTGCTCGTGATCTACAATTTCTCTTACGCTGAGAACCCGCCCAACGGGCACACCCGCTGATTCCAATAGCTCATAGACTTCTTCGGCAGAACGTGAACTCGTCCATTCCGTGATGGCTGCCTCGATTTCTGCTTGGCGAGTGACTCGATGGTGATTGTGGGCATAAAGCGGTCCTATAAGATCTTCACGACCGATGGCACGCATCAATCGTGTGTACAGGGTATCCCCATTGGCACCGATGATGATATACGTTGGGAGTTCTCCCGTCGATGTCGAGGGGAGACAAGGGTATGCATTGGTAGGGACAATTCCCGTAACAGAAGACCCCGATGGCCCACGGACCTGGAGGGGGAGAAACATGCTAGGTATCGATGATCATCACGAGCCACAGATCCTACCTTTCCTTTCCGATCATACTCTGGAATTATACCTTCCATTAGATTCATCATGCTAAGCAGAAGTTTCAAAGCTACACTTCGGCCACCGGAGGAAAGCTAACCTCTCCATGATGCTAACATCAACGGTCTGCCCTTTCTGCTCACCAAGTGAGGCCAACTTTTCCCGTGACATCAACGCCAGGACCTGCAGGAATACTCAGCAATTGCGCCGTACAGGCAAGGTCGGTTTGACTTACGGTTCCGAAAGCGGCATGGAGCCCTGCAACTGAGTCCCCTAAGCTGATGTTTGGTCTAACCGGCGGACCAGCATGCCCATCCGTCTTTGGATCCACGAGACCGTTGATGTAACGGAAACCAGATTCCGCTTCGCAAACGGATGCATAACCGGGACGAGAAGACCACGGTCCTGTCTGACCATACCCACTAACTCGAGTGAATATGAGAGAGGGATTGAGCGGATGCAGGTCGGAAGGACCCAATCCCCATTTCTCAAGTGCTTATCGGAAGCAGAGAGTCAGTACCTTTGGTAACCACGCGATAGGAAAAGGATAATTTACTTCCAGGCTTGAAATTCTCAAGTACCACGTCGCTCTTGGCCGCTAGCCACTTCACAAGTCTGGTGACACCATCAGTATTATATGGTATTTAACCATGCACATAACTGGAAGCACGAACTCTCGTCCTTCATCTTTTCTCAGATCAATAGCGACGCTCTTCTTGTTTCTGCCTAGACTCCGGAACCACGGACTAACACCATCAGCGTCGAGTTCGCGCCACACTCTCAGAGGGTCCCCTACAGAGGGTGGCTCTATCTTGATGACCTCTGCCCCAAAATGCCTGGGACGAACGTCAAGACAAGCACGTCGGCGTTTCAATTTAAATAATGCTGGTTTACCCGAGGAGCTGTCCACAGAACGGGCCAGCGATGACTTGTCCCAGTTCCAAAACGCGTATGCCGCTCAGCGGAAGGTCGTTTGGACTGCTACCCGCTGATCGTGGGCCATGTCTTTCAAACTCTACATGGGGAGTGCTTACTGGGAACTGAACAGACGAAGAGGGCCCCCAGTCAGAGTTGCTTTGGTTGCATGTCGTAGTAGTAGAGTGGAAGCCATGATGGGGTGCAACCGTTCACACCGACCGGGGTTCTTATGATAAGAGTTCAGACTTTGACGAAGCGCTGAAGGTCACTCTTCGCGAGAGCGACTGTCTGCAGGTCGTCTGTGATGGTACCTTGCCGTGATCGACCCGACCGAAAAGGCGGGTGTGTATCGGCAAATACCCTTATCTGAGATCCATGATGCCCTTCAGCCTTGTCACCAATTGAACCCCGCTTACATACCCTTCCATGTAATCCAAGCAGCAGGAGGCCTCGAGGCGGCGCTTGGGGTTCCCTTTGTTCCAACTTCCAACTCAGCCTGTACTTAAAAAGTGGTGGGTTCAGCTCGCTGCCACACAACCAGACTTGCGGTTGGCTCCTACTCACATCCAGTACCAGTTCTATCCAGACTATGTCCCACGTTTTGTACTGGCCAGGTCGAATTTTCTTCTATCCCCTTGGCAACACGTCTGCTGTTTGCCTCACAGAGGAATTGCTCCCCGAATGCAAGGCGGATGTGCTCCTCCTCGGCTGTGGAGACCCTAGGCACATTTTATACACGGTGTACGCTGATACCTCGACGTCCAGTGGTATGATCTCGCGTCATACTTGGAATATTTTTGCTTCTAACTTTGGGATCAATAGAACCTCGCAAGCTCGACATCACCTGCTGTGATTATGAAGCCGCCGTCCTTGGTATGTGCAATTAATTTGAACGAGTGCTACTTCGCCCATGCCATTTTTTAATAGCTCGAAACACGTTACTCTTTACCCTCTTAGCCGATGATGGGGCTGAAGATAGACTTGCCACTATCTGGAACATATTTTATCACATGATGCTTGACGAAAACTCGCTCTCATTGCTGATCGAACAATGTCGCAAGCTTGTTCCGCTTGCAGAAAGTCTGGAATCGTGGAGACAAGGTCCTTATGCGCACTTCGTCACCATGTGCAACTCAGATACGCTTTCGGAGATAGGTCGATTCTGGAAACTTTGGCTCGGGACATCGAACTTCAATGCTAAGCAAGCTAAGTGGTTCAAAGGTAACTTTCAGGATGGTATCAAGAACGTGCGGAAGCCACACGAAGACGGCCTTGTAATGACTTCTATGCGTTCAGCGGGGCCCCTTGGCCCACTAACATTGTTCGCTGTTACAGAACAGTTCAAGCGTTTTTGGACGACCGGTGTCACGGATGACGGGTCCCCAGACGTGAAACCAGCGAACAACCCCAATCCTACTTTTGCTTTCTCCTTGTTCGGAAACGAGTTCGCTGTGCACTATGGTACAGACCCCATTTCGGGTTTTCATCTTGCAGAAGCTCTAGCATCTGCTGGTCTTGAATTGTCTACGAAGTCACCATCGGTAATCCACACAATCGTGCGGACTGCGCGCCAGCAATTTGGTACCTGGTGCAAGGCTGTCATACGCCGTGTCCAGAACACAAGTGTGTCCTCAGCATCCTTGGTAGTGCGGATGTATGCTGGAGAGGCACTTGCGTTTTGTCAGGCACTTCACTCCGTTAACAGGCCTTCCGTGGCGCACACACCGATATTCATCGCGCCGTGGAAGCGATCAGTGGTACAGCTCGATGACGCGTCATACTCTCCAAGCACTCCATCTCCCGCTCCGACTTCCTTCAATGTCATTGAGACCTCTAATCTTCTTGATCATCTTGGATTGCAAAACCTGCTCACCGTCACTACTCCTCTCCTCTCCAACTCACCCTCGTCAACAATTTACACTGAAGCCCTACTGCCTGCAGGTGATTCACCTGCCCAAGGTATCCTAGACCACTTGTGTGGGGACCTCTCTACCATCTCGCTACTTTTAGGCGTCATCCCTTCCGCCTATATATCCCGTTTCACCACACGTTCCAACACCTCCGAGACCATGATGCAGTCTATTGCAAACTCTTCTGCAAACCAATATCATGAACGCCTTGCTTGGAAGCATATCAATTTTGGTCATCTCTCCGACAGTTTACATGGAGGCGAACTTTCGTTTGCCCCACACCAATTGGCCGGAGAGTTGTTCGACATATACTTGAAGATGTTCTCCGATGAGGATCTTAGAAAACGGATGGCCATCCTGTCCCTTGGTAAATCTCAGTTGATGCAGAAGATACGGTTCTCAGGGATTATCCATTATACGCGCCGCAGCTTTGCCTTGTTGCTCGCACATATCAGGACAAGAGTCCGCTACGACTGGAACAAAGTCATCAATGATCTAGAGGTATTAATTCTGCAGGACCATACACTTCTCACCGGGTCGAACTTCTATCAAGAAATGGTCTGTCAACTACACCTCGCAGGTTTCTGGCTTCCCTGGCTTAGCCCTGCGGAAGTACGGGAACTTCGCTCTCATGAAAACCCTCCCATTTTCAGGTCGTGGAGCACGGTCCCTGAAGTCGTAACAGTTGTGCTGGTGGTTCCACGTGACGCCATCGCCAAAGTACAATCCGACCTTTCAAATGCTGGCACGCCTATTTTGCAATGTGAAATACGAGCCGATTTTAAGCACAATGCCTTCGCATGTATTTCTGCTTCATTCGGTAAGCTTGAGGTATCAGGCGAGGGGGAGAATAAGGTGGCAGTCGTCGTCGAGGACAGGGCGGGCATCAGTGGCACATCGCCATTAATTGTCTCCTTCCCTGTTCTTTCTACCACTCTCATCCACACGTCTGGCGGAACTGTTGGCCTGGCGGTACGCTCCACCTTGGGACCTGCGGCGGCTTTGGCGCAAAAATTGGGGCTAGAAATGTGCCTGTTCAAAGCTCTTCTGACCGATGAACGATATGCCCATGTTCTGACAAGGGCACCAACAGCCAGCGAAAGCACGGTCAACTCGGAGTTCCCGCTTGTACCTCCTAAATTGGACACGATGACTCGGGGACATCCAATCCACGTGGAAATGGATGAGTCCAATACACATATTCAGTCGCTCACTGCACACGTCGACGTCGTAGATCCTGCAGGACAGGCATCACTTTCTAGTGGTTGCACGGTCACCGTGGAGCAGGTATCTCTCAACAAAGCCAAGCTATGCGTCGACCAATACCAGCATATCATCTCCTTCCCTCTCCCCATTGACGCAACAAATGCCAAGCTTCGCATAGCACGGAGATCGAAATACGTCGAGGTGAGTGTCGTAGGCACCTTGTACAACCTGTGATTAATGTTAGAACAGGTAGTTGCGCCAATGACACTGACACTCAACGTCAAGGGAGAATCTAACGTGGCGGGGAATTTCAGAACGACCTTTGATTGTGGCGTACCAACGCTCTGGAGTATGCACCGCATGAATTTGGATCGTTGTCCATCCTTCAAACCCTCCAGGAGTCACAAAGCATTCGACTGGCTTGGACCGCATGTCGGACTTATGTTTTCGCAAAGAGAGCGCATAGCGCGTAACCGGAACACGTTCCCCGGATCTACTACGCCTGACACAATGATGAATTTGAAGGACTCTCTTCACACTCTTCTCATTTCTGCCACAGGGTTGCAAGGGCCCATTCACACTGAGTTCGCCTTGTGGAGCCCTGTCGAGAACGAATCCTACGCAACGATTCTTGTTACCGATGTCCGACTTGATATTGGCTCCCACACGGTCGTAGCTGATTCGTGGATTATACCTGGATCGAATGATATTCAGGACAAATTGAAGAGAGAGATAACACAGGTACTTTCCATCAAAACAGATGCCCACGAATCCGAAGCATGGAGGCATTTGCTTCCTCTGTTAATCGAGCGGTGCCGTACTTGGAAGCACAAGCCAAGTTGCGAGTACCTCGTTCATGACTCTATTCCACTCTACCCAGGTGCCGGGTCGAACCCAAAGAAGGTGCCGTGGTGCTCTTGCGGGATGGGCATCGGGACGAAAGTGTTAAGGGAACGGTATGGCAGCGTCTCTGCCAAATACGCGACGAGGGCAGCAATTAGTCCCTTATTCGCCGTCTCGTACATGGAGAAGGTAGGAATGAAGATGGACGACCCGGTTGGGCCTCCCGCCTTGACAGGGTGTGCGGCGTGCGGAAAAGGGGGCATTTCGTTGTCTGCGTGCGCCAGGTGCAGGAAGGTCAAGTACTGTTCGAAAGATTGTCAAGTAAAGGATTGGAAAACGCACAAGACGAGCTGTGTGTCAACGTGAGCTATGATAGCACTGGTATTCCCATGTCAATTGTTATGTTTATGCCAGTCCATTCATCCATAATACCTCAGGGTTCCAGTACTTTTGGTTCCATACTATGTGCCGCCTTTTTCTTTCAGACTTACTACCTTGCTGTCATGACTCGCTGTCAGATGTTGTGTGCTGGTACTTTCCGAATCTGAGGTATGAAGTAATAGCATGGACTTAATCTCATCGTTGTTTCTGTCAGCCGTCCTCGACGGTAGTGCCCAGATCTTCTCACTTTTGGGTATCGCCGCGTTGTGTACGCATCCAGGGCATCGTAGGCGTTCGTGATGGCCATACGTACACCTATGCACACGGTAAGAATTACTGGAAGCATGATAATGATAATTCCGTACCACTTGCATGTGGGGATCTTGCTGTCGACTGGTTCATCTTCGGAAGTGACTCGGCTCCCCTGGAACACGTGGCGAACAGTGGAATAGCTTCTGCTGTTACTCAAGATCGATTGTTGTCGAAACAACAGAGCCTGCTCTACAGTTATTTGTTGCCCGAGGATTCAGTCGCAATAACATCTCCGAGGATTTATAAACTTATCCTCATGGCAAGACTGAGCCGCTAGTTGGTATTCCAATCGGATTTCAGTGTGATTAGAGACCATTAATAACCCTGACGGTGTCCAGGGGATATGCTATGTACACCGTTGAACGAAACTCTTACAACAGGTCGAGGTAGGCAAATGAAGAAGGAAATAAAAAGCAATATACGGCAGAATTATTCGCGGATAGCGGGTCCCACGAAGCTCCCCCCGTTCTACAGCATAGCTGGCAATGAACCACCGCTAAAAGCATCATCTTGCTCAGTACGCGTCATCATCCCGCGGAGCGACAGATATGGCGAGTGGTAATTGAACTCCACGACTGACCTCGCCCTCCACTGGTAGGCACCATCACCAGAGAGGACTCACGTCGAATATGCATCGCCTTCTCTGTGAGCGATACTTCGAATTGGTTGATAATCTCTACCAAGAACGCTTGGATCTCGATGACACTGTGACGCATAGGTGTTGTTCAGCCATACTCTTGCGCGTGAAACATGGCAGTACTTACGCAAATCGCCAACCTAGGCATGCGCGGGGTCCACCACCAAACGTCAACCTAGGAGGAGAGTGAGCAAAATGCGTAGGCATATACACACTGGACTCACAGGCTGGAGTATACACCAACGGCAGCTTCCTTTTTGTCCTTCGCAATGCCATCTAACCAACGGTCTGGATTGAACACGTCGGCATCTTCACCCCACATGTCCTTGTTGCTATAACATCTTCAGCACATATCCCAAGTGGAAATGATAGAAATCACGAACCGGTTGTATGCAGCGACAGATGCTATGATCCGGGTCCCTTTCGGAACGAGTATCTCATGCATTAATTCGCCTGATTCCGTCGTAATTGGTTGTGAAAGTGGCAGAACGTAGTCCTGACCAGCCATGCGAAACACCTGAGGCAGTATACAATGATATCGCAAAGTTTCCTATAATTACCAACGTTGGGTGAATCACTGCGTCGAGACATCAAACGCATGTTTACCTTAACGACGGCATTCAAGTATGGCATGTTATCCAAGTCGGACGCAGTGAACTGCGTGTCGCCACGAGCGCGGAGGGCAGACTCGTGTTGCCTTATCTCCGATCTGAGTCTCGACTGTATTTCTGGAGTTCGGGACATTTCCAGCAGGGCCCAACCGATCGAATTTGAAGTCGTTTCGTGTCCCGCAAAGAGGATTACGCTGCAATGGTGGTAAGTTGATAAAATCACCACCTTCGGCTTGTGAACGTACCGCATCTGAGAGTATAGCTCCTCATCACTTAGTTTGTTCTTCGCATCAGCGTCCATGTTTGCTTTGACTACGAAAACGATGATTACATATGCCATAGGAGTCACGTACCACTCACCAAGCAGCGAGAAAATATCCCTGCTCCCCTTCCCTTGCAAAAGAGACTCTGCCTTCTCTGTCACCATAGTTGCCGCAGTGGCAGTGGTGACTTTCTTCGCTTCACGGAGACGTGTGGCTCGGGAGACGGGGGCGTACTTGACCCAGTATTCGAGGATCGATGTCGGAATGTACTTGATAGCTTCCTGAATGAAGATTTGTAGCGCCGAAGGGGAACCAAAGACGCTCAGCCTGGGCAGCAAGATCAACCCCGTCCTCCAGAGAAAGACGGTATAACGACGTACAACAACCCTTGGTAATTCTTCGCCAGCGGGCTCTCCGAATTCTCGAGGCTACCCAGCCGGATGTCGAAGGCACCTGATTTGAAATTGAAAATATAAGGCCAGATCATGAAGTCGATTGCTACATTTACATACCTTCTCCTATGGCGTCCAAAGCTGCTCGAGAGACCCAGCTTGGGATGTCCATTACAATCTTGCCACTATTATCAGCCTCAACGAGTTCCATCCATTTTCCGACCATCTTAACAATGGATCAGTCTCAAGCCGTATCCGATTGCAAGCGACTTACGGCCTGGGCAGCAGCCTGTGATACCGCTAAGAATGCCCTTGATTCAGCTCCCCCAAAGCCAGGATTCAATATCTTCCTCTGTCGCTTATGGACGTCGCCTGCCGATATGGCATTGTCAGATGAGTTTCCGCTAGATCTCAGGTTTGAACACACCATCTGCCCAGAGAACACTCTTTCCCAGCATCATGAACGTCAGAATTCGACGTTCTGGTACTTTTGGGAACTGATACGCGGCAGTGACGAATATCCGTGACAAGGCTTTCGGATCAGCAACCACAAGTTGATCCTCCTATGAAGGAAGATAAGAAAACCTCGCATAAAGTAGCAGCATACCTACGCCAAGGATGCCTTTGACTCGGATGACATTGCCGTAGAGGTTTTTCCAACGGAACTCTGCTTCACCGGCCATGCCCTGGTACAATTCAGGAAGGTTCCCTGTGCAGTACAACTCAGGATGGGGATAACCGAGTGAATGGTACACTCACCAAAAAGGAACGATGTGGGCTTAGGTCCGCGCACCCGAGAAAGAGACATTCTGGTGTAACGCCTGTAGATAGCATATAAGACGAGGGAAAGGCACAGGGGAGTCAAGTAGTGATCCATCTGAGAAGCTGATGAGCAGTCCCTCCAGAACGCAGCGTTGTTTATATACCATATGAATCTGTACGCATCCATTCACGGTATTCGCATTGTTATGATGAATTACTCACCAACATTGGGTGCCGGGAGTCGGTAGTATGGCAAGCGGTACACCGAATGTGAGCAACACACTCGTCAGGAAGTAATTACTGTAAAGATCATTGACATATAGTCTTCCTTTGTAGTGTGTGTCATAGTGCTTGACTAATAGTTAGGGGTAAGCTGTCCTAAAAAGTCAAAACCGATCAAACCTGATGGTTGCGACGAACGCTTCTATCCAGTGGATATGGCATGCAAGCTGACACGTTCGAGTCAGATGCGATGACGAGGCAAATGTGACATTATTCAATCGTGTGCCACTGACGACGGTCTCCACCGTCTTACCGGCTCCCATGTATGTACAACCCAGCGTGCGCCAGTCCCATGCGGAAAGAAGCCGTGAATCTGGATCTCATATTAGTTGGCACATACCACGGTATTTCTTATACGCGAGATACGTACATCGATGGACGTTGAAACATCTTACAACGCGACCAGACGAGGTTATTATCAAAAAAAACTGGGAATAGCAAACTGCACGATACTCCTTAACAATCTTCCGTCAAGAGGGACGAACACAACGAGCGCTCGAGGGTGTAGCTAGCAGCGCACCTTTGGTAGATCAATTACTTCGCGCTTCCTGTTCCCAGGGAGAGACCGATATAGCGAGCGGTAATCGAATCCCTGGGCCATCAGCACACATGGCTCCCGACGAATTCTCTCAGCTTCCTCAGTCAGGGAAGCCTCGAACTTGCTGACAATTTCCACCAAGATGGCCTGAATTTCGATGACGCTGTGTGGATGAGGTGAGTCGGGTCATTGTGTAACCGAAGTTGGTCGCCGTTGCTTAGTCACACATTTATGCAGAATATACTCACGCAATTTGCTTCCTGCTGGCCCGGGGCACGTGTGGTGACAAAAGTTCTGGGACAAAGAACAAGGCTTAAAAACGCGAATGAGTTAGTACATAACAGTGTATGAGCTCACAGGTTCGAGTATACGCATACTCCTGTGGCAGCTTTGTCTGCGCGCTCCAGGTGCAAGAGGGTCGAGTACTGGTTCGAAAGATTGTCAAGTAAAAGATTAGAAAACGCGCAAGACAAACTGTGAGATCAACATGGACTACATATGACAGCACTGATATTCCCATGTCAATCGTCATGTTTTGTACCTTCCCATGTAACATACCTAGGTTCCAACACTGTCTAGTATTCCATACTATGTACTGCCATCAAAGCTGATTTATTTCCGATCGTCCTTCAGAAGATCCAGCAGAACGGAAGTGAACGATGGGTTAGTATGGACGACAGGTGTACACCACTGTCCAGATCATTCCGGTTGTCGGGTACACTCATAGTTTCAAAGAGAACCATGCTTTCATGGTGCACAGATCCTAGTTGAATGCCACAGATAGATTTCTGAGCTGTGCTCAACGGCTAGTAAGTCCTCGGAAAAGTCATTACCAGTTAACTACTTGCAATGGACGCTTATTGGACAACCATTCTGAGTGGAACATCTGGTCTAGAACTAATACCTACAATGAACAGAAGCCTTATCCAGCTTTAAATCCATGAGTCCGGAGAGCAAAGTGAATGAGAGTACTGATTGTAAGAGACGGAATAGGGGCTCCGAGAGCCTCCCACAGATCCGCCTTCGGAATGACGTCATTCCTCCGAGCGTATCTGTTTATATACTAACCACTACTGAACAACAAAGGGCAAATCAACTCAATCATGTCGTCCACCTCTACTGACCACCGATTTAAAGACACCCTGTTCCCAATCCAAGACTTTGTCCTTGGATTTACTACATGTCCTTCTGCGCCAGCACTACCCAATCTGATGAATGCCACACTCTCTGATTCTGCTCTTGGTATTCACAAGAATACAGGGAAACTAACTCACAATGTAGTATGCCCCCCTCCACCTATTCGACCCTCCTCCCATCCAGAGCCGCAGTTGGCTTGGGAGGCACGGTATCCCAAGGGAAGTTGCAGCCCTAAGACGCCGTTACCTGGGGGCTTAGGCTTCTACCTCGCTGGACCTAAGACATTTTCTAATGCACTGGAGAGAGGTGCCGGGGAAGCCGTGTTCAGCTACCGGATGATGTTGCAGAAGGATTGGGAGTGGGTCAAGGGTGGGAAGCTCCCCGGGGCGTGTACGTAGAATGACCAATCGGGTGAAATGTTTTGAACTGGGTCGATGACCTTTCATAGACGGGGGCGTCGGCGAACTCGCCTACAGATGCTCCGGAGGCCGCCAGCACGATAGGTGCAAGTGCTTTAATCTTCGCCTTATGTGGAGGTGCGTGTGTTACTGCAAACCATGGTTCGGATCGCGTGATACTTATCGCAGAGAGAACGGCATGGGAGAGCTCTATGCTTATACACCTCTAAATGAAACCAATAAGAGTGCACTCCTTGCGGTGCCCCCCTTTTCAAAGACGAACAGTGACTACGGTATTTCTGTCGGGAAGGGTGCGTGGACATATGAGCCTGGAGTCTGGACGACCATCGCGGAACGCGTCAAACTCAACACGGTTGGTGAAGCTAATGGTGAGCCCGCCAGCTCCAACTCCTTTGCTGCGACGCTCATCCAGGTTATGCAAATACGAGGCGAAGTGCAAGTATGGATCAATGGCGACTGCGTGATTCATGCCAGGGGTCTTGTATTGCGGGTAGACGAAGAGTCGCATATCAAAGGAATGCATTTTCAGACATTCTTCGGAGGTGAGGATATCGGTGGACACCATGAATGGGTGTCTTACATGGACTCGTATCTGACTGCATTACATCCCAGGTCATACACCCGATTGGGCTTCCCCTAAGGACCAGCATGCTTGGTTTGCAGATGTCTCAGGTGTCATCGTGCACTAAGGTGCCAACTAACGGTTAGTATACTCGTTTCAGAAGGGTTGTTGAATATGTACAAGGACATGAGGAGCCATACATGTACGATAGATTGAATTCCAGTGCTCAGCTGATCGTCGATCAGTAACTTCGTACTTTCCCAGGGGTTGATGGTGATAGTAAAATGAACAACTAAAACAACAGCGTCCGATCTTCTTCTGCGATCGCCCACAACTTGACTTTAACCGGGGGAATCTGGCAGTCGCTTGCATTTCTTTCGGGCGAGTTTCACGTGTAGCCCAGTTATTCCTGAGTCACACTAGCATCTCATCGAAGCTCCACCGGAATAGCTGCAGCCGCAGCGGGGGGGCGCAGTAAATACCTCCTTTGAAACACTATATATTAGAACTTCATCCAGTCGTATTCCTTCAAGCAAATCTTCATGCCGCTCGACATATCCAACTTACTCTCTCCTGTACAAGAACCTGCCTTCTGGCCAGAGTCATCTGAGAGGGTGATACTGGAACCATACACCTACATCACCTCAAAACCTGGAAAAGAAATCCGCACGTTACTCATCGAAGCTTTCAACAAATGGCTCTCAGTTCCTCGCGAGCAACTCGATGTCATATCGCGCGTCGTGCGAATGTTGCATAGCGCTAGTTTGATGGTGGATGACATCGAGGACGGAGCACAACTCCGGAGGGGTCAACCAGTGGCCCATCGAATATATGGTATCCCGCAGACGATCAATACTGCCAACTACGTGTATTTCTTGGCGTACAAGGAGTTGGCGATATTAAGGAACCATGACCCCAAGGGCGACGAAGTCAGGGTAGTGGCAAACAAGGACTTGGACCTCGTCGTAACGGAAGAGTTGCTTGCACTTCATCGAGGACAGGGTCTCGAGATCTTTTGGAGGGATTCGTTGCAATGCCCGACGGAGCAAGAGTATATCTCCATGGTCAACAACAGTTGAGGATTTAGTTCTCTTCCGTACTGTCATCATGCTGAAGTTTATGTGCTAGAGACCGGTGGTTTGTTCAGAATTGCCATCAAACTCATGATGGCTTGTGCAACGACCAACGTTGACGTGTAAGCCCTCTCAGTTACCGATCGCATATTGATTATACGATTCAGAGTCAACTTTTTTGACTGGATGAAGTGACTATGTGCCTTTGGTGAACCTTTTTGGAGTGTACTTCCAGATCCGCGATGACTATATGAACCTTCAGAGTACAGAGGTTCGTCCCTTCCTCTACGACCGCCATTAACTGACTCGTGGCCCTTGGCCTCCCCCCAAACTTAGTACTCGAATAACAAAGGCTTTGCGGAAGATCTTACTGAGGGAAAGTTCTCTTTTCCCATCGTTCACGGCGTGCGAGCAGATGAAAAGAACCGCGTTATACTGAGTGCGTACTAATGTTCATCTTCCGGAGCGAGGGCGTGCTCTACCTCCACGTCGTCTTTGCGGACTACACTTATATCCCGCGCCTCTCGCAGATGTTCTTCAGAAGCGGCCCACGACGCCCACCTTGAAACACCATACCATCGACCACCTCCGCTACAAAACTTCTTCATTTGATTACACGCTCAACGTGACAAGTTCGCTGGAACAACAGGTTCGATGCCATTCGAACGGTTCCGGTCCTCACCCACAGCTAATTTTATCGCCCTACCGTGACAGGTCCGTGCGGGAATAGCCAGGTTAGGCGGAAACGACCAGCTCGAAGGCATTTTGGATGCGTTGCATGTACCAATGGACGTCGGTGCTGCAGGGACAACAGAAAGTAGTTCCAGCGTGCTTTAGTGGTAGATATTTTTATGATATGGAGAGTAGTCAACAATACATTCGACTCAGATTGGATTTTCCACCTCAGCGTTGAGTTGTGACCCGTCTCCTGTCCGTTTCCAATGATGGACGGTCTGCGTCGCATCGCAGGTCCCAAGTTGAGATTTTCGATGATTGACCGTTGTGTTATCCTATACTTCTCACCGGTGCCAAACTGGATGTGGACCGGCGCGCCGTCGCCGTACCCCTCAGTTTCAGTCCGACCATCATCCACTAGTGCCGAGTCCACTTCCATCGCCCTTTCATAGTCGAACGTCTGTTTGTTGACGCCTTCTTGGGACAACCGTCGTTCCCAAGACGTTCAAATGGATCCGTTCGAAGTGCGCATGCAATTCCTTGGCTTGTTGCGCAAGCTCAGCGCGTGAGTGTCTCTGACTGGGTCAACGACGGCGGCCATTAAAGATCACTTTACCTTCCGTTGAATGGGGTATTTGACATGTAGCACGCAACAATCCATCCAAAAGGTCGTCAGTTATGCACTCAAGTATTTCGCAAAATGCGGGGAGGATTTATGGGAATGCATCATGGAGGAATGTCAGAAGGCACGTAACGCTGCAATTCCTTCTCTTCTACCTTGGTTCCTTGATGAATGGGGACGGTCATGCCCACCTCCATAGACGAACCAGTCCAGGCTATGTCAAACATTAGTGCTTATTATCCCTTTATGCTCGTTCACAGGGCTCGATAAACCATCGTGTCAATATTCTATATTTCTTAGACTCCCTATGTGAAACGTCCCTACTAGCCAAATCCCATCAACCCCAGCCCGTTGAATCGTCTTCGTGAGTCCCTTTCCATGTTCTGAGCTTCCTTGGTTTCTCATCGTTGGAATAACTTACTGACTGGGACTTTGTAACAGGCAGGCGAAACAGGCGAACCATGCGTTTTACGTCGATTATGTCGCTCGAGACCTTGCACAGATCGTAGAGTGTGTGGTACCAGTAGGCAGACAAGGTCTACCGAACCTTACTAGCACTAAACAAGTGAGCTTCCCGATCCTCGCTGTACGACGAGGGTCTTGCGTGATTTCCGAGGGCTCGGTTTGCTCATGCAATTACTCACGCGCCGTCACAGATCCTTCAAAATTGGCGCACGAAGCGGGTGATAGATCCTCAAAAGGTAGACCAAGTCATGCAAATCCTCACCACACGCCAAAGCCAAGCTACCGTGGCTTCCGGCACTGGCTCGACCGCAACAAACAAAAATGCGGAAGCTCATCTTTCACGAGGAGACATAGTCAAGCGTATGGAAGAAGATCGTGAACGACACAAACGGCTACGTGAGAAGCGCTGGGTGCAAACACAAGCGCAATCTTCAACTGTACCCGGACATGCGATTGCGTATAACCCCTACGGGCTCGCATCCTTTCTACCTCTGAGCGATGCGGAGAATGCAGAAGTTGCGCTGGACATCGAGTTCGAAAATGAGTGGGAGACGACGAGCGACTGGAATGAGGATGACGTGGAGGTCGTTATGGAAGAGAGGGAGTTGTGTTATCCGCATTTGCGTAGGAAGGGCTCTGGCGGGATGGGCTCGGTCGATGAAGGTGGCGGGGAAGAGCCTATGGATTTATCATAGGATGTGCTCATTCGAGTCTTCAAACGAAAATCTGGCTCTGTCAGTCATACTTTCGACCTGTGGTGGATTTCCGATTGTGGGCACTAGTGATGTGCTGTTGTGGCTGGACCGACTGCAACCCGATCAAACGGATGTAACACCTCTCAACACTGAGCACCTCGGCAGCGTGAGCACGCTTGCTCAAGTGTGCAGCGGCGCGATTAGAGTATTCTTAGTTCCTAGTTTCTGCCGGTGCATCAAGAAAGCTCCAGGCAACTGAATTTTACTTAACTTCATGGCCTGATAGTGAGTAGCCGTGTTCGCACGGTATGTACCAGTGCTAACAGAGCTCCAGCACCTCCGAATTATCAACGTCGGTGAGCAACTCGTATCAATTCAAACACCACAGGTAGATGCATACAAGTTCCAGGTTGCGGATGTTGTTACCAATCGTCATGCGTCATGAGACAACCGTCTCTCTCTGATGAGCGTTTGAGCCTTGGTCTTCAGTTGTTTTGTATTCCCACTCTATGTTCTTCATATTGCGTTACGAAGTCCCAGAGCCTGGCACCTTTGAATTATCAATGTTGGTGAGTCATCCCCCTCGTAGAAGTGCTAACACTGCGGGCGGAGGCGAACATGATTGGCTGTTTTGCACATTCATCATTGTTGTGGGGGTGTTGCACGTGCAGGCTGGCCAGCAAAAACATGACTTATCACGCGCCACTTAAACAACGTCAACGATAATGTTTATTTGGCATAGAGGGAGTAACAACTGAGTGGGGCTTATACGAGGGGAGAGAGTCAAGTGAGTTGGGGTAGGGGAGGGAGAAACATACGAGTCGGAAGGGAGATAGATAGTACATGGAAGTTGGGAGTGTCCGACAACGGGAAGCTACATTAATCAACGCGACGAATCCACGAGTCCAAGGCCTAAACCGTCGACGAAAGTCATTAACTGCACGGAACGGACAACGAGGAAAGAACAAGACATACCTGGTTGGCGAGTCCGAATCCAGGGCCTGGACGTCAAGGTCGTTCGTTATAAGTAAGAAAGAACGAGGAAGGGGAGAGAAACGAATCAAAGCAGCGGTTCACCAGTTAAAGCATCCGTCTGCTCCAACAATCAACTAGTAGATTACGAAAGGATGAGGCGGAAGGGAGAGACGAACCTAGTTGTCGTCGGCATCGAAATAGAGGTTGGCACCGGGGAACTGAGTCTTGATGACGTCCCAGAGCCAGTGCATTGGCGTCCCAAACGTGATTTCGGAGGTATCGGTTGGTCCCGTGCCACCGGTGAGGAGGGCAACGAACTTGCCGAGGGCGTCGACGATGATGGACTCAGAGTCCCTGCCCCTAGAGAACGGACCGGAGATGGTATCATAGGGGTAGACTGCTGTTTCCACCGAATCGCGGCTGCCTAGGGCGCAGTAGCGGCGAACATGAGACTCAAATCCATTCAAACAGCCAATCGTGGTGAGCGTGGTGAGACCGCGTTTTATAACGTATCGCATGGGGTCGCCTTTGTGGTCTTCGTTATTCGGCGTGCGAATCTCTGCGGAGAGAATGCCTCGGAGATTGAGGAGACGGTCTACTGGATAATCAAAATCGGATGGCGCATCGACGAGAGGGTACATCAAACTAATAAACTTGCCGGGGCCGATCTCAGGGCCTGGAATATGAGCAGTTAGATTGGACGCCTTTAGCTAGACGGATCATCACGCACCTAAGTCGAGCACGTTGCCCCTGAAGTTTTTCAAGAACTTCTTGTCGAGCTCGATGACGCAAACATCCAACGTATAACTGTGAGGGGCGGCATGGACACTGACGGGAGGTGCCCAGACGACGTGTCCAATGATCCGGTCCTTCGGGCTCGTCCGCTCCGTCTTCATCTTCGCAAAGAAAGTCTTGAGCGCCTCAATCGCCTCTCGTGTCTTGGGCAGCTGGCGTCGAGTCACCTCCAGCTCCCTTGCCGCCTGCTTAGCGGTAGGGCCATCGCCCTCCGCCCTAGCCGTTAACATCGTAGCCCGCCGCTCCAAGATACCAACCGTGTGGTTCATGATGTTGATATGGTCCTGGATGGACGCGAGGAAGTCGTTAAAATCTTTGCTGCCCATGACCTCCATCTTTGGCCCGGCTTTGTAGGTGTAGTCAGAATTGCGCTCATCTTCTCGGGGAAAAGAACGTACCGACGTAGGAGTATGCATTATTACCTTCGTTTTCAGGGAACAGGACGTGGCGGGCCGTGACGACGTAGAGATCTTCATGTTAGATTTGGCAAGTCGCTCGTACCTTTGTTCACTAATTGACGCTACTTTTTCTTATCGTGGGAAACACTTCCCGTTTACGGGTCTACAAGACCACAATACTTTGTTGTTCTGGGTGACAACAATACACAGCACCTCCGGGCACTCCTGGACGCGCCTCGCAGAATTTACAATCAGATACAGGGCAAGCTCTCTGACTAAACAACTGCTATATAATTGTATCTGTCTGATTTGCCTAGTTATTTTCAAAAATTGCACAACTACCACAGAACCTTGCTCATTGTTGCAAGGCCCTAGATGGAAGAGATCAGATGTTGCTTGAGAACACTACAGAAGGAAACATACGAGTCATCACATCAGTAAACCACTTTGTGTGCTGGCAGTCCTAGGGAATCTGTCCAGTGCTGGACAGCTCTGGACAGCTCTGGCCAGCAAAAGTGATTTACTGATGCAGTGACAACCTTGTGTCATGGCCAAAGAAAACCACCTGCTGAACTGCACACCCTTCCACCCAGGAGCCAATTGACATTCACGATGCTGTACTGCAAGAAAATATGTCCCAGCAATGTGCATGCTTGAGGGAGGGACTGAGTGTTGATCCACAAGCAATCAGTGTCAGTGATTGAGTGGCATTTGGATCTGCAATAGCCACCCCTGTCATGCACATTGGCACAACAGACATGTTTGAAACCATGCAGGACATATTTCTGGAGAGCATCAATGTGCTTGTCACTGAAGCAGTTGGCATATAAAAGCCCAGGATTGATAAGGGACAGATGGTGCAGAGTGAGGGATGGATACACACAGAAGATCTGGTCATGACTGACAAAATTCATTAAGGCGGTAGAGTGAAACTGGAAAAGAGGAGAGAATGCTGCAGAGGTTTTGGATATGATGACATCCATCATACAAACACCATTGGAGAAGGTGTAGATGCTGGCAATCTTTGAGTAAGAATAGGTCAAATGATTAACAGCACCTTCAGACACAGAGGAGTAGCCATGGTTGTTTAACAACCAGGTAAGGTAATGGAAGGTGTGAAGAGGCACATAAATGTCAAGGTCTGTAGGGTACCATGTAGTATAGCTGGCAGGCAACAGTAAAATGGAGAGCACTAGAACTGGAGATGACAGCATCACAAGAACACAACATGTCCATTAGAATCTCAGGGTCACAGAAGAAGTGTGCAGCCATCCTGCCTGAGCCATGATAGTGTGACACCCAGCAGGGCCCACCCAAATACTTGACCCCCTTCCCTGCCCACCCACCTGAGGGCAGCATTTCCTCTTAGGGCAATTCCCATGGCATTGCCACCTGCAAATTTTTTGAACTCAGATGGTAGATTCCTTCCCAAAAGGTCACAAATAGTCACAATAGTTGCAAAACAGTCAAAAATAGTAAGGCCCTGTTTGGAATGCCAGTTGAAAATTTTTGAAAAAAAAAGATATGGAAAATTTCTCTCATGGTGTCACATGACATAGGTTGTGGGAACATGATTAGGTAACCTTGTCCTGTTTGTCACTCCCCTGTGAGTCCTATGCAGTGAGCCACCCAACATGTCCAATTCATCCAGCAATGGATCTAGGCAATCTCTTCACTTGAGTGGCCCAGTGGATCCTACCATTCTGCAGAATGCTGGTAAAAGACCTACCTGTGCACAAAGCTGTCTCTGGAACATGGAGGAGATTGCTCTCCTCAAATTCTTACTTGAGTCTTTGCCTCATGCTGGTGATGGAGGGTTCAAGGACACAGTTTTCGAGGCAGCAGTGGCTCATTTGAGAGCCAAGTTTCCAGTGTACAAAGGTGCACCAAAGCAGACATCAGCATGCAAAAGCAAGTACCATGGGGATGTGAGTAGTGTCTTATTATTATCTTGCTGTCTGATGTCTTTGTAGCTCAAAAGGACATATGCTCTTGTGAATGATCTCAGGAGTGCTTCAGACTGGACAGGCCTAAGAAAGTTTGGTTAGGACCATGAGAATGCAAGTTATATGGTGTGCAGCACCTGATACCCTTGCAAGCCATACTGTGAGTGATGGGAGACATTGTGTAGTAGAGACAGAGAGGAGTGGTGAGGGTGGGGTCCATTTATATGAAGTATGCTCACATGCTCACCTGTGTTCATTGCAGAGAAGGAGTCTTTGTGCAGGTGAACTTTGGCTAGGCAAGATGCCATTGTGCTGATGACCCCAGAGTGGAGCCCAGTTGGATAACATGGGTTCTTGATGGTGACACTGGCACTGAAGCTGGTTGGTGGTGCAAGCCTGTGCTCTACAGATAAAAAACATGAGCTCTCAAGCTCAGTGAGTGCAAACATGCTGCTTTGAACATGTAACATGCTATGACTCTCCAAATTCTAGTGATCATTGCTTCACCTCCAACTTCAATGTGGACATTTTCAATTCCCAACATGGGGCAGGGGTATGGTAGCTAGATTGTAGACATGAGTGGTGCCAAAGAGGCACTTGGCAGCTGAAGGGAGTTTGCTATCCATCAATACCTTTCTGCTGAAAATCATTGGCAGAGTTTGAGGACATGATAAGAGCCTCCTACCTAATAGTGCCTGCTTCAACTAGTGATACCTGAGTAGCATGAATTTGCTGATGTCATCATGTCTTCACTTGAACACAAAGGTGTCAGTTTTGGAATCATTTGTCCAGGTGAAATTGCATATCATTTTTCAAGAAAATGATCAACCATAGGTCCAGGTATGTCCTCTATCATATCACTGCAGCAGCCCCACTGACCATGGCTTTCATGTCATGCATCATCATTGTCTTCTTCCAGGTTCATCTGCCCTGTGCACTTTAGAGATTAGGCTTACATAATAGCAATGTTCCTCTGACAAGTCAATGTTGATTACTGTCAATTGGCCCAGCAGTTCTGGGGATGTCTGGGATGAAATGAAAGACAGTAGGTCCTCACAAACCCATACACTTTACTCCTGTTTTGGCTTCCATGAACTGTTCATTTTCAGATGAATATGTGTGGCATTGAATCTCCCTGCCCATCTTCATGTGATTGATGTTATGCTGACAACTCATATTGCATCACAAATCAAGTGTGATGTAGCACAAGCACATGACTGCATGAGAAGTGACATGTAATTTAACTTCACCAGCAACAGGACATTAGTCTTGGTCAACCAAAGTCATACTGTTGAGTCCTTGTGGGTACAGCAAGCAGAGCTAAGGGTAGTTGCAAAGTAGATTTTGAATGGGGGAGCAGTATGATACAGGTGGGTTTATATATGTCTACAAAGTACTGCATGACAAACATTCAAAAATGTTCAAACATACACCTGAGTTCCAACTATGGTGCCATCAAGTCATAACAAGTCACTGCACAGCAGGACTGCACATATAACCATGTCTCCACAGTGGAACAGGCCAGGGGTGAATGTATGACAAAGGAAGGGTAACCATGTATATGATGTACAGGGGCAAACAGGTACCAGGGGTACATGTGTCATGTGACCATGTGGATCAGGGCCACCAGTGGATCACAGAAGGAAGGGGGACAGATGTAATGTCTGGCTATCATACAATGCAGGGTAAACAGGGGCAAGGACACAAGAGGGAACATATGGGACACAAGTCTAACTGTGTAGACAGTGGCTTGCAGACAAAAGAGAATGTTGCTTGGAGGCAGCAACAGGCATGAGCAGTATAGTACAAAGTCTATAAAAGGAATGAATGTGAGTGCAGCATAACATCACCCCCCCCCTCCCAAAGGCCTGAGGTCCTCTGAAGGTGGGTAAAGGCCCTGGATGACCCAAGAGCAGATTTTGCTGTTAGTTGCCACTGTGAGTTGGGCAGTTAGATGACCAATGTCCAAGATATGAACATTGGTAACAGGTGAATTGATGAAGGGGATGCTGCCAATAAGCCCACCAAGTTCACATTTGCTGAGGGAGTTGATAGAAACTGGGATGAAGGGAGAAGCTGGTATAGGTTTTGATGCCTCAAAAGCATAGAAGAGGGACCTTCCAGTGGAATCTCCTTGGGCCTGAGCAAAAAAGTCAAGCCAGTCATGGGGAGTCCTGTTGAAGGGGACTTCAGAGAGGGCATCCATGATGGCTTGGTAGTGTTCTTGGCCTTGGCCCAGTATAATCTTCTCCCAGCAATCATGACACCTCTGTTCAACATCTCTTCCAGCTTCTGATACTCCTCCTCACTGATGTTGTAGACTCCTTTGGTGATTGGCTTCTTCTCCCATGAGCATCTGTGTTTCTTTTCTGTCAGGGTCTGAAGGAAGGCCCAATCTTCCAGGCACTGCTTGACACACCAGAGAGAAGAGCCCACAGACCACAATGTTGAGGGGGAGTCAGTCAAAAAAGGAGTGAAAGGAGGATATGAATGAGGGGCCATAGTCTTCATGGATGATCTTGATGACAGCCTCCTGAGTCCTCAGAGCTTCTTGGAGGATGGAGGAATTGCTGTGATCAAGGTCTTCATATGTATGCACTTCAAAACTTCCATCTGCAGTGCTGGCCTGGTCATGGACTTGTTTCCCAATCATTTCTGAGCTTCTGAAGATTGTAGGCAGCATCTGTAGATGCTTGTGGCATTCCCCTGCTCTCCAGCTGTATGATTCCCAGTGCTTGAAGTCATTAAGCAGCTGCATGTAGCCAAGGAAGAGGCTTGCCTTGGGAGCCAGCCTGTTGGCTGAGGTGGCAGGAGCAGAAGGGGCAACTGCAGGGGCCTGGAGCATGGCTGGTGTTGTAAAACTGATAGGAGATGCTCAGTGTCATAGACACAAGCACTGCCATTGACAATACCTGATAGGACATGCTACAGGAGGCAAGTACACATGCATGTCCTCAGGGGTTACCATACCCACCTCAGCATTGTAGACACAAGTGCTGAGGTGTAAACTAATGTAAACAGTTTGATAAGTACAAGCATGCCTAACACATGACTGTTGACACCAACATGCCCCCACAGTGGGACATGTGCAAAGAACCAAAAGGAAGGTCCAAACTAACATGAGTTCCATGCATAGAGAAAAGAAAAGAGAACAGAAACAAGAAACGTTCTGTGTGCAGAGAAGGAAAAAACAGAAATGAGAAGCAAGCAAAGTGACTGTTGAAAATGACCTCCAATGCCCCCTCAACAGGACACAAGTGAGAGACCAGTGACATGATGGGAGAAGGATGGATGAGGCAGGGCCTTGGTGAGGACATCAGTGGTGTTACAGGAGGACATGACCCACTCAAGCAGGAAAGTCCCAGCCTTGATGTGAGAATGACAAAGATGATACCATATGTCAATATGTTTGGTGTGATGGTTGTTTGCAGCCTCTTGTGAGAGTGTGATCACCTCCACACTGTCAGCATAAAGACAGGTTGGGGGTGGCACCAGGAAACCCACAGACAGGAGGAAGGACCAAATCCACAGACCTTCCTGGATGGCTGCAGTGACCACCATATACTTGGCTTCAGTGGAGGACAGGGCCTGCATAGTCTGTTTTTTAGAAGAGTGGGTGATGATGCCCCCATAATAGAACCAACAATATCCTGTCACTGAAACATGATCCTCAGGGTTTGTCACCCAGTCAGCATCACTGAACCCATGCAGAAGAGGACTGCATGTGCATTCCCCATAGTGAAGGCAATGGTTAACCATGCCTGCAAGGTAATGAAGGACACATTTTGTGGCTCCAAGTAGATGTGCACTGGGACAGGAGAGATACTGTGAAAGACACTGAACAGCAAGGAAAATATCAGGATGGGTGCAAACAGAGAGGTATAACAGTGTGCCTATGAGTTTTGGGTAAAGAGACCTTAGGTTGGTGGGTTCAACCAGTTTTTCTGCCTCAGCATCAGTGAGAAAAGGATGGGTGGGGTCCATGGGAAGGTGTACTGGGTGGCAGTCAACAAGATCATACTCTTGGAGGAGGTGGATGATGTACTCACTCTGGTGAAGCCACAGTTCATGAGTGTGACAATCATGTTTGAACTGGATGCTGAGGTATTTCATGACAGGTCCCATGTCTGAGATGCCAAAACAGAGGTGTAGATGATGCTTGACCTTGGCAAGGAAACACTTGTTGTTGCTACCACTGAGGCCATCATTGATGTGCCAGGCAGCCATGCAGACAACCTCTAACTGACAAAAGATGAACACTGCATGATCCACCTTGCTGTGCTGGAATCCCTGACCCTCAAGTTTGGAGTGAAGTGTTTCATAGAAGTGGTAGGCAGCCTGTTTAATCCCATAGAGAGCAGAATGAAGTAACCCAACTAACTCCTTGCTGTCTGGGCCATATTCCTCATACCCAGGTGGTTGTTTGACATACACCTTCTCCTTGACCTTTCCATGAAGGAATGCTCTCTTGATATCCATCAAGTGCAGCTCCCAGTCCTCTCTGGTGGCAATGGCAGCAAGGAGTTGAATGGAACTCTGCCTTGCAACTGGCACAAACATCTGCCCAAAGTCCCTGCCTGGTACCTGAGTGAACCCTTTTGCAACAAAACATGCCTTCTTGACTGACCCCCCCTTACTGTCTCCTTCTTTATACTCCAACACCCAACAACTTCCTATCATGTGAGCCCCAGGAGGAAGAGGAACAAGGCTATAAACATTCATCAACCTTAACTGATCTATTTCCTTATCCATGGCCACCCTCCACCTGGATGCATCACTGCAATGGACCACCTCATCATAAGTAGCAGGGGAATGGAGAGATCATAGGTGGGATCAGCTGGGTCACAGTGAGTATTGCTTCATAGGGCCAGGCAAGCATGTTCAGAGATGACCAAATCAATGACTGCAGTGGAGAGCAGACCCACAGAGGTGTCAGAGGATGAGAGATCAGACTCTGACAGCTTGGTTAATGGGGAAAGAGGGCCATTTAAGTGGGTGTTATGACCAGAAGCAGTTGTGACAAAGGGGGCAGTTGTGATGGGAGAAACAGAGTGGGCATGACATGCGGCCAGGCATTCCCATGTTGCTTGAAGAGACTCAGTGAATGCCTTACCCACCTCAGTTTGTACCCTGGTCCTGCCAGAACAACACAAAGTAGTAGGGGGAGCAGCAACAGAAGGTTGAACCACAGTCAAGGGCATTGAGGGTGACTGAGACAATGAGGGAAATGGGGATGGGGGTCATGAGTCATCAGAGTCCTCATCCAAACTTGAGTCTTTGTTGGTTGTGGATGATGGTCCACTGGTTGATGTGTTCTCCAAGGGTAACACATGAATGTCTTCATCAAAAATGACATCCCTAGAATTAAAGAACTGCCCAGTGCTAACATCCTGCACCCTATATGCCTTGACCCCCAGTGGATAACCCATAAAGCATACCAGTCTGGACCTGGGTCCTAACTTCTGCTGGAGTTCTAAAGGGACATGCACATAAGCTCCACGGCCCCAAACCCACAAGTGACTGAGATCAGGTTGTGTGTGATGCAACATTTCATAGGGCATGATCCCATTCAGTAAGACACATGACCCTGTGTGATTATGTAGATAGGAAGCTGTGAGCATTGCCTCACCCCAGTAAGTGAGTGGGAGTTGAGTGAGATGTAACATGGCCAAGATGCATCCCTCTAACATGTGGATAACCTGTTCAGCAACCCTGTTTTGCTGGTGCATATATGGCATGGACAAACAATGAGCAATACCCTGTGAGTTCAAGGACTGGATGAATGTATTACTGAGAAACTCTCCCCTGTTGTCTGACTGCAGAGCCTTGACCATTGTACTGTGCTGCCATTCCTAGCAGGTTCAAGTAATCTCCCAGGCTTCAAGAGCCTGGTCCTTGTGGGCAAGCAAATGTACATCCAGGACATGGGTATAGTCATTGAGGATAACCATAAAGTACAACTTGCCATGGAAGGTCTGCACCAGCATAGGTCTCCCAAGATCAGTGTGTGCAAGCTCAAGAAAGGCAGTGGTATGGCTCTTAGAGGGTTTGAACAGTGAGTGAGCATGCTTCCTGACCACACAGGACTCGCAGATTGACTGCAGACAGGAGGAGCTAATGGTGATACTGGATGTGATTGAGGACAGTTGACTCACCACCCTGCCACCAGCATGGCCAATCCTGGTGTGCCACAAATCATAGGTGACTGGGATGCAAGCAAAGGTGGTGAGGACCAGGCTGGTGGTGAGAGGTAGGGGTGCATCGAAGTGAACAAGCTCAAGGTCCAGGAAGCTGAGGTTATTTGACTGTAGCTGTACACCACCCAATGGATGTCCATGGTAAGAGAGCTCACAGCATGCAGGTTCCCCCTGGAAATTGCAACCCCAGCCCTGGCAGAGCATCCACCCAACCAAGATGAGGTGCAGCACAGCCTGTGGCACATGCAAACAGTTGGTGAGTCATACCTGATACTTATCACCACTGATGGATAGGAAGGCCAGACATTCACCATGTCCAGTAGTAGGTAAGTGTCCATGATTGGCCATTTGAATATTCACAGACATGTCTGGCACATAGGTTCAAAAGAAGGCATGATTGCAGACCAGCATGTGGGAAGTGCCAGAGTCCAAAAGACTAGAAGCTGAGAGAGTTCCATGGCATGCCTTTAAGGCTGGTGATGGTGTAGGTGCATCCCCACCTTCATCAAGCTCAGTAATAACCATGAAAGTAAGATCCCCAGAGTGTGTGGTCCAAGGAGAGGCTGTAGAAGAGTCAAGTGCTGCTGCAGCCACCAGAGTTGATGTAGGAGCAGGAGGAGCATGTGCAGTGGGTGAAGACACAGTGGTTTCCACAGCCGAAGTGAGTTTGTCCTTTTCCTTGTTGCCCTTACCCTTCCACCAGGAGGGTTGTTGACCAGCCATACCACCCCCAGGCTTGAAGCAGTGTGCCTTATCATGATTGCTAGCACCACAAATGAGGCCCTCACCAATGGGAGTATCATGGTAGGTGCCTGACAGATTGTTGCATGTCTTCTGGAGGCCTGTCGCTGGGTTTACATTGGGCAGGCCAACAGGCAAGGTTGCAGCATTAGTGTACTCAGACCCCATGGACAAAAAGGAGAGTTTTTGGACCAATTGGTGAGCCTCAGCCACAATCTTGACCAAGACACTCTCAAAAGTCACCAAGCTCATGGACAGTGCTGTAGAGATGGAGGAATGGGTTGTAGAGGCAGAAGTCTTGGATGTGGAGGAAACAGAGGTACTGGTAGAGGCAGTGGCTGCAACAGTACAGGAGCTTTGTAGGAAGAGGCAGAAAGATGGCCAGGTGCCAGTCTCTGGAAGACCTTCAATGAGATGGAAGATAGCCTCCTCATCTGAGTAGGATGCCCCCATGTGAATGAGGTCATGCCAAGCAGCAGAATGCTCTGACAAGTAATGAGCCATGTCACTGGCATCCTTCATATGCATGCACAAGATCCTTGCCCATACAAGGTGCTGTGAACCAACATCAACATGGTCAAAATTATCATGGAGAGCAACCCAAACATCCCAAGCAGTGCTAGACCTCTCTTGGGGAATGAGACAAAGAACAGCTGGTGATAAACATCAACATAAAACACCTTTTGCCACAGCATCTGCCTTAGACCAATCAACTATTGCCTTCTGTTCATCATCTGTGAGCTTAGCAGGATTTGCAGGTTTCAGCTTTACTGATGCAAACTCAATAGGGTCTAGTGGGTCTGTGCCATCACTGACATGACTATATGTGCCCTCACAATCCAAGGCCAGAAGCACCTGCATCTTCCAGGCAAAGAAGGTGGAGGTGTTGGTTAACTCAGGGATATGATAAAATTTGCTCATGATGACCAGCAATGTCTGGAGCAGCCAGGGGTGGTGAAGACATGTGTTAAAAGTGTATATATGTGCCTGTATGCAGATGGACAGGTTGTGTCAGAATCAGTGATGAAGAGGGCTCATAACCTGTTGTAAAACTGATAGGACATGTTCAGTGTCATAGACACAAGTACTGCCATTGACAATACCTGATAGGACATGCTACAGGAGGTAAGTACACACACATGTCCTCAAGGGTTACCATACCCACCTCAGCATCATAGACACAAGTGCTGAGGTGTAAACTAATGTAAACAGTTCTATAAGTACAAGCATGCCTAACATGTGACTGTTGACACCAACAGCTGGTGCAACACAAGGCTCTGGAGTGGATGAGCCAGGGAAAGAGGCTGGGGTTGGTGATCTATACTTAGTTTGAGAAATTGGCAGTGGCAGTGAAGTGTGCCTGCCAACTGCAGCAGGCACTTGCACATGACCTGAGAGGCCAGGAATCCATGATATCACAGGCCTCAGCCACCTCAGTGCCATGGCTGGCAGGGTCAGCATGCCATTGTGTGCCATTGTTTGGCATCTTGGCCACATTTGGTCAGTATAGGTCGGCTCTGTAATCTCATGACATAGATATCACATCGATCCCATATTGTGATCAGCGACAAAAACAAGTCCACAAAGCTTCTGTGGGATCGAGTGCACTACAACAATGGTATGTATGTAGGCATATGTTAGGTATAATATATAGTATAATAATACTGGCATGGTGCAACACACTCAAATGAATGTGGTGTAGAGAGCCTTTGCGAGACTTACCATTGTGACGATGTTTATTTGTGATGGTGGTGGGTGAACAAATGATTGCTGTGATTTGTTGCATGTACATACAACAAGTAGGTACTGTACATGAGTACGTTGACTAGTGATGTGGTACATAGTGATCTGGGGTGATGCTAGGGAAATAATATTGACAAGTGGTTAAGGATGGATGTATTATGAAAAGGTTTAAGTGGAAAAAAAAAAAAACTGGATGACAATGGCAGAATGATGACCTTAGTGTGATGTGCATCACTGCTGCTTGCTGCTGCCTCATAGCATCAAAGAAGAATCCTCACAGACTTCTTCACTTGTGAGGCAATGATGGCGCTCTCCAGCTCCACAATACTGTTTGCAGGCAGCCAAGATTGCTTTGAGGAGTTTCGTGTGTCCTTGACTGATGGCACTTCCATAGATCCTGAGGAAGGTTTCCTTGTCCCCCTGGAATCTGGGGACCATGTCAGAGAGACTTGGGCAAGCAGTAGAAGTGTGACAGGCTGACTTACTCATCAAGGAATTCCATTGCAATGACATGTTGCTGAGAGTACTTTGTGTTGAATTGATGGCCACTCTTCCCATTGTAGTAGTGATAAGGCCAGTCCTTGAGTGGAATGTGCAGGTCAAGCCATGGCTCACCCTCCATCCAGTGGCACACTATGTCCCTCCAAGAGTCTGACTTTGCAGTCCATGTCCCATTGGGATGCAAAATGGGCATGTCTGGGATGACAACTCTCAGAAGGGAGGTAGAGGCATGGGTCTTGGTCCTCTGGGGTCTGAAATGCAAAGGGAGGGATGTCAAGAATGAAAGATCTGAGGGTTGGACAACCCACAGTATCCTGAACTGCATTTGAGTCAGTTGTAAATTGAGAGTAGGTAGATATGGTTGGGCAGCTGGGATGGAAGTGGACTGGATCGCTGGGGGCAACAAAGCTGTGGTCTGTGCAAGTGAATGTCAGTGGGCTGATCCATGCAGCTGGTCAGTTGGTGCAATGGAAGTCATAGAATGAACAAGGCTCACTTGCTGTTGGCATGGAAGCAGACTGGATTGCTGGGGGCAACAAAGTTGTGGTCTGTGCAGGTGAATGTTGGTAGGCTGATCAATGTGGCTGGTCAGTTGGCATGGTGGAAGTCACAGAATAAACAAGGCTCACCTACTATTGGCATTGCTCAAGTGTTACTGCCAGTAGTGTCCTGGTGTGACACAGGTCCAGAAGGGGCTGAACATGCAGAGGCCAAGGTCAGGGCCTTTATGACCAGGTTGCTCATGTCACTGAGCTGTTGGCAGATCTCCCTTACATCTACTGATAGTGAGCATGAGGTTTCCTTCACTTCCTTCACAGTTGTGTGTAGCACTGCCATGTCAGCTGTTATTGATGCATGTGCCATGTTGAGTGCCTCAGTGGATGCTGGCTTGATGAGTGCAGCTTCGCCTGCAAGTGAACAATCACCTTCATGTGGGACTGGTTGCAGCACATTGCTGTGGTTGTTTCCATAGCAATTCAGCTCATTGAGGAGGTAGCACATCAGTGTGTCATGCTGTGTAGCCATGTGGAGCAAAAGGCAAGGAGTTGGTTAGACTTTACTACACACCCAGATAGGAAGGAGGATGAAGTACTCACATGCTCACCTTCAGCCCATCCCCCCCACCACTGGACCTGTGCAAGGGTCCATTGCTGCCCCACTGGCACAAACATGAACCAATATTGTGCTCCACCATGACGATAGCAATGGGTCATAAACATCCCAGGAGTTCCAGACCCCACTACCACCTTGTCAATCCATTTCTGGCTCATGTCAAGGGAAAGTGGCTCACCTGGCTGTAGCACACCATTTGTGCTGATCGTGGGGAAAAGGAAGTCTTTGTTGGTCATTGGTCACCCAAGATGGACAAGCTCAACCCACTTCATCCATGACATGATGCACAGAAGGTGTCACACACTTTGCCCATATCTGGGCATGGATAAATCTTGTAACAATTGCCTTGTATATAGCAATAAAAGGAGATCAGATGGATAAGATATGTGAAGATGGATATAAGGACAGACTTCATAAGTTGGCTTCCCTCATCCCCTTATCCAACTTTGTTGCCATCCCTTATGATTCTTCAGGTGGATCTCAAAGTAAGTGTTGCACTTGTTTATGGTGAGGGAGACTTCTTTGCCTCGAAGATATTTCATGACCATGCCATCTATGACAGTCCAGTCAAGTTTGACATCCCCATGCTTCAATTTCACCAACTTGTAGTTCCTGTCAGATTCCACCATCAAAAATGTTGTTGGCAACGCTGCCCACTGGTACCTACCTTGTCCAGAGTGTGAATGCAACAGTGCCAAAGGCAAGGTGTTCAAGGTGCCATGTGACCACTAGCCTCACCTTCCTGCTCAGGGACTCGCCCAATGGCAGTGTTTTGCAGCCTACCATCATGAGATGGATGTATTGGAGTGGGGCATTGAGTGGACATAGCAATTCTGACCAGGCAAGTATTTTATCCATGTACTCCTTCATGGCTCCTGAATGCTTCCATTCAGCTCCTTTGGAATTTACCTTGTGTCTGATAGATGCCACAATATCATCAACTTCTGCCAACAAGACTGGGTTGCCTTCCCATCAGTGACATGCATCATTGTGATGCCAGTTCCTGCAGAATGTCACACCATCACTGTTGGGAAGAAAAGCACACCAAAGGTATTCATCTATGAGTATCAAGGGAAACCAAGCAGTCATGACATGTATGCTTTGTCTGACAACATCTTAAATCCTGCTCAAACTCCATCAATGGTGCTCTGGCTGCAATTCTCCTGAAACCCTCTCCATGAAAGGTAAAGTGCTAATGCCTTGTCTGAGCACCTATTTGGCATGCACTCAAACACATTCCTAAATTCTGGATTGCTGTAGGTTTTGGAATCCTCTCCAGTGTGACTTGGAGTCAGTGGCATTCCCTCCACTGGAAAATGGCTCTGCAGCCACAAATGTGCTCATTGGACATGTCCCAAGTATGCTGCCCTTGTCTTTGCTGCCTGAAGGTGAGTTTCTTTGCTGGCTTCTTTGATTTGGTGGGCAGTGTGCAAGCTGGGTAGTTCATTTGCAGCAGATACCCTTGTCCCCCTTTTTGGCTTGTCTGGGGACGATGCGATGTGCTTCATACCAGGTCCCTTCTGTCTGACCATCACAGCAACTGATGCAGTTAGCAGTCCTTGGCCTGGCAATGTGGGAGTTGTGATGTCACAGTGCTAGCTACTATGGTGTCACCTACTGGTCATTTGCAATACATATACCAGATCTCTCCTGGTCTGTGAAATCAATCTCATGAGCCACTCATAATTCTTGCTAAAATGGCACAGTAAAGCAAAGTTGACTCAGAGTACATGCATACTGCAATGGATCGAGAATTTGTTATACTAGTATCAATATATGCAATTGTAATTAGATCTTGCTGGCACCTCATCCATCAGTAGCAGTGATGACCCACTCCCTAGAGCCAACATTTATTTACCAAATGGCAGGTGACACAAACTGCAAACATCTTCATCTTCAATGATAGGGTCCCACAATTATTGCTGTTGTATGAAATGGCAAGTGACGTGAATGCAAACATCTTCTGACAGGGACATATTGTATGAGTGCTGCAGCAAGTTATACTGTTTTGAGCAGGGCTAGAAGGTGACCACTGTGGAGATGTTGGGCTGTACACAGGAGAAACAGAAGCCACTAGACATGAACAATCAATAGTTAATATAGGTAGAACTAAAGCTGGCATTATCAGTAACTCACAATATGTTGGAGAAGTTGGAGCGATAGAAGTGTTGATATAGATGGCACCAGCGACATGGGCAAGTATTTTGGAGATGAGGGTGACATTTGTGCAGGGGCTGCAGAGTGGTGTGAGTCAAAGTGAGGTTCAGTGGTGAAAACCAACCAAAACCAACACAAAAGACAATGAAAGCGAGTGGTGGTGTCTCTATGCGGTACCTAGATGGTAGAACCTGTTCTTTGGGAGGGTTTTTGCAAGCTACAACACTCAAAGATGAGTGCTGAGGGTAGGGGGTGCTCCTGATGAAGAGGGAGCAAGAATGTGATAGAAAGCAATAGGGTAGACTGCTGTCAGCCTACAGAAGGATGGATGGTGACTTAATTCGATGTCCTAAGCTGTACTGAGCTCAGGGAGGGCTTGGAGCAAAGTATATAGATGATAGATGATGATAAGCAAAGTAGATGATAGCTAGACCCTTAATAAAGTCTCAACTATCGAAGCTGATGAATGACTTACTGAGAGATGATAAATTGCGAGCAAGAGGGGCTCTCTGATGTCTTTTTTTTTGCTACCTAAGTACAGTGACTTATATACAGTACAGGGGCGTTGCCTATGGAAAACAAGGTGCAAACACTTGGTAAGTGATTGGTAACTGATGAGTAAGGAATGTAAGCAATGGGTAATCGTCTTGGAAAGCATTGGTAAGCATTGGTAAGGATAAGTAAGCCAAAAAGCGAAGAATCAGTAAGCAAAGTCAAAAGATTGGTAAGTATTGGCAATAGGTGAGTCAAAGACAGTCAGAATGTCAAAGTATGAGTCAAGCAATGTCAGGAACCAAGAAAGCACACTGGAATCACATTAGGGGGAGGCTGTGCATGTCACATCTTGAAGAGATCGCTTCTAGGCCAAAGTGGGATGACAGAGAGGCAGCACTGATCTGATGCCGATATAGTACATCCAAAAGCGGACAGGGTGAGTCAGATGTCAACAGGGGTCAAGCTTTGGGGGTCTGTGGGGTGACAGGAGCATAGGGGATTGCAACTTTCCCCCCCAAACCATCCTCTCAGTGAAGCAAATAAAAACTTCATGAATGAGGCTCTGTTGGAAGAGAGGATGAAGGGGGAGTGTCTTCCACTGTATCTTGCAACAAGGAGGCAAGATGTGCATCATACTCGTCATGGATGCGATCAGGGAGAGTGGAGAACAGTAGATTATACTGTATCTGTCACAACTTTGGAAGAATGATGGATGAGACTGGTATGAAGATGTTGCAGGGGGCAGGGAGGAAGGATCCATATGCTTCTTGGACCAGAGAGACTGAAATGACCACATAAGACCTTTCCAAGCGAATGACAGACCTGAGGCGACCAAAGAATGTCCTCCTGGAGGTCATACTGACAAAAAGAACATGCTGTCCAAGCTGGATGGGCTGAGAGGGGGCAGATGAGGGTGGGATGTACCAGGATGCTTCAGGACGGAAGCTGGTAGGAACTCCTGGTAGATATATGTAGCCATGGTCCCTAGCAAAGGGGACAAGTGAAATGACTGATGTGGAGGCAGCCATATCAGAAGAATTAGCAAAATGAGCATCTTTTGGAGGGAGTGCTGTAGAAATGTGTGGAGTGTGCAAATCCTTTCCAATCTTGGAAGGTAGGATTGCGTGGCTGAGCACTACAAGCGAGTGTGGGAATGGTTTCGGTGTCTGCAGAATTGGTGGAGATACGTCGAAAACCAGAATGCCATACACGGGCACTTAAGAATTTTATTGGTGCTTAACTCGCCTCCTCCTTTTTCTTTGGCACTGACAACCTGTTCTTGTGCGAGGGATGACTGCCGACATTGCTGGCTGTCCTTCTTTGCATGAGGGCTATGGTCTTCACCTCCATTCATCAGCTACATCCATGTCCACCTCACCAAACACCTTTGGTGTGTGACAGTGGTGAGTAATGTAACTGTGTGAGTGAGTTAAACTGACTTAAGCTGTGGTGAGGAGGGCATAGGAAAAGGGATGATCAGTAGAGCAATTGAGACAGAATGAAAAGCCATACTAGGTGAATCTGGCATGAAATTAATGATCGGTTCACTGACAAATAAAAGTTGCTTACATCTGGGAGACATGAGATTGAGTGTGGGTGATGTGGAGGAGTATGTCAATGATGTAGTCCCTCTGCTTCTGTTGTACAATGGGGATGTCCTGTATCACAGACCTGCCAAATAGTGAGATGTGAGATTGAGTGCAGGTGATGTCAGGGAGTATGTCAATGATGTAGTCCCTCTGCTTCTGTCATAGAATGGGGCTGTCCTGTATTGCAATGTGCTGAATGGTGAGACACGAGATTGAGTGTGGGTGATGTCAGGGAGTATGTCAGTGATGTGGCTCCCCTGCTTCTGTCATAGAATGGGTACATTGCATAGGGTGATGTGCCAAATGGTGAGGTCACTCTACCATAGGATGTGTGGCGATGTGGGCAAGTGCACATTGGGAGAGCAACTCTGCCCATTGTCACACACCAAAGGTGTTTGGTGAGGTGGACATGGATACAGCTGATGAATGGAGATGAAGACCATAGCCCTCATGTGAAGAAGGACAGCCAGGAATGTTGGCAGTCATCCCTCGCACAAGAACAAGTCATCAGTGCCAGAGAAAAAGAAAGGGAACAAGTTAAGCACTGGCTAAAATTCTTAAGCGCCCATGTATGGCATTCTGGTTTTCAACATATCTCCACCATTTCTGCAGATACCAAGACCATTCCCTCACTTGCTTGTAGTGCTTGGCTGCACAGTCTTGCCTTCCAAAATTGGAAAGGATTTGTGCACTCTGCACATTTCTATAGCACTCCCTCCAAAAGATGCTCATTTTGCTAAATTCTTCTGATATGGCTGCCTCTACATCAATTGTTTTGTTTGTCCCCTTTGCTAGGGACCATGGCTACATATATCTACCAGGATTTCCTACCAGCTTCCATCCTGAAGCATCCTGGTACATCCCACCCTTGTCTGTGCCCTCTCAGCCCATCCAGCTTGGACAGCATGTTCTTTTTGTCAGTATGACCTCTAGGAGGACATTCTTTGGTTGCCTCAGGTCTGTCATTCGCTTGGAAAGGTCTTATGTGGTCATTTCAGTCTCTCTGGTCCAAGAAGCATATGGATCCTTCCTCCCTGCTCCCTGCAATGTCTTCATACCAGTCTCATCCATCATTCTTCCAAGATTGTGACAGCTACAGTATAATCTACTGTTCTCCACTCTCCCTGATCACATCCATGATGAGTATGATGCACATCTTGCCTCCTTGTTGCAAGATACAGCAGAAGACACTCCCCCTTCATCCTCTCTTCCAACAGAGCCTTGTTCATGAAGTTTTTATTTGCTTCCCTGAGAGGATGGTTTGGGGGGGAAAGTTGCAATCCCCTATGCTCCTGTCACCCCACAGACCCCCAAAGCTTGACCCCTGTTGACATCTGACTCACCCTGTCCACTTTTGGATGTACTATATTGGCATCAGATCAGCACTGCCTCTCTGTCATCCCACCTTGGCCTAGAAGCAATCTCTTCAAGATGTGACATGCACAGCCTCCCCCTCATGCGATTCCAGTGCACTTTCCCAGTTCCTGACATTACTTGACTCATACTTTGATGTTCTGACTGTCTTTGACTCACCTATTGCCAATACTTACCAATCTTTTGACTTTGCTTACTGATTCTTCACCTTTTGGCTTGCTAATCCTTACCAATCCTTACCAATGCTTTCCAAGACAATTACCCATCGCTTACATTCCTTACTCATCAGTTACCAATCACTTACCAGGTGTTTGTGCCTTGTTTTCCAAGGGCAACACCCCTGTACTGTATATAAATCACTGTACTTAGATAGCAAAGAAGAAGACATCAGAGAGCCCCTCTTGCTTGCATTTTATCATCACTCAGTAATTCATTCAGCAGCTTTGATAGTTGAGACTTTATTAAGGGTCTAACTATCATCTACTTTGCTTATCCTTGTCTATCATCAATATACTTTGCTCCAAGCCCTCCCTGAGCTCAGTGCAGCTTAGGACATCAAATTAAGTCACCATCCATTCTTCTGTAGGCTGACAGCAGTCTACCCTATTGCATTCTCTCACATTCCTGCTTCTTCTTCATCAGGAGCACCCCCAACCCTCAGCACTTGTCTTTGAGTGTTGTAGCTTGCAAAAACCCTCCCAAAGAACAGGTTCTACCATCTAGGTACCACACAGGCACACCACCACTCGCTCTTTTTTTCTTTTGTGTTGGTTTTGGTTGGTTTTCACCACTGAACCACACTTTGACTCACACTGTATCTGGGGAATGAAAAGTTGGCTGCCATTGACAGTAAGTGGTGAGAACATTGCTGATTCACCCTTGAAGTTACTCTCTGACCATGCAGGGGAGTTTGTGTCATACAGTGTCATCACTGCTTGGCCTGGTGTCATGCTGCCAACTGCATGGGCAGCAAGTAAGTTTTGCACTGGCAAATGGTAGTCAGTGATGGCATTTTTCAGCACATCAATGTCCAGAGTGACATCAAATGCACCTGTACCTGTAGGTGCAAGCTGGCTGAACATAACATTTTCTGTGATGCTGTGACAGCCATCCTTTTTGCCAGTGGCAGTGGCTTCCATCAAAATCTCCACTGTTTCCTCAAACGAGAAACACATCAAGGCACCAGTGCCAGCATGGTTAATACCATGACAAGTGATTGCTATGAGCACTCTACAATGGGTCATGAGGTCACAGAGTGATGCCAGGTAGTGGTAGTTCATGTATGAACTGTCAAATTTGATGACTCCTTGCTTGCTGCATGCATGGCTTCAATCCCAAGCATGTTGAAGATCTCAATGCAGCTGTTGGGGTATGCATGAGTGAAGTTGACACCTGGAATGCATGTCCACCAGCTCCAAGTTGACATGGTCAGTGTCCAAAACCTGCTCCTTCATCTTGATGGATCCCTCATCAAGTTCTTGAGTTGGTGAAGGAAGATGTATTCTTCGACTGCAGCCTGTCCATCATTATCCTTGTCCCCACCATCTAACACATGACAATGAACAAACTAGTTTCTCTGAGTTGTCTTTGCTCCAGATTACAAAGAGATCTGTCTTGAAGCTCTCAGCAATGTGACTGGCAATATATGCCATGGTGAGGGTCCAATCAGTTGCTCTATCATGATGGAGCATCAGCTGAAGAGGCCTGGCTGGTGAAAAGGGGTCCAATGAACACAGATACTTCTTTGACAAGTCTTTGGCACTGATGGATCAAAAAGTACCCTGGCGAAGATGACATGGGTCCTATTTTGGCTGTCAGATCTTGGATGCTGGCAGATTGAGGGGTACCCTGAGGAAGACAATGTGGATGCAGTTTTGGCTGAAATATCTTTGATGCTGATGAGCATAGGTGGGGGTGTGGAGGAAGACAATGCAGATATGGTTTTGGCTGACAGGTCTTTGATGCCAATGAAAGTAGGTGGGGGTGCAGAGGAAGCCTGGGAGGTGGATATGACATCCTCCAGCACCTTGACAAGACATCATTAGATAAAACCTGTTCATGCAGACCTGGAAATTTGCTGAGAGGTGGGAGTAAGGCTGTCGAAAGCAAGCAAGGCAAGGAGAATTACCTAGAATGAGATCACAGTGAGCATGACTGGGTTCATAATGATCTGGGTAACAACACAAGCTGAGGCAGTCATCAGGTCGAGTCTGGGTGCTAAATATGCAGCACAAGAACAAGAGGGGGCAGGGAAGTGAACGAGGCAGACTTGCGCAGACCTGGCAATTCATTGGGAGGTGGGAAGAAAGGCAGTCTGCACAAGGGAAAAAATAAAAGGAAAAGGAAGAAGAAAAAACCCACACCTTGTGATGGTCCAGTATGGGGTGAGCATATTCTTCATCAAGCTTCACTTGCAACTCTAGGGAGCTGTTGGGGAGCTGTCATCGATGCCAATCCTTCTACACTCCGCTGCCTGATGCATGTACTCACCTGCAAGTTATTGTTGTCCTCCTTCAAGTGCTCTTGTGCACATTGGCCAAGACTGGTTGCAAGCAAGGTTGGAGGTGATGACATCACACAACAGAAGTCACAGTGCACAGCAAACAGCTTTGAATTGTGTAAGGGATGGGATGAACAGTGCACAGAATGTGTGACTCACAAACTGATACAATGCTACAAAAAGTGCTAGGCATGAACTAGTCCTCACTCATGAGATCAACAATGCCAGTTTGTGTCTCCTCACCACCTGTCAGGTTGATCACTCCAGCTTCAGGAGACAATGCAACCAGGTTAACTATGGACTCAAATGGCTGATGACCAGCATCCTCATCCACCAACTGCACATGAGACAACTGGGAGGATGGATGGATAGGGTCTTGTACTAAGTCAGGCCTTAAGTGCTCCAACATGACTGTTGGGACTTCTATTTCATAGAATGCATCATCATTAGCATCCTCACCCAGTGGTGACTGATCCATGTCCACTGGCATTGCTAGGGGCCAACTCAGCACAGAGAGCCTATAGGTGGGCAGTGGCTTGTTGAAGTAGCTTATGACCTGAAGGCCATGTTGCAGCTCTTCACCATCAATGTTACCTGGGAGCTGTATATGGTAGATGATGAGGTTGGACAGGCATATTTAGTATGGCTGCGAGACTCACCCATAGAAGTGCATGCATAGCTGCACCAGCAAAAGCATCAATCAATCTTGACTGGATGGTATCCAGTGACCAGCTGAGACACTGTGAGCAGAATGCTGCCAGGGAGGTGAGATTAGGCTGACAAGACATCATGAAGGCAATGGGGGGATGTCCACCATCCAACCATGATGTGAGAGGTAATAGGTACATTGCCAGTATGGCAGTGTCAGGGAATTTGACATGTTCCTCCTTGATGATGCAGGCAAGTTCATGGTACCTACATCCAAGGAGGTGCTGAGGTCTGTCCTCAACACTTCACAGACATCATTATGCCACTTGGTGACAAACTCCATAAACTCGACAAATTGGAGCATGATAGCAGCTTGGAAGAGGGTCCTTCCAAAGCCATAGTGTACTAACTGACAGGCAACATCCACACTGCACCACTGGCAACCTGTCTATGAACTAAGTCAGTTTTGATGACACCTTTGGCATGCGGAATATGGCACACACATCATCATCTATACTACCCATCAGTGTGATCAAATGGAGGTCCCCCCATTCAGGGCCGGCAAAATCTTCTATGGCTTCTGAGGAGTAAACTTGCATGTCTTCAAACCTGCCAGAATGCAAGTTGCTACCATCAGTCACACCAGCTACATTTGCACATTTGAGTAAACCTACCTGTGGACAACATGGGTCATGCCAAACAATAGTGCATTGTTGTATGGCATTATGACAGCATTGATGAGTCTGCAAGATTGAAGACAAGCAAGTTCCACCTCTGCCTCTCCTGGAGCCTGATGTCATGTTAGCACCCATTGAAATATATACAGAAAATGACTTGCCATGTGCCAGTTGAAACCACACATTATCAGCAGCTCTTGAAAGCGCTGCACAAGAAGACATGGGGAGGTCAAACCCACAATGTCTTCTCCTCTCTTGAGTTGGGGGCAGTCTGGCCCATTGAAGACAAAGTAAGGGTGAAGTAGCATGCGAGACAGAGTGGTGTCACACACCAAAGGTGTTTGGTGAGGTGGACATGGATATAGCTGATGAATGGAGGTGAAGACCATAGCCCTCATGTGAGGAAGGACAGCCAGCAATGTTGGCAGTCATCCCTCACACAAGATCAAGTTGTCAATAGCAAAGAAAAAGGAGGAGGCAAGTTAAGCGCCAATAAAGTTCTTAAGTGCCCGTGTACGGCATTCTGGTTTTCGACGTATCTCCACCAGTTCTGCAGACACCGAAACCATTCCCACACTCGCTTGTAGTGCTCAGCCATGCGATCCTACCTTCCAAGATTGGAAAGGATATGCGCACTCCACACGTTTCTACAGCACTCCCTCCAAAAGATGCTCATTTCACTAATTCTTCTGATATGGCTGCCTCCACATCAGTCATTTCACTTGTCCCCTTTGCTAGGGACCATGGCTACATATATCTACCAGGATTTCCTACCAGCTTCCGTCCTGAAGCGTCCTGGTACATCCCACCCTCATCTGCCCCCTCTCAGCCCATCCAGCTTGGACAGCGTGTTCTTTTTGTCAGTATGACCTCCAGGAGGATGTTCTTTGGTCGCCTCAGGTCTGTCATTCACTTGGAAAGGTCTTATGTGGTTGTTTCAGTCTCTCCAGTCCAAGAAGCATATGGATCCTTCCTCCCTGCCCCCTGCAACATCTTCATACCAGTCTCATCCATCATTCTTCCAAAGTTGTGACAGATACAGTATAATTTACTGTTCTCCACTCTCCCTGATCGCATCCATGACGAGTATGATGCACATCTTGCCTCCTTGTTGCAAGATACAGTGGAAGATGCTCCCCCTTCATCCTCTCTTCCAACAGAGCCTCATTCATGAAGTTTTTATTTGCTTCACTGAGAGGATGGTTTGGGGGGGAAAGTTGCAATCCCCTATGCTCCTGTCACCCCACAGACCCCCAAAGCTTGACCCCTGTTGACATCTGACTCACCCTGTCCGCTTTTGGATGTACTATATCGGCATCAGATCAGTGCTGCCTCTCTGTCATCCCACTTTGGCCTAGAAGTGATCTCTTCAAGATGTGACATGCACAGCCTCCCCCTAATGTGATTCCAGTGCACTTTCCCAGTTCCTGACATTGCTTGACTCATACTGTGACATTCTGACTGTCTTTGACTCACCTATTGCCAATACTTACCAATCTTTTGACTTTGCTTACTGATTCTTTGCTTTTTGGCTTACTTATCCTTACCAATGCTTACCAATGCTTTCCAAGACGATTACCCATTGCTTACATTCCTTACTCATCAGTTACCAATCACTTACCAAGTGTTTGCACCTTGTTTTCCATAGGCAACGCCCCTGTACTGTATATAAGTCACTGTACTTAGGTAGCAAAAAAAAAAGACATCAGAGAGCCCCTCTTGCTCGCAATTTATCATCTCTCAGTAAGTCATTCATCAGCTTCGATAGTTGAGACTTTATTAAGGGTCTAGCTATCATCTACTTTGCTTATCATCATCTATCATCTATATACTTTGCTCCAAGCCCTCCCTGAGCTCAGTACAGCTTAGGACATCGAATTAAGTCACCATCCATCCTTCTGTAGGCTGACAGCAGTCTACCCTATTGCTTTCTATCACATTCTTGCTCCCTCTTCGTCAGGAGCACCCCCAACCCTCAGCACTCATCTTTGAGTGTTGTAGCTTGCAAAAACCCTCCCAAAGAACAGGTTCTACCATCTAGGTACCACACAGGCACACCACCACTCGCTTTCATTGTCTTTTGTGTTGGTTTTGGTTGGTTTTCACCACTGAACCACACTTTGACTCACAGTGGAAAGATGGCAGAGGATAGTATCCATTTCATGTGATTGTCCTGTACCAGCTTGATGCCATGAAAACACATTGACTAGCAAATGCATCCACGCACTGCTGATATGTCATCTGTGAGGGACAAAGCAGACCATGGATGGTAGGCTACTAACCTGGCATTGACTCCCACTGTGAGCAATCAAACACCTTCTTCATTGCTGGATGGGTCAAACACTTCAGCAGCCAGCTGGCCAAGTATGTAAGGCCTTGCTGCAGGTGCAAGAAGCTATGTCTGGTCAGTATAACCATGCCAATGAAATGGCAGAAAAGAACTGTCATGGACAGGCCATAGTTCAGAGACTCTCATGTGTGGCAGATGTGGAGGACTTGTTAGGAGGATGTCAACAGGGGGAGAATGAGAGAGCCAGCTGATGTAGGCATAGGCCAATGCCCAGCTGACAAATATGAGTATGGCCACTAGCCAGTTGAATGCCTGGGCCATGGTGTGAGGATGGATATACTTGATACAAGCGATCTATGTTTCGAAACCATCAGTGGAGGCACTAGTACTGGTGGCTGATGAAAGGGACTCACTGAGAGATGAATCAGGTGGAATCTTGAGGGTGCATTCCCGCTAGTGAGCATGCTTGGCCAAGGAATTGTGCTTGATAGTGCTGTGAGCTGTCAGATGTAGCATGCTGAAATGCTTGCTGGCAGGTACTCACTGCAAATGGCCATTGATGGCAACAAAGGCCAGGGGATGTCAGGGGATGTCAAATGGACTTTGGGGAGGGAAGAGGAAGGCCCCTGCCAGTGTATACACAGTTGGGAGTCATGATAGCCCAAACCTGCCCTAATGGCTTATGTTTAGTGCATCTGCCTCGAGGCTACAAGCCAGTTCAAGCTGTAAAGTACTGTAAGTAATTATAAAGTGCTGTAAAGTCACTTTACAATGGGAAATTGGCATGCAGACTTACAACTGGGCTGGCCAGATTGGCAAACAAGTTAGTAAAATATACAAATGCACCAAATGGGACAAGACCTTGAGGTCACCATCAAGGTGCAACATGTAGCCATTACAGTATTACAGAAGCAGGGCAAGGGGTTTTACACACTTGACTAATGCACTCCACCACATGGTCACTCAGTTATGCAGTACTCAGCGCTTCAGCTTCAGCATTCAGTGAAATATATATTGTATGATGAGCACAGAGGCTGTGGATTTTTGGCCTTGATGAATACAAATATACTGTACTATTACAAGACAATGCCACGTATCCCAGCTACAGCTCAGTATGGGCATCTGCAAATTGCTTAGTGCTCTAAGAGCAACATTAGAGTGCTTAGCATTGGTAACAGTGTGTGCCAAGCTCTCAAACAATTCAAAAACTGTCTGAAGCGCATGCTGTAATTTGACTGTCTTGCGGATGTGTAGTACCAGCCAAGAACAAATTCAGCCAAAAACTATTGAGACATGTTGCCAAGTCGAATTGACAGCTGTCAACAACAGCATGGTAGCATACAAAGTTTCCCTTCCCCCCACTGAATGAGAATGCCCAAAGGCCAAATACTAGCTGCTGACTGCAAAAGTGATCAACTATTGATGTAAATTTAATGGTGGTGCCCCTGCACCCACATCCCCTCCATCTGAATCACACAGTTGTCAAACACAATGGACAGGAGGTCCTGTCTCTAAGCAATCAGCATCATGCAGGGATGTCCCACTCTCCATGCTCGGACCCTGATCATAACGTGCCTGAGACCATAAGTCCCCCACCATGTGTTGCTTCCATGTCCTGAGCACACCCTACATCAGCAAACCAAAATTCTGCAAAACATTGTATATGAGCACTTATGGATTCCTGTTTGGGAGTAGTCCAGGGCATGATACATTGGCAGTGGGTTTCAACTTATTTGGAGATTATCTTCAGCTTAGCCAGACTAGATGTAAAGAAGTGATCTTATCAACTGATGTCAGCTACAAAATCATTGTACATCAATCAATATGTAACCTCTCTTGATGATTGCCCTCTGCATCTCAGACAATCTTGCACTCTCAACAGCACTCTCCTGCAGCTTAGAAATGCTAGCCATAAGATCACAGTATACATCACACCAGATATCTGTGTGAATGGCACTTTCTACATACACACCATTCCAATGATCCTTGAGGGCAGCATAGATGGCAGTTCCTGCCAAAGTGCAAAGGGGATCCATTGAGTCCTTGTTGATGGCCTTGTATAGCTGTCCTGGGCTCAGGAAGAGGATGTTGATGATGATATCTGTGAATAACTCATGCTCAAATAGGCCTTCATTTGTTGCAGTATAGGGATCCTCTGTTGGTTGCTAGAGTACTGGAGTCATTTGATGACATAAGAATTATAGGAATGTGCACATACCATTGGTTGATAATGCCAGGGTTTAAGGAAAGTGAGATCAGTGAGGAGCTGTCAGACTTGAACATTCTTGTGGTCAACTTCAGAATGGACACTCCCTAATGGAAGACGAAGGCCATAGTCACATTGGACATGACAGAATGCATACTGTTTGAATGACCAGTGGATTGCTGTCATTGCACCAATTACATCATTATCTATATGTAGTGGTTCATGATGAACTTGGTAAAGTCAGGAAGATATCAGCCAGGGAAACATACTGCAGGCAACAACATACCTCCTCCAATGACAGTGTGTGGCTTTTTGGATGGCTGCTTTCACACATTCAGTGCACACATTCTTCATTGGCACAGTGTCCACAGCGAACATGTATTTTTGTACTTCTTTTTTTGCTTGGTCCACAATCTGCCCTCGCTCTTGTTTGGTTACTGTCACAGGAACAAGTGCAGCATCGGCCATATAGCCATCAGATGGTGCAGTTGCATTGGCAACTGCACCCACTGATGCAGGAGGAGGTGGAGTCAGAGGCATTGTGACACAGTGTTGGCACTGAGGCCGACTGATCTCCTGATTGCCTTGAGTCTAAGAGCTATTAGAAATTAGTTGAATATGAGTACAGTGTACTTACATGGATAACATTGGTGAGTGAGTTTGAATATCTATTTGTGGATTGCACACCTGGTTGACTTGGTGCGGTTGCCAGCATGTACCTTTGGGCAGAGCTGAGTAAGGAGGCAGGTGGGTGAGTGTCTTGATAGGTGTGGTAACCACATGAAGATGGGCCACCAGGTGGTGAATGGGCAGAGTGGTGGGTGTGGTAACTGCCCACAGATGGGCCACCAGGTGGTGCATGGGCAGAGAGCCTGTCTACCCAGCTGCTAGACAACAGTTGATGAGGTTCAGTCATTGACAGAGTCTGGTAATTGAAGGGATAGGGGTTCATCATTAGGTACCCTGGTCCCTGATGCAGAAATGATGGATCCACAGCCTGCTCGCCCTCGAGGTTTAGTTGGCTTGACATGTTGTTGCCACTGGGATTCAAGTTTGACCCTACAGGCAGCCTAGGGAAAGCCTTTCTGAAATATTAGGATCATCACAGCAGTAGATAGATAAAACATACCCTGTTACTGTTTGGCCTATGTCTCGACATGGCAGTCAGAGGAGCAGAGTAGCAGACAGTGGATGCTGCGAGCTACTTATCCATCACAATCCATCTTAATTGGGCATGACCAAACAGGAATAAGGTGATGGATTTCAGCAAGTAAAGAACCGATGAATACAGATAGTGCGGTAACAAAACAAAAAAGAAGTGTAAACTTATCTACCTATCAGAATGTCAGATGAGTAAATTTGTGATGCTGACTGAAACAGTTCAAACTCACAATACTCAGTACAAATTCTTCACAAGGACATAACTATGCAACCTATGAATATATTGAATCAGTCATGAGTCAGAAGATTAAGTGAAGACATGCCATTATTCAGCCTCATCATTGTCAGAGGATAGTAACCCTGTGAACAGCATCCCACAAGTATCATTGTCATGGTCAGGGTTGTCCTCGACATGCTCGTCAGGGGATGGTGACCTCTCATCCATGAAAGATTCCAACTGTTCTGTCTGAGTTGCTAGATCATGAATGTGACAAGTTCATCAGCATATACAGCATGGTAAAACACCATGTCATCTTTGGCATCCTGCAGGTCATGTTGGTCAAAAATATCCATCAACATTGCCAACTGTGATTCAGCAGTTGCCAGAGTTTCCCAAGCTGCTGTGTGAACTTCAGTCAATAAATCCCTCTGCCACTCAATAAACTCTATCTCTGCCAAGGTCTGAGAGACCCACTGTGATATACAATCCTGGAATGCATGCTTTGTGAGTATGGCATTGACAAGAACATTGTCAGGCAATTGTGACAAATCATGACATAGAAAGTCATGTCCCTTGGTTTCATTCATTAGTAGTGCCCCACACATATGACAATAACTTACCTTGTGTACATCTTCAAGTGACAAATCAGTGTGAGATGATCAACCAATGGTTCTCACAGCAAAGCAAAGCTCCAGGGGGGGTGGGGCTGCTTGCTTTCTGTATGGGTGGTACTTGGTATGCATGTGGCTTTGTGCCTCTAGGATGTGCCTCCAGAGAGAGGGACTTGAGCTGTGAGGAGACATGGAAGAGTGTGAAGTCAGTGATATGATGCTCCTTCTGGGCAGTGCATTCAACAGCTCTTCTTGTCTCTCTTTATTGAAGTGGCTCAGGCTTGGATGTTTGTGCAGTGGTGAAAAAAGGATGTTGTTATGAACAAGCAGTGGTGAGAAATCAGTTTTTGGACTAGGTTCAGACAAGGAGTGTGGAGACAATGACAGTTGGGGGACTGAGGGTACAGTGCCAGCAGACATAGCAGTCATAATCATACTCTCACCAGATATGTTATCATTGCCATGTAGCAGAGTTTCTGTCAGAAATTGAAGGACTTAGAGAATTTCAGAGTAACAAGCAACACTAACCTCTCATCTGTAGTATCATGGCATCTATGAGTGATAATGGTAACAGCCTCACCTTTGATTGTCCTGGATGTCAGGTGATATTTCCTTCACCTGCTGCATTACTAAATCACCTCAAAACTGAAGGGGGGGCCTGTACTGATGCAATCCCAGTGCAGCACATTCCTGTACCACCAGCCTTCCAGTGTGGATTCGAGGAGAACGACATTATGGGTCACTATTATCCAACCTCTGGATATATCTACAATAGAGGTGACACTTTCCTTGACTGGATGAAGGCTAGCGAACATGAAAGGTGATGTCAAAATCAACTGTACTATCCCTTTGCAGATGAGGGTGAATGGGAACTGGCAAAGTTCCTGGCATTGAACTTCACTCAATCACAGATGAATCAGTTTCTCAAGCTCAAATGGGTAAGGCTATTGAGACTCTGATTTTTGTTGCTAATGATATCCTTAGTTCAAAACTCAGGTTAAACCATCATTTAAATCAGCAGATCAATTGCTTGGGTGGATGGCAAGTTTGCCTCATGGCCCACAATGGCGCAGGACTACAGTAGAGTTCAAAGGCTATAAATCCATGCACCCCATTCAGCTCATATGGCAGGATGCCCTCGAGGTTGTCAAGGATCTTTTCTCCAATCCCATCTTCACAAACTTCATGACCTATGACCCACACATGGTCTTTCAAGGACTGGAAAGGGAGTATAGTGAGTTTTTCACAGCAACACATGCATTTGACATCCAAGTACATGCAGATTATGCTTGGTGACTGCCTTGTCACTTATCTTTGTTTTTTTTTTCAGGTGCAGCTTCCTCAGGGTGCAACCATCACTCCAATCATTATTGCCTCTGACAAAACCCCAGTGACGAGGCACACTGGAGGGCTGGAAATGCACCCAGTCTTTATTATGATTGGCAACATCCAGTCTGATGTGAGGATGCAGGCATCATCTCATGCATGGCGCTGCATTGCTTTCATGCCAGTTCCTGTCTTCGAGGTTCACCCAGATTTCCAAACAATTCTTCATGCTTTTTTCACCAGTGTATGGACATCGTTTTTGCCTCTCTCAAGACAGTCACATCAGATGGTATCAATCTCACAGACCCAACCAGCTTTACTCAAACTGTTTTACCCCTCTAGTCACATATATTGCAGATCTTCCCAAGCAACAGCTAGTTGCTTGTGTTGCCAAAAATTCTTCCCCTATCACCACCACAGTACTCTCTGACTTCAGTGACAGTGTACCCCAAAATCCATGAACTGGCTCATACACACTGCAGCAGATTGTTGATTTGTGCACACATACCCAGGCATGGAACATCCCCTCTTTCCAGAAGGCTGCCAAAGCAGAGAAGTTACTGGGCATGCACCACCCTTTCTGGAGGGACTGGAAGTTTGCTGACCCTGCACACTTCTTGGTGGGGGAAATTCTCCACACTTGTTGTAAGTTCTTTTTTGACCATGTTCTCAAATGGTCCAAGGAAGCTGCCAGCAATCACCTGCTTGATACATGATACAAGATTCAACACAAGCATGTTGGCATCAGGCATTTTGCTTCTGGCATCTCACATGTGAAGCAGATGATGGGCAGAGACCATCGTGATATTGAGAGGACCATCATCCCCATGTTAGATGGCACCATTCCACCTCTATTCATCTATGCTGTTTGCTCCATGGTGGAGTTCATTTATAGGGCACAACAACCTATCCACACCAACTTGTCTATCGCATCAATGACTGCCACCTTGCAGGCATTCCACACCACTAAACACTCCATTCTTGATGCAGGGGCTCAAAGGGGAGCCAAGGGCTCCATGGACAACTTCAACATCCCAAAACTGGAACTTATGCACACCTTTGCTTGCCACATCAAGGAGAATGGCACTCTCATCCAATACACAGCAAATGTGACTGAGCAGCTCCTGATCACCCACTGCAAGACACCCTTTGAGCGGATGAACTGATGGAGCAACACATTCATTGATCAAGTTGTTGAGCTCCTCAATCACAAGGAAACTATCCACTCCTTTGACCTTTACATCTTACTCTGCAGTTTGGATTTGGCACTTGACACTGCAATTATGGTCAAAAATGAGGAAGTTACCAGTGTGGACCTGGCATTATCTTCTATCAATCATGTTCTTCTGGAGAAAGAGACTATGTTCCAAAGACCTTGGCCTTTTCAAAATCACTTCAATGACCCCAAATGCTTTTCATTGTCAAGTGGAGCATTTGCATTCCATGTCACAGTCCTCCCTGACTGTGCAACACTGATGGTATCTGAAATGCAGGTGACATATGAACTCCCAGACCTCCCACAGGTAATATCCGACTACATCTCTGCTGCTTTGTGTGGGTGTCTGACCAAGCACTGGGATGCTCATGGCATGATTTCTCTATGGAATAAATTATTCAACTGCACTCATCATTCTGGACACGATACATATGCAGAAGCCAGGCTGTTCAGGCCTTCCCTCCCTCAGATTCTCACCCTCTTGGAAACTGTGATGCAGTGTTGTTGAAGCATGTGAATGATGATGTGAACTTTGGTATGCATACCCTACATTATAACTCCAAGAAAACATTACTGACTCTTTTCCTAGATGTTGCTCAGGTGCAGGCAATATTCATGCTGAAGACAAAGAAGGAACTTCCTGTTTATCTTGGCCCCATCCCTCTCATTTATGTCTGTTATTTTCACATTGTCTGGCTGCCTGAGCAAAATGGCAGGGTCAGACTATACAGAGTTCAACATATTCCCCCTTCTTCCACAGGTGCAAGTGGCATCATCCCATTGACCAATGTTATTCATGCTGTGGAACTGGTACCTGTCTACAACACAGTACTTCTGGGAGTGGATGCATGCAGTGAGACTTGTATGGAGGCATACAACCAATATTATTTAAACACATTTGCAGATAAAGAGACATACCACATTCTGGCTGAGTAGTTGTTTGTAGCATCACAATAGTAGAAGGGCTGCTGCTGCCCCAACTTCATTGTCCCTTGTAGCCGAGTGATTCTTGTATCTTATCCCCGTAATCATGATACCTACACCTTATCTCTGTAATTATTACCCTTCGGAGATATCAAGTGGAACTACATTGATCTCCACCAATCACAAGTCGCGATCTCACACCACATAACCACCCGTAAGGCTGTCAAGTTAAGTGTTCATTTCAGTGGTTTTATAGATGTAGCGCACCCTAGCGCACCTCCCACGCCACGATCGACGATGCCGGTGCCGTCACGAGGCGTCAGACACTCCGAACGGTCGTCCCCGCCGCCGAGGGCGAGCCGCTGTGGCTGGGAGGCCGGTCCAAAATTTGCAGCTCCCACGCACCGCCACCTGCCAATTTTTCGGAATAAACTGACTTTCTCGCACGCACACCTTCTGCTTAGTCAGCGAATTTGCAGTGGCTGTAAGCACAGCCACCTGCAAATTTTTCGGAATAAACTGACTTTTTTTGGGGTTTCTTCACCTGGATTCTTTGTGGGACAATTACCAAACTAAGCTGATCATTCTCGCTGACGATACTGAACCTCCTCTAGTGGATCATGTCTACTCACCACCGTTCGACGAAGAGTGCGCCATTTACACCAACATGATTGGCAATGTCACCCTATCCAACGACGGCGGTATAAACAACTCCTCTGACCACAACAGTCTCTTGGAGAACGACTCCTCCCGCTCCTCTCCCCACGAAGTCCCTGAGCTCGAGGCCTACCTTTACTATTTTGGTCTCCGGGGCCCCAGGCACCGGGGTCCCAAGTTGATCTTTCGGACGTCCAAGGATGTCTTCCCAGCGCCCTCGGGGCCAGAGCAACATCCTCGTCACATGAAGCTTCGGCCAGTTTATGACCACCACATACTTGGCAAGGGCGATCTGTGGCCCACGATTCGTTCTGAGGTTCGTGACCTTCTCGAAGCGCAGCAATCTGCGGACTCACATTTGTTCCTAGGTTGTCAGACTTCTCGACCGGCGAAACATCCAGTTCTCATCTGTCGACCTTGTTCGTTTCAGCTGGGTCAAGCACAACGAGGAGAATGAAGATGAGGAAGATGAGGAGGAGGACAAGGACGACGAGGATGACCAGGAGAATGAGGACGACAAGGATGACCAGGAGAATGAGGACGACGAGGACGATCAGGAGAATGAGGATGACGAGGATGACCAGGAGAATGAGGACGACGAGGATGACCAGGAGAATGAGGACGACGAAGATGACGGGACCGACGAGTATGACCCCGACATCGGGTTTTTGCCGCCCAGGACAGTGGTTACCACACCCGTCACGATTTGGGTGGGAGTCTTGCCCGATACTCTTACCGGCGAGGTGGCATTCAAATCTTCCAACGACATCCTCGATTTCCTCAAGGAGCACGGCATTTCTGACGTCGATGTTGCGTACCGTGAGTCAGTGGCTAATGGTTCCAGTGGTCCTGAACTGTTCGCACCCGTCTGGGATTTCGATCCCCTCAAGGCCGTCATCGATCCCGTGACTACGTCACTTAGCCTGCCTATTGCTGGCTTCGAGACGCTCTATAGCCTGGGAAAATTGGGTTTCTACTTCAAAGTGGGTCAAGATCTGTACGCCGTCACCGCCCGCCACGTCCTGTTCCCTGAAAACGAAGGTAATAATGCATACTCCTACGTCGGTACGTTCTTTTCCCCGAGAAGATGAGCGCAATTCTGACTACACCTACAAAGCCGGGCCCAAGAAGGAGGTCGTCCTCATGGGCAGCAAAGATTTTAATGACTTCCTCGCGTCTATCCAGGACCATATCGACATCATGAACCACACGGTTGGTATCTTGGAGCGGCGGGCTACGACGTTAACGGCTAGGGCGGAGGGCGATGGCCCTACCGCTAAGCAGGCGGCAAAGGAGCTGGAGGTGACTCGACGCCAGCTGCCCAAGACACGAGAGACGATTGAGGCGCTCAAGAATTTCTTTGTGAAGATGAAGACGGAGTGGACGAGCCCGAAGGACCGGATCATTGGACACGTCGTCTGGGCACCTCCCGTCAGTGTCCATGCCTCCCCTCACAGTTATACGTTGGATGTTTGTGTCATCGAGCTCGACAAGAAGAAGTTCTTGAAAAACTGCAGGGGCAACGTGCTCGACTTAGGTGCGTGATGATCCGTCTAGCTGAAGGTGTCTAATCTAACTGTTCATGTTCCAGGCCCTGAGATCGGCCCCGGCAAGTTTATTAGCTTGATGTACCCTCCCGTCGATGCGTCGTCCGATTTCGATTACCCAGTCGACCGTCTCCTCAAGCTCCGAGGCATTCTCTCTGCAGAGGAGATTCGCACGCCGAATAACCGAGACCGCGAAGGCGACCCCATGCGATACGTTATAAAACGCGGTCTCACCACGCTCACCACGATTGGCTGTTTGAATGGATTTGAGTCTCATGTTCGCCGCTACTGCGCCCTGGGCAGCCGCGATTCGGTGGAAGTAGCAGTCTACCCCTATGATACCGTCTCCGGTCCGTTCTCTAGGGGCGGGGACTCTGGATCCATCATCGTCGACGCCCTCGGCAAGTTCGTCGCCCTCCTCACCGGTGGCACGGGACCAGCCTATTCCTCCGAAATCACGTTTGGGACACCAATGCACTGGCTCTGGGACGTTATCAAGACTCAGTTCCCCGGTGCTAACCTCTACTTCGAAGACGACAACGACTAGGTTCGTCGCTCCCTTCCGCCTCATCCTCTCGTACTTACACAGCGGGCAAATGCCCTGGGGAACTGCTTCTAAATCGAGCTGGGAATTCGCTACAGACGTAAAAATTGAGTGGTGATTTAAGAAATCTAAATTGTAGAGAGAATATGTTGATAGCTTAATGACTTGGTGGCTTTTTCTAACAAAAATTACTTTGAACTCCTGTATCCTCACAAGAACTGATGCTGGTGATCTGAAGACCACCACTCTCCTCTGACAATGGTGTTGTTGAGCATGACAAACAGTCAACTCCTCAGACATCCAGTCACTCTCTTAGCCAGATGTCAATGCAAGTACACTTTCTTCTTGTTGCTCCCTGCATACTACCAGGGCATCTTCAGCTCTTACTTGATTCCTATGGTCAAGAAACCCCATCTACTAGTCAGGTATGCACCTCCAGGAATTCAGTGATATCACTGAAATAGAATCAAAGGGTCCCTCTACAGTTCAGGGTGAAGGGGTTGTTACCCTGGATGGATATCAGAGCCATTGGAGCCTACCTCAGACTGAGTTCTGTGCAACAAACTTCAATCTAACCCAGTGGCCTTCAACTTCCACCCCATCTCAATTGCAACAGTTGGTACCCAACACTCTCACCACCCCTCTGCAACAGTTCACTGCTGCATTTCAGCTAGTAGCACCTGCCAGTGAAATTCCCCCACTTTAGATTTTTCTGCCTTCCAGGTTCCACAGAGGTACACCACTACTCACCTTTTATTTGTCTTTGGTGTTGGTTTTGGTTGGCTTTCACCACCTTGCCACACTTTGACTCACAACAGTTTCCAAAAAGTTGCCTCCTGGAAGTTGACATGCCTAATTCCTGAAAACCACTTCCATGACAGGCTTCAACACTCACCCATGACCCAGCTGTACAGTGAGGCAGCCACAGTTGTGGTCCATACTGAGACTGTGGTATGATGGGCAAGGTGCTGTCAGCTGAATACCAGTCATTAGCTTGCCAATGCAACCAGGACTGAATTCCAGCACAGCATATGCAATGACCACAAGATTGATGAGAGAAGGCATGTGTAAAACTGCCAAGAAGACAATACAGGCATTGATGGGTGTCCAAATGCACAGGAAAGGCAGGTCATGCAGTGTCACTGGGGTTATCCCATGGTCACTGGTTGTCATGATGATCACATCTTGAAGCTGAAGGTGTTGTAAGAGGGGAAAAGACTGGAGAACAAGGCATAGCTGTTAGAGTATCATGGCAAGAGTGACATCATGGATGTTTGAGATTCAGAGGGATGTTAAAAGATGAGACTGGGAAGCTATCCCAGTGTGGATGGCATCCCAACTAAACATGCATCTTTCCAAGCACAACCATTTGAGACAAGGCCACATAGTGTAGTCACACTTAGTCACAACACATGGGAAGCCTGTGCACCAAAACACCAACACTTATATAGACCCCAAGATGAGCCCACCTAAATAGATTAGCCAGTACACATGGACAGGCCCAAGGGACTAAAGTGAGAGCAACATATGTATGGGCCTGTAAGTGCATTACCACAACATATGGGAGGGCCCATGGTGGGTAAGGATGTTGAAACATTTAGATGGGCCCATGACCAATTAAGTATACTGAGCTGCTGTAAGACATGGATGGGCCCATCCTGGTAGGTTACACCCCTGTTGCAACATTAAGGTGGGCCCACCTATCATAACATGGAGAGGGTCACAACATAAGGACAGGCCCATCTATGATTAGAATACAAAGTTGGCAACATAATGATGGGCCCAGGAGTAATATCATTTATGGTGTTGCAACATCTAGACAGGCCCATTCATAATAAGCCATACCCCTGTTGCAACATAAAGACAGGCCTATCAGTAATGTCATTTCATAATGTCACAACATATGGACAGGCCTGTTGACAGTAAGATGTACCACTGTTGAAACATAAAGACAGGGCTGTCACTAGTATCATTTAATAGAGTCACAACATAAGGTTGGGCCCATCAGTAGTATTATGCAACATATGGATGGGCCCATCCACAGTAAGATGTACCTCTGACAAGACATAAAGACAGGCCCATCAGTAATCTCATGTATAGCATCACAACATATGGATGGGCCATTCAGTAGTACTATTTATATTGTCACAACATATGGGCAGGCCCAGCCCCAGTAAGATGTACCCTGTCAAAACATAAAGACAGGCCCATCACTAGTATCATTTAATAGAGTCACAACGTATGGATGGGCCCATCAGTAATATTATTTATATTGTTACAACATATGGACAGGCCCATCAGTAATCTCATGTATAGCATCACAACATATGGATGGGCCCTTCAGTAGTACTATTTATATCATCACAACATATGGGTGGGCCCAGCCCCAGTAAGATGTACCCTGTCAAAACATAAAGACAGCCCCATCACTAATATCATTTAATAGAGTCACAACATATGGATGGGCCCTTCAGTAGTATTATTTATATTGTCACAACATATGGACAGGCCTGTCCACAGTAAGATGTACCTCTGATGAAACATAAAGATGGGCCTTCAGTAGTATCATGTATATCATCATATCAAATGGACAGGCCCATCTAGCAAGATGCACCCCTGTCACAACATAAGGACAAGTCCATGTATGGTATTCTTAGGCAGCAGAAAGGGAGATCCAAGCTATCTACATAAGGATGGCCTGTGTAAGGCATTCTCAGGCAGCAGAAAGGGAGATCAAAGGGATCTACATAAGGACAGGCCCATCCATGGTATTCTCAGGCAGCAGATAAGGGAAAACAAAAACCAGTGTTATAACATAAGACAGGCCAATCTGTCCATCACAGGATTACAAACCCTTGGCACCACATAAGGTGGGCCAATCTGTTGTATCATAGATAGCTCACCACAAATGGACAGGCCTATCCATATTGGGTTATCCCCCTGTCACATTATAAGATGGGCCTAGGAAGACAAGAAATGAAGAAAGTGGAACCTCTTGCACTATGAAGTATCAGAATTTCCCACTATAAATTGTGTTTCATGTTGGATGATTTGCCTATTCAGTAGGAATCTCAGGTGCTGGTCTATGTAGCAAGCCAGGACTCCACCATTGGAGCAGATGGGAAACACACAAAACAAATGGCAATGTTATTGCAGAACAATGCATAATATTTTTATCTGAGTCTCTGCTTCATATATGCATTCAGGATTATGGACTTGTACCAGTATTACTGTCATACTATGGGAATCATTCATAGGTGGGATAAAAAATGCGACATCTGCATATCTCATTGTCCATCTTTAACCTCTGACTCTTCCACTCTCCAATCACCATCACCACTCTCACCATCAAATTACTCCATTGTCTCATCATCAAAAACATGTCATTGTCATTGTCTTGCAAGCTCTTCAAGAAATTGCCTGAGCTCAATGCTGTGGCCAACTGCATACTTCAAATTTACTTCAAGGATATCATGGAAAGTAGCAAGCTGGGAAAGGCAGACAAGATTGTGAAGTGGAGAGGTGCCATCAAGGCAATAAATGATGAACTAGTGTGTCATAGAGTCATCACACTTTTTTACTAACTGATGTATTCAGGACACTGTATGTGACCTCATTGCTAGCACAGATGAGATTCCAATGACCCTCATCAGTGTCAACACATTCTTAAAGTGGCATGATGACCTTGGCTTGATTGACCACCTGTGACCTGAGTGGAAGACCACCCTATGCCCTTTCAAAACTGACATCGCCAACCACAAGTGGCTCAACATTGTCGAGTGTTGATACAACTACCACTGGTTGGGCCTCCCTATGCCCTGTGTCATGCCAACACCAACACCACCTGCTCAAGAGACTGAAATGCCTATGAGTGGCAAAGGAAAACAGAAAGCAACTGAGGCAGAGGTGGAGCAAATGATAGTGGAGAGCTTGCACAGGATGGAGGTGGATGATGAGGGTGAAGATGAGGTGCCAGAAAAGGAGGATGATGAGGAAGAACCAGCACATGGCAAGCAGAAGCACCAAGCTGCCATGAAAACAACATCCCATCAATCCAGGTGTCGATCCCACTCTACAAAGGCAACAGCAGAAACTGACAATGAAGATGACATTCCTGCTCAAGGCCAATTGAAACACAAGCCTTGTCCACCATCAGATGGACTATATGGTTGTGCTGCCATAGCTGCCAGAAGGACACCTTCCCCTGACCCCCATTCCTGCAAGTTGTGCTGCAGATGCAAGATCTGATGCTACAAGAACCCTGGGAAGTCCTGCTTCCTGTGTGATGGTTGCAAGATTTGATGCAGCCATGCCAAAGGTGGCATTACTGCTCCAACTCAATAGAATCCATCACAAGCCAGGGGAAAAAAGTGAGCTCAAAGTCTGTCCCCAATGATAAAGGCCCAAGAATCCCAAAGCCCAAGGGAACATCCCCAAAAGCAACACATTTCAATGGCTTCCAAAGCCATCAATGCTGGTGTTGGGCCCTCCAACCAGGGAAAGACAATCCCTGAGGGATCTTCACTCAGTACATTTCCAATTTCATGTATTTACCACTGACTCAAATGTTATTCACTGATTCATATTCCTGCATTCAAACACAGGGATTCCCACCCAATCCCAGCTGCTGTACAAGTGGATTCAATCATTGAGGTTGGCCCATCCATTGCACAGGAGGTAGAGGAATCTATGGTAGCAGGTATGTTTAATCACTCCACATTTACACTAAGTATTGTCATTAACCCTTGTATTCAAAGCAGACACCTGCCCATCAACAACAGCAGCACCCATCCAACTCACAACCACTGCAACTCCCAGCACACCATCACCCATCTGTGCCCCAATCACCAAGGTGTCACAAACATCCAACACAATCAAACAGTGAATTGAAGATTTGGAATGTTGACTCTGCAATGCTGAGGCCCACCACCAATACTACAAAGATCAAATGTATGATTTCCAAATACAACAGGATGAGACCATGCAGATGCTGGACAGGATGGCTCATGAGCTGGAGGCTCTGCATATTCAGATAT